TTATATATGACTGACTAACTTACTTACTGACTTTCTAACTGACTGGCTAACTAACTAGCTCATTAAACTAACTAACTTTGAAACTTTGCAACTCCTTAACGCGTAACTTAATAAGCACTGTATAGGTAGATACTTCTATATTAACTGGAAAATAGGAAGAGAATTTAGTAGAATGGAGTATAAAATACAATAAAAACTCAGAGCAACTAGCTCAACTTAGAATTAAATTGCTACGGTGTAATGTCGTTCTGATCCATCGCCTGTTAATCGGCTAGTCAGTTCGCATTCTGTATGTGGGTGTAGGTGTTGTGCGCGACGCAGACCGCGGATCCGCGGCCGTCAACGAGTTACCACGGAAAGCGCTGGTGCAAGGATAGACTGCAGGATCTCCGCTTGGAGAAATTGTCGCGTACGGCTCTGCATTTGCTCGTTATCCATGCCCTTCGTTCTTCCGGATGATTGGACAAATCAGTCTCATCGTCGTCGGATTATTTTAGCCAGTTTTTTTTCCGATTGGAAATGTAGATTGTTTTTTGCACTTTTGTAACGGCACGTGTCTGCCGGTTCTTGTGGGCAGGTCGAGTTGTGAGGCCTGGGTGCCCTTTGCCGCTTCTAGCGATTCCTCTGGTTTTGATGGATTCCGTTTTAACGTAACCCTGCCTCGCACTTTATGACATAAGTTTGTGAACTGAAAGGCAAAGATGCGACCGCAGCGCAGTTACAAAAAGATTTGGCGGAAAAGACATTTGACGGAAAGAATCACCGGGTTACAAACAACCGAAGTCGCACATCGGCGTATTGAATAAAAATATCAACCAAAAAATGTCCGCTATCGTACCGAAAACAGTGCATACTGTACTTACTTGCATACTGTCACAAACAATCCTGAATGTTACCCTAAAATAATGGGGAAACTGCCCAGAGCCTCGATCCTGGGAACAAAGATCCTTTATTCCAAGATCAAAGCAAGGCCCAAGCAGAGAAATTATTAGACTGGAAGCAGCGAAGCCGCATCGGACCGCTGCTCATGCAGCGTCAAGCTGAACCCATGAACGAACATGAAACGCTAATTCAGCCAATCACACAAAACAATCTAGTGGGCCTTACCTCCACTCGTTACAATACGCATCCGATCACTTCGGCCTCGTTACATTTCGGCCGCAAGCGATCACTTCGGGCCTTCGGCCAACGTTTATTTCGGCCCAGTTCATTTCGGCCAGCACTCATTTCTGCTACGGCTCATTTCGGCAGCAGTACAATCTGGCCATCTTCAGTTTCCCAAGTGATCCTAGTTTTTGCTATGTTGCGTAAGTTTTCGTTTGCGTTTACGTTTCTTAGCTTAAAAATTAGGTTAGGTTTTCTTATGGGTTATATAGTTTTCTTTTCAATTTCTTGGCTTTCTTAAATTTTCTAATGGCATATTTCTAACGGCTAATAGCCCATTAGTATAGTTTCTAATGGTTTTCTGAGGTTATTCTTAGGTTTTCTTAATTTATTTGAAAGGTTATGGTACCATCGAAACGTAGTTTCATGGAAAGTAACGTTTTCTTGCAGAAATCAGAACAAAATATGCGTCGGCCGTAATGAAGTGCGACCGAAGTGATCGACGACCGCAGTGAATCGCGGCCGAAAAAGTTTGGCCGAAATGAACACGGCCGAAATGAAAATGGCCGAATTGATCGGTAGCCCCTGCATACCCGCACATGGATTACAAGTTCTCAGTAAATATGAAGAAACGATAATTACTTACATTATTCGATGCAGTACTGTGCGCTAAATTCTATTCAAATAAGCGACTGCGACTGGCAAACAGAAGCATTTTACTGTAATAGCAACGCAGATCATGCCTGCCGAGTTCTTCGAGAGTTCACCACAGACCCCAGTAATAGACGTGACGATCGGCAGTGATTCGGCACTGCCAAGCGCACGGCTAAGTTTATTGGAAACGTACTATTATTGCGTAGGTTGTCCAGACAAGCTGCCGGTAGCACGTGAATTCAAAGTCCTGGTTCCGGCAGAGTTTTACGTATCCTTTAACTGGATTCGGAATTATATCCGGATTTCGGATTGGCTGTGTAGATATACGAATCTTTCGTTGATCGTTGTTATTTTGTTCTGTTTGGGTTGTGAAACTGTTGGTGTTTGGTGCAACGCGTCAGTTAATTTGTTAGAAGGAGTCGGCATGAAACTGTAGAATCGAATGGAAACGTAATGGAAATGGATTCTTCATCTAGATCGTGTGAGCGCTTGGCATGCCGCATTGCCTATTGTGAAAGCTGAAAGCTAAAGTTATCCGTTGCTAATGGTTTTGTATTTGAAACTCTGGCCGCCCGAGTTGAAGCTAGGTTTGTTTGATGTGAAACGGTTTGAAACTGCGAGCTGCACCCTGCTGCAGGTGCTATGCGCGCTGCAGTCGGAGTATCCGCGTCCCTCGGTGCAGTACCGCGAGAAGCGATGGTGCGAAGATGGCCTGCAGGATGTGCAGCTGGAGAAGCTGTCGCGCATCTCCCGGCACTGCTTCGGTGAACTGCGCATGTCTAGGGCCCGTAAACGATGGTAGCCTCTGTAGTCAGCGCTACGCATTCATTCCCAGAGAGAGATTGAAATATTATTCTATCTAGTTTGGCGCTTATCTAATTATCTAGCGACCAGCGGTAAGCAGCCGTGACATAACTGATCATTAACCATCGTTGTACTTTTTGATACTGGTTATATCGGTACGAGAACATGCTGCCGTAGCGATGGTTTGACGTTTGTGAGGAATCTCGTAATAAATGCGCGGATGTCTTTGATAATGAAATAAACGTTTCGATTCAGTTAGCTTTGAAAACGTATCGTACCGACCGGTTAAACGTAGACTGGTTCGCTACTGATTTTGGAGAGTAACTCCGCCTTGTTACATTTGGTAGCTGTAAGTCTGTAACAACATGATGGCTACGCGAACTCCGGTGTTGGGGCGAATTTCTCCAGCTCTTGCACGTTTTTAACCGGCCGCGAAGAAAATGGTCAGTTATTTAGATTTCAGTATTAGGATTTTTGCCGTCTATCCGGTATCGACGCGACGATTCTGTTCAGTTTTTATTAAGGTTTTATTAGAATGTGCTGATCATTTTAGCACTCCCAATGTGCTCACAGCGCATCGTCCAAATGCGGTGGGTTTTTGGCTGTCTCCCCACGCCGGGAGATTTATCCCCGGCCTGATGTGGCATTGCGGTCGAGGTCGTATGGTCGAGGTCGTCCGGTCGGTGGCTGTCCACATTGGCAGCGGTTGCGGATCCGTTCCCCTTACCGGTCGCTCGGAGCACTGGCCGCACCCGGGACTCCTTTTGAGCGGACGTTCCAAGTGCTTCGAGCGCACCGGCTAGCGGTTACAGTTCTGCCACCCTCACTTCCAGTGTGCTCACAGCGCATCGTCCACCAGCGGTGGTTTTTCGGCTATCTCCCGGGACGGGGTCAATGTCCATCTTGTCTGGTTGCTCGGTCGTGGTCGTCCGGTGGCTGTCCGCATTGGGAGCGCTGACGGATCTGCTCCACTGGCCAGTCGCTTAAAGCACTGGTCTCCAACTGTCTTTATAAGGGACAGCTCCAAGTCCTTTTTGCGGACTGGATAGCTGGGACAGTTCAGCCACCACTCCCGGCGTGTCACAGTGCACGGACACCCGGGCAATTTATCGTTCCCAATCTCGGTTTGTCTGCTGTCTTGGATCGGTTACAAAGCGCGGCTGTCCAGTCTAGGTGTGCCGGTGATTGGCAGTGCTGGGCGGTGGCGGACTGTTCCCCTTTCCGTGTTTCTTGGAGGACTGGCCGGCACCCGAGTCTCTGTGAGCGGGCCGTTCCAAGTGCTTCGAGCGTACAGGTTGTCGGGGACAGTTCTGCCACCATTGTTCATTTGTAAAGGTCTTTGATGCAGTTCACTTTGAACGAGATTTTACCTCCCGTCGTGCTCCTTTTTCTCTGGGAGGGCGTTTGTGCTTGTTGTTGGATCAATGTGCTTTCAGTGTATTTCGGTTAACGCAAACGCGAGCAACAGAAGTAACAGTAAAGAATAAGAAATTTTTACGCAGGAAGTAACGCAAATTACCGTCGCATATTTCCCAGTCTATAGCAACTCAGATGCACACACAACCTCCCTCTGAAATCTGAATCCACTCCACTCCTAGCTCTAAGCTAATGCAATTAAATTTTGCTTTTTTATTGTTTCATTAGTTCCCTATTTACTGCGTCTCTACTGCGTGTTAATACGGATGCGTCACCCTGCTACGTATTTATTATATTATTATTATTATTATTACATCAAGAGCAGACAACCCGCTAAACGGGACTTCAACGTCTGGTCGGCAACAAAATATAACTAAACAAAAACAATTTTAAGACAGATCAACAGTTCGGAGAGCAAATTTAAAAAATCCCACACCATCAACACTGAGTATCTGCATGTTAACTTTTTTTATGCGCTCAAAGATGTTCCTTAGTCGCATGGCCAGTGTGCCTTCTCCGATCTTCTTCTTCGCTCTGGCTGCAATTCTCGTTGGGTTCCGCAGGTTGTACAGCATTCCCAGATCCGTGAAGTCGATCATCCCGACCATATACCGCGGCGGATGGTATGCTTCGTGGTTGTAGATCTTATACAGCCAGACCGCTTCAGACTGCTTCCAACGGTCGTACACCGGCAGGATGCGCAGTTTCTGATACAGCTCGGGTGTAACCCGCTCCTTGTAATCAGAAATCGCCCGCAGTGCTTTCCGCTGTGCCCTATCTAATTTCTCGCGTAAAGCCGAAGATGCCGGCGACCACGTATCTGACCCGTAATCCAGATGTGGCTGCACACAGGCATGGTAAAGGCTCCTACGCTGAGGCAGATCCAGGCCGTCTTTCGCGCGGTTGATCATTGCGATGCCGTAGTTAACTGTTCGCAGTATGTGGTCACAATGCACACTCCACTTCAGGTTGCGATCAATGTGAACGCCTAGATACTTGATATGCTGATGCTGGTACAACCGCACAAGTACAGTATTTATTTACAGTAAAACTAAGCAAGAGTAGGACCCATAGGGAAACAAAACGGAAACATTAACAGAAAATGTAGGTACATTATACGTTGTGCTTTGTACAGGAGCGCCAATACTGGCATCGCTCTGGCCTAATCCAAAAGAAGGGACAACACTAACAACACTGACTGACAAGTTGTACTGGCACTGCTGCCAACCAGTGAAGTCTGTCAGTCAATTTCCGTCTGACAGCAGAAAACAGAGCATTGGTAAGCGTAGCTAATACTCAAAAATCGCCGGTTCATGTATACTCTACAGCACGGGACATCTTATGCCGCTCCCGAGACACTCAACCTGCCGGTGCCATCGCCTTTAGTCCCCGCCCTCCAGGCTCTCATCCAGCTCGCGCGCCATCTCGCCCAGCGTGTTGTCGTCGTCGCTGAAGCGCGGCCCGTCCTCGCCTGAATCGCCAGCCGCACTGGAGCTGGTCAGACTCAGGTCCTCCTGTCGCAGCTGCTTGGCCAGCCGCACTTCCGGCGCCTCCTCGTCCTCGCTCGACTCCAGCTCCAACGAGTCCCGCTTCCGTTTGGCGCCCCGCTCCTCTTCATCCAGCAGCACGTCGGCCTCCTCCGAGCTGGAGCTGCTCTCCAGGTGCCCCACGGCCCAAGCGCTCTCTGCAATCAACACCACATCGTACAGTAGCGCCACCTCCAATTGCACGACAACAAAGCAACGCACCGTGCGGCAGCCCGGAGGATTTGGACGGTGCGTGTTCAGAGGCGAATTCCTCTTCGTCGTCCTCCTCACCGATGGCGTCGTCCACCTCGTGATCCATGCAGAGGATGTCGTCGGCCGACAGACCCGACAAACAGCTGACTGACCGCTCCACCGCCGTGGGACGCGGGCCCGCTGCTTCCTCGCGCTCCCGTACGGCAGAATAACTGGCGCCGTCCGCCGCCTCCTCACTCTTCTTCCTCTCGCCTTCCTTCCCCACCGCCTTGCCTCCGTTCACGGCTGCGTCGCTGCGCTGGGGGCGCCCGTTGCGGTGCGCGTCCACCTTGGCCGCCAGAACCAGACCGGCGCTGCTACTGCTGCTGGCCTGACTGAGGGGGAACAGTTTCTCGTCAACCCGCTCCCAGCGTCGCACGCACTCGGCCAGCCAGTCAGCGTTGACGACATGCACGTGCCTGCAAGCCAATAACCACATAACAACCACCGTTAATCACCGATTAACTCCACCGTATACTGCGATGAAGAACAATTACGTACATTTCGCGGGCTTTGTGGACCTTTTCCGTGCCATCCTTGGCGGCAATGAGGTGCGTGGTGTAGTTCTGTGGCTCGGCGGCTTTGTCCAGCAGGCTGGGCTGCGGCACCGCGCCAAAGGACCGTACCAACGCTTCGGCCTTGTCTCTCTCGGGCGAGGGAGTGTCGCTGGGGAAGAATCCGGAGAAGACCAAGCGGCATCCCTGGAGGACCTTCTTCCGCAGCACCGGTATCACTTCTTTGGTTTTGGGCAGTCTCCGGTTGCTGGTGTCGCCGCTGGCCGTCTCAGAGGATGCCGGATTCAGTTCGTCATACTGGCGGTAATACTCGGCGTGGATGTTGATGAGAATGGTGCGCAGATAGAGGAGGTAGTCGTCGGCGTCCTCCTGCGTCTCCTCCGCGGCACCGTCGGCAAAGCGGTTCTCGTACTGGTGCTTCGTGGCTTCCGAGGGCGCTTCTGCCTTCTCGGGGGCGGCAGCATCCAGCTGGATAGCGACGGCGTTCTTGGGGAAGGGCGCGTTGATGTCGCCGGTGTTCTTGAAGTAGGAGTAGGGCCGCACGTGCACGAGATTGGCGGCGTAATTCCACACGTCTTCGCGGTCGTCGATAATGCAGACCATGTCGTCGCCAACCGGAAACAGGTCCCTATACATGCCAACAGTTATTACTGGCACTCGCATAAACATGCGGTTAACCTAGCAGTCTCTGCGCACTTGATATTGGCAGTTTTGAGACAGGGGTCGGAGATCTCATCGCGGGACAGGATGCGATGGGAGAAGAATGTCTGTTTGGGATCGAGGATCTCGGCAATTTTGTGGGCGTACATGCGGTTGCCGAAGGTGCAAATGTGCAGCTGGTAATACTTGAGGAGGTCGGCGAGGAAGTCGAGGGTGCCCGGGCGCAGTTTGGTGTGGTACCAGGGATTGTTGAAGTGGCCCTTGGACAACTGGAAATGGTGCACGTCCTGCAGCCATCATTGAAGGTCTTCATTAGCAAATCCCACAAAAACGAGCAACCGCAAACTAACCTTCAAGTTATTGTTGACGGGAGCAATGGTCGTGTGGATGATGGTCTGGTCCAGGTCGACCAGCAGGGCCAAGCGCCGCTTGCCGATCAGGTGCACCAGGTCGTCCTCGCCAATGCGCTGAGCGATCTCCTTGCTCACTTTCAGCTCCGATATATTGTGCACCTACGCAAAACAACAGCACCTACAGACTACAGCACTACGTATACGTTCGCCGCCGGGCAATACTCGTACTTTTAAATAAGAGAAAACTTTCACGTTTCAGAGCGGGATTTGTTAAAGGCAAAAGTGCAGTACACAAAATAAATTTATATCATGAATGAATGAATGAATGAATATCATTTTCAATAATTATGCGTTGATTGTCAAGAAGCATGCTGACTACTGTTGCAGTATCTCATACCCAGAAATCAAGCACTGCTGTTATGCGAATGACTGACGGTGCTTAGTGCTTACCATTGTCACCCCCGGTGCTGACTCCGACTTCCGGTTGCCGTTCCCGGATCCACTTTCCACCCGCAGGTCGGCGCCGCAAGCAGCGCACAAATCTTTCATGCGTATTTCATGGGGACAGCCAGGCTTTATCCGCATCACGACGGCTCTGCAAATATCACTTGTTCTGTAGACCAAATGCAGAGCTATGCCAACTCAATTAAGCCAATAATAATAATTATTATTATCATCAGTGATCAGATTATTATGCAAAAAGTTACAGTAAATCGCTGTCCTGTCCTGCCGGCACTGTCGTGCGCTGCCACCCTGGGGCGACAGGCTCCCGACAAGTACAGCAAATTCAAAACCGTACTGAAAATTACGCACTGAAAATTCCACAAAAATATGATTTTTCTGGAAATATATAAAGCTGGAAACCTCGCCAAACCTTCCGAAAGATTTCTAGAAATTATAAAAATTTACCAACAAACCATAATGGCAACAATAAAAAACCCAACTGAATATTCACTAGGTTTTCTTTGGTAGATCTGCACTACACGTAAAAAAGAAAATAAAAACGCCACCAAAACGGTTCCTTGTACCATACCACCCAGGCCTCCAACACCTGAACAGAAGCCCCCCTGAATGCGCCACAAAACGACGCAAAGTACTGCGTTTACCTGCTCGTGAGAACATCTGCGTTTTCGGTCGGGATTTGGACAATCAAGGCAGATTCTGGGCATCTGAATTTTCCTTCGTCAGATTTGGATATTTTTTCGTCATCTTTGCCAGGAATTCGATAAGTAAACAGCACTTGGCCACGAGAAACCTGCTCTCCAACGCGCACTTTGAATTTGGCGATTGTCGATCCTGTCGGGCCGTCGAACAACAGATCTTTCGTGTTCTCCTCGAGTCCCCTGTCCTCCGTCATTTCCAACTCCCAAAATAAGGAATTAACGACATCAAAACGTAAAAGATCACCTGTCTCGCACAAAAACTTTCATGGCCAGCTCTCCAAGGATTTCCAGATCAGTACACGTGGATTTTCTACACTGCCTGAGCACAGGATTTTTAACCCCGGTCGTCACAGTTTCCACGTGATACAGCCTGTACACTGCCGAGGCAGACGCATCACGTGGTACAAACCGGAACTGGATAAATTTTTCGTCGAGCTAAACATCGAGGTGGACAGCCACTGTGCTTCTGACAGAACTTTAATGTCTGCGCAGTTTTTAATGTTTTGACGCTGTCTAGAATGCAAAACTGCGCATACATGTGAAATCCTGTAGCGCAGCTTTGCCACGCAGTGTAAGTATTTCGAAAAATTCTTTTTTTTTGATTTCTCATTTCTGGCAGTGCCATTTCTCATCTTCAGTTCTGCCATAAAATTTGATTGCTTCTATTGCTTCTCAGCTTCTTGCTTTGCTCCGTTGTTGCGAGCTACTTTCCTTCTTCGAGCTGAAAATTGAGTGAACTCACGACCCGTTGCGAGCATGGCGCACCTTGGAGAGATCCTCGTGAAGCTGTATGAGGAATACCGCGGAAAAACTCCGAAGCGGCTGAAGCTCGTGGATGCGTACCTCGTTTACGTGCTTATGACGGGGATTATCCAGTTTCTTTATTGCCTCCTGGTAGGCACATTCCCCTTCAACAGTTTTCTGAGCGGATTTATTTCGACGGTTGCTTCCTTCATTCTTGCGAGTAAGTGGTTGGATTCTTCGCTAACCTTGCTTTTGCACCGCTGCATGCTGTTTACTGTTGCTCTGAATTCCGTCTGTTTTTCGAATTCTATTCGAAAACTTACGAAGTACTCTAATAATACTGTACTGTTATTAATTTAATATGTTTTAACAGTTTCAGTTATTTAATTTAATTCAGCGTTATTTACTGTATGAATTAACTGAGTACCCGTACCGATACGAGTAGCAGCTCTGCTGTAAAAACAGTAAATAGTAAAATTAAAATTTTATTATTTTAAGAAAAATAAAACTTTCAGCTTGGTAAATTTTGTAACTTTCACATCTGACCGTTGCCAGTAGTGCGTCGCAGGTTCTCAAATAAGTAGAGAATTATTGCTGTTTGCTGTTGTTAAATGTTAATTGTGGTTCCGTATTTTTAGAAGATTATTATTTTATTTTTGTGCATTAAAACCAGCTTTGGAGCATTTTCTGATAAGTACTCTCCTGAACATTTGTATGAATATTTCCCGTGGTAAGGTCGATGGAGTTGTAACTGTTGCAGACTGATGCATTGCTTGTTTGTGGGCTTGCAGCGTGTCTGCGGATGCAGATCAATCCGGAGAACAAGAGCCAGTTCGGCCACATCAGCCAGGAGCGCGCCATGGCCGACTTCGTCTTCGCGCACGTCGTCCTGCACTTGGTCGTCATCAACTTCATCGGCTAGCCTCTGCTCGTGTGCTGCGCAGAGTGCGCACCACGTCGTTCCCTGTTTGTGCTTTCTCACTCATTAACTTATTCATACTTTTCCCTTTGTCGCGAAATTTGTTATTTGTGTTTCTCGCCAAGATCGAACCGTTTAGTTCGTCGCGGCATTTTTTCTTGCAGTTTTCTACGTCAGCCGTTTGCGCAATAAAAAGCCACTTCGCAGGTGTGTGACCGAGAATATCAGCTTGTTTGCGCGGCCGCATTAGAAGTAAGGAAGAAGAATATCAAAGGTTTTTAGCTGAAGCTCACATGAATAAATAAATAAATGGGCCAATGCTGTAATAATGCGCTACCCAATTAAGTTCAGTTAATTAAGGCCGCCATGACAAGTTCTTATGTCAAAGTATAGAGTAGTTTATTTAGTTACTTATCATTAGCATCGGTTATTGGGACTGCAGTGCAGCGACATTTAGGCAGCTTCGCAGTTACCTACACTCGCACTCGTCCATTGCCAGAGAGGCACATTTTTATTTACTTCAGAAATGCATAAAACGTAACGCTGCATTTCTTAATATCTAGAATCTACTGTTCAGCTAGTTTGATTTCTCCGTCTTTTCAGTTGTGCTAGCATCCTAGCACAATTTTATATGAGCGGTTGAAACTGATTGCTGGAACTACAAATCTGATTTCTGCCGCTTCCGGTGGGTGTGCAAATGGCAGCCTCCCCAGCGTGGCAGCGTTCTTTGGCTTTATTGCACAAATTCTGCTTAGTTTTTGTTGTTTTTTTTAAATTTATTTCCCGCAGGTCCGCAACACAAGCAATTTCTCCGTTCATATTCTTGATATATAAATAAGAAGGAAGAACAAAGTGTAGTAAAAAATTTCTCTGGTAATCTAGATCTGGCAGCAGACTGTTGTGAGCGCCTTCGCTTCGCGTGTGCGGCACCGGAAACCACCTTGTAACCATTACGTCTTAGATAGCGAATGTCGAAAGTTGAAATTAGATGACCGCGGTGGCTGTGCCACTTCTAAGTTATAATAATGTGCTTTCCGCACCAGGTGCGGCTGTTGTTTTCTACAGGCTGTTGCAGTGCGTAGGTAGTACTCTGTAGGTACTAGGTAGGCACTAGGCAGCGCCGCAGCAATATTATAGCTTTCGGTCTGCTTTAGTTACTTAATTTTATCAAGCGTACAAGTTTCACTCTTGTATGACCGCGTGCGCTCCTTTTTTTCTGAGTAGTTTGTATGCTTTACATTGTTAATCTGCTAGTACGCGTGGATGCATTTATAGGACTCGCGTGGGACGTGATACAGTTTTCTTGCCAGTTGTATCACTCATCAGTGCCGTTGCTGCCATCGCACACATGCGCAGCACGGATGAAATCGAAAGCCATAAATCGGTTTTATATTTTGCGAGTAGGTTTCTGACAAATCTGGAGTAGGCTATTGTTATGATTTATGTGTGGTGTGATTACGAATTTTACAGTACAGATAGCGTGGCTGTACAGCCTGTAAGTACTTACCAGCTATCACTACCACTACAAGTACAGAAACATCCAGCCGCAAATAATTCCAACTGTAAGTGGGTTTTCTTGGCTGTTATTTGACTGACCATGAGTTGCTATTGGTTTATTTGGGTTTAATGCGCAGTCTTGCAGTACACTGATTTCGATGAATTCGAAATCTAAAGAGAAATCTGGATTTCTAGTAGTTTCTACTTCTTTGATATCGATATCTTACTGCATGTATGTGTAGATACAACACGTATGCACTGCTCTTATAAATAAGTACTGAGGGGATACGCGAGTAAGATGGATGACCTTTCGGTGTTATATATACTTAAACTCAGTGACTGATTCAACACTCCTTTAGCAGTGAAATTGCCTGGTGGTTGTTTCTGGATATATATATGTGATGTAGAGTATCTGTCGTTAAGGAAACGTACCAGCAGCATAACAAGAGACCTACCGCACGCTTAACATCGTGATCCCGGCCCTGCCTTCGCCGGCGGAGACTAATCGAGAGTGAGCCGATAATCGCGTGACCGTGAGATGTGGCTGTCCGGAGCGAGTGAAGCGACGTCAGACCATGCAGGGCGAATAGTCCTCAGCCGTGTATAATAATTACTGGACTGCTGCAGTAAAGCGCATACATGTGACGTCATTGCCTCAATGCCAAGCCGAAGGCATCTAATTCATATCGCTAATGCCGGTAGCGGGCTTCTGGCGGAGGTCACGCTGCTAGTTTTGCTGCTATTTTCGCTTGAATGCGATGGGCGTGCTGTGGGCGGAGTGCCTAGACAGTCGCTGCAGCAAGGAGCGGCAGGCGGATCCTTCGTGAGCAGACACGTGGAAGTGCCGGATCGCCGCCGGAAACGACGGGATCGCGGCGATCCGGCGCCGGTTCCGGTACTGCATCCGTTCGTGTACGGCTTGATGGATGGCTTCCTGGAGAGCACGGCAGAAGCGGTCATCTCCGAAGACACTTACGGCTACGGCCGACCGGCTGCAGCGGCTGACTGGTTCGCCTCGCGCTTGCGCGCGGACCACGCCTCCAGTGGGAACGATTATTTCAGCCAGCCGTTTGAAGCAGCTGCGGGAGACGCAGAAGAGCGCGATAATTACGCTCACAAAACGCCTCCTTACTCCGCGAAGGGAATCCAGTACAGCGGGAAGGGGATCGGCAGGCAAATTGGTCAGCAGTTCGCGCAGGAGAACTATTACCAGGACCAGTTAAAAGACCTACAACGACCCTCTGCCGCTCCATATGATTACGCCGGTGGAAAGAGCGTGATTGGTTTGCCGGGATATTATTTCAACAAGTACGTGGGCAGCAGTGGCGGAAAGGTGTCCAGTGTGGAGGAAGGCTATCCAGCGCCGGTGTCTGCCGTTAAGCCATTCACTGCCACCGTCAGCATCGACAAAGCTGCTCCGTCTTCGTACATCGACGTGGCCAAGGCGAACGGCATCTACACCGGCTACAAGGACTACAACGCCGCTAATAACGTCGACACCCGAGACTTCTACAATCCGGCGGAAATGGCGCCGGATGCGGCCGCCTACCGAGGACACGGCGTTGATAATAGTTATCAGCAGCCTCTCTATCCGGCGAATGGCGGTTACGGTTACGCGGACGCTGCACCGCCCGTGCCACCCATGCAGCCCGGCTGGACAGCGGAGCAGCTGTACGGATTGGTCGCCGATACGGTTAGTATACAGTGAAACCTGTTTACTAAATACATCTTCGGTTAAAGCAAAAGCGTATGTATTATCCAGGTGTATGTATTACACAGAGTTATATTACAGTCTATGGGACGCGTCGGTTAAACTTTCCGCGTATGTAATTTCCAGGTGTATGTATTTACCGGTGTATGTAAAAGACAGGTTTCACTGTATAGTATTCGCAGCTTTGAAGAGTCAACGTCTTCGCCGTCAAGTAATAATTCTCCCCTTGCTGAATTTGCAGATCATTTTATCGTGGATCCTGGACCTTTAACCACTGTAATATCTGCAGTGCCTGCATGCTTGCAGTTGCGCCCATGTGCCGGCATGTTCGACGGAAGGTGTGCAGTAGTCAATTTCCACCGCTTCCGCTTTGCTGATTTGAGCGGTACTGGATACGCTTTGCTCTGGTCCGCCTTCGCTCAGATGTGCTTAGAGATTCTTCTAATGAAACGATAGCTGCTCAATTAGCCTGATATCAGGTTTGGGTAACATGAACAACGTAAAAAAGGCGCGCTGTTTTTTGCGTATGACAAGAATGCGCACACTTTCTGACTGAATAAAATGACGAACAGACTGGCATATGGACCAATACCATTACTATTTGCAGATTTTTATTATTCCGATTCCCTTGTATATTATTATCTGATGCATATAAAAATAATATTATATTATCAGCATGGCAGGATAGCTTGTACGTATATATTTTGTGATACGCGCGGTCTAATGTTGACCATTCTCATATTTTCAGCGCCTTAGGGTTTCTTTAAGACGTTGCGTTACAGCGGCATATATAAAAATAAAGTGCAATAATAATATTATTATTATCGTAGCAAGATAGTACGTGCAGTACGTAGTACTTTGTACGAGCATTAGCACATTGTAATTCGGTATTGAGCGGTTATGATTAATGTTCAAATCGGAAGCACAGTTGCAATGTTTACCAGTACATAATAAGAAAGCAAAAATGCTACTGCAATTTTTCCTGGGGCATTTTTCAGTTTTTTTGCAGCGATGTTGGAAGTGTGCATGCAGCAAGCAGCGCCGGTTCACGTACAACACCTGCGTCATGCGGTAAAAGTAGCATCTCGTATCGGTAACGCGCGCAAGGCAGTTAAATACGGTAAAGTACTTGGAACTACATTAATTATGTGATTAACACTGCAAGTTGCATGCCGGCGGGAGAAATATTATTTTTATAGTGTACTGTGTATCTAATCACCGAAAACATTGTGCATAAGTACTCAAGAGTACGCGCGCTGTTCCGGCTTCTGCTTCTTACTTCTCATCTCCCGACGTCAGGAGATGGATGTGCCGATTATCAACAGTTACAGCGGATTGTCTTTTGCATGAGTTACTTATCCCTTAAAGTGATGAGAAAATTATATGGTTAATTGGTTAAATGTGCCTTTTTATGCCACTGGTTCGTGCGCAGGCCCGTGCTGAATTGTAATCATAATCATAAAATAATTCTGATAAACTTGGATGAAATCATGAAGCCGCACACCGTGAAAAGTTGCAAACGGCCTTTTGACTGTTGGTTCGGCTAGGATGTAAACAGAGCCTGTATATGCGTATGCTATTAACCTGTCGTTCCGGTAGATGAATTTACCATGATTCGCTGCCACAGACTGTCTGTACCAAGTGCCTGACTTTTCCTGTCTAACACTATCGTACGTTGACGTTGGAGCGGAAGTTGTAGCGCAACTGAATCGAGCGGAGGGACGCGGTGGCCGACACTGGCCGGATGGCGTCCGACGGCTACTCGGGCGGTTGGCGCTGGGCGCCGTACAGCGGCCTGCCTCCCGCTAGCAGCGCCCGACCGGAAGGCGGCCAGTCCTCCTCCTCCGACGCCGAAGAGAGACAGGACGCGGACTGGGAAGCGTCGCCGCTGGCCCGCATGATCGCGTGGTTCTACGACAACCACAACCTGACCGGGGCAACGGCCGCCACCGCGCCCGTCCTGGGATCCGTCTCCGAGCTGTACGCGGCCAGCCACAACGCCAGCGAGCCGGTCAAGTACGTGCATCCGGGCCCCTCGGCCCTCTGTCCAGCATCGTGTGTAGTAAGGCGTTCATTGCAGACTGCCGGCGGCCTGCTACGGCGTGGACAACGCCATCCCGCTGAAGGGCATCTACTTCGTCGTGGGCCTGGTGCTGCCGCTGTTCGTGCTACTCTTCTGGCTGTTCAAGGCCATCGACCGGCGCGTCTTCGGGCGGCGTTACCGGCGTCTGTTGTACGGCGGGGCGCGTAGCGGCTACGAGGTGCTGGAGGACGCCGATCTGGACATGCAGGCGCGGGTGCGCGCCGACGTCCTGCTGGAGGAGAAGCTGATCAAGCAGCGCACCGAGGTCAGAAGAGCATGAGATATATGTTCATGTTACGAGGAGTAATAATTATTATAGTCATAGGGAATATACAGAAAATTATCGTATGCCTTAATTAATACACAACGGCGCGCTTATATGTACTGTACATGTAAACGGTATATAGAAAGATAAATGCGGTATATATGTATCTAAACGGTATCTTAAACGGTATATATGTTATCTTATAGGCACTCAAGCAACTGAGCACGACCGGCCGCACCGAGTTCGACCGGTCGCAGCTGGAGGAGTGGGTGGCCGACGCCACCTCGCCCAACAGCACGCACGGCTTCTGGCTGGTAGGCAGTTAATCACGCCAGGGGAAGGGAAGGGTGACGTGGTCGTTCGCAAGACGCCTCAGTTAATCGGCGGCCGCTGTTGCAGATGGTGGTGGCCATCGGGTGCGCCATGGTCTCCCTGGCAGTCTACCTGGCGTCCGTCACAAAGTACGGCTGCTCCTCCAGCTCAATTCGCAGGTGTGACCTTTCCGTTCTAACTCGTTGTGCAGGCAGCTGCCCAGTCTGGAGATCTGCGGAACGATGCCCAACGGGCAGCAGTGCCTGGACCTGCTGGCCAACGCCTACCTTCTGGCCTACCTTATTATTCGAGTAGGTGCTCCCTTCGTGCGGGGTGCGGAGCGCCCTCTGTGTAATGGTAGATGCGAGCACGGCTACTCTTAATGGCAGGTTGCAGGGACGCACGACAAACTGGACGCGCTGATGAGCCCGTACTCCTTCGTCGATTATCTGGTATCGAGATATATACCAGCATAACTATCGGATTTTACTGACCGGTAAAGTGAAGTAACGGTGCACTTGTGCTCGGACAGGTGATCCCGGCCGTGGTGGGCGGTATCTGCCTGAACCGCTACTTCACCGGTACGTCCGCGGTACAAAGCATCGAAGGAAGCGTCCAAATGTGAGGTCATCTGTTTGTGTCGCAGGTTTCAGCTTCCTGCGCTGGTACAACCTGATGTGGCTGCTGGAGCTGGTGGCGCAGCGCGGCTTCTTCCAGAAGCAGAGCAGTCTGAAGCTGACCTACCTCGTCCTGCTGGTCGTCGTCATTCTGACCACGTCGGCCGGCGTCCTGCATTTGGTAGGCTCATTTCGGTTGGGCGCTGGCTGCAGCGCTTACTAGTGACCTTTGTCATGCACGCATCTTGTTGAATATTATTGTGCTGCAGTTTGAGAACGCCGGCGACCACTCGCTGTGGTCGGAAAAGGCCTACAACGGGCAGTCGGTGACCTATTGGAAGTGCTTCCAGTATTTGTACGGCCGACTGACCCTCATCGATCTCAGCGGGCTAAAAGTCACCACCATCATGGGCAAACTCACCGTCTACCTCTTCCAACTGGCCGCACTCGTTAGTCACGCAGCGTTTCTTGCTCGCTGATTTTAATACATTTTAATTCGCTTTAATAAATGGCGGATTTTGTTAATAATTTAGGGCGCATGTTAGCTTGTTATATTTCGAGGTTTGAGTAGAATAATATGTTTGGTTCCATCGCTTGTTCTGTAGACAACAATCGGTCGCACGATCCCGCAAATCGTGTCCCTGGTCAAACGGACACCGGACTACGATAAAGACTACAAACCTCCCAAACACTACCTGTAAGTTGTGCTTTTCAGTGCTGTTGAGCCAGGCCGTTGCTTTTCTTTTTCTAACGTTTAGATGAATGAAGTACAAAATTAGAATTATATATGTACAATCTGCTACGCACTAAATCCTACGAGTAGTGTTTGCTGCGCAGGCATGTGGTGGTGTCCGGGACGGTGTCGAACGACGCCATCAAGCTCTTCCTGCAGGAGTTCTACCATCCCGACCGCGATGTCGGGCGACGCGTGCGAGTGGTCATTCTCGGCGAGTACGTCTGCCCACTTAACGCGGATACGTATAGCTGTCTGCAAAAGAGCTTGTTAAGTGCGAGTGTTCGAGTGCTGCAGGCAGCCCCCGGATGCCGACACCGAGCGCATGGTGAAGCAGTATTACAACCGCGCCGAGTACCGGCGCGGCTCCGTCATGGAACCGCGGGATCTGGCCCGCATTCGGGCCGCCGACGCTGCCGCCGTCCTCCTGCTGGCCGACGTGGAGAGCCCCGAACCGGATTCGGCCGACGCCATCAACGTCATGCGCGTCGTCTCCGTCAAGGACCTCCGCAACGAGATGCGCGTCCTCGTCCAGGTGCGCTGCCCAGTTAACACTTCAGCAGGCAAATAGTACAATGCTACGCAGGCAGATGCTCGCTTCATATATAAACTCCACACACGAGGTATAAGCTTGTTCATACGTAAAATGTTAGCTGTATATATAAGCTTGCTAAACTACATATTGAATGAAATGTACCAGTACTAATTGAAATGAAAATTAATGGACCTTCAATGCCTCGCTAACCGATTTGCCCGCCCCATCTAATTCATCCATTTCTGGAACTTTGAACTATATTACTGGCTTGCGGCAATCGTGAAATGAGAGAAGCAACGGTATTTCTGTGTTCCATTTAATGCCAAGTCTTGTCTTTCACAGATTCTACATTACAAGAATAAAGTAAGTTGCTGTGTTCACTGAACGCGCCGGGGCGTGGACAAGACATGAGCTATCTGCGCAGGAATACGTGCAGAAGATTCCGGCATGGAACGCCGAGAAGGGCGACGCGGTGTTGTGCTGCGCGGAGATCCGGCTGGGTCTGCTGGCGCAGAGCTGCAACGCGCCCGGCTTCTCCACGCTCATGGCCAACCTCTTCGTGTCGCGCATCCACAAGGAAGACGAGCAGGTTCCGTCATATGCCACATCCGTGCTGATAGTACAGCAAGTAGCCGCTGCATGGTATCTTTCGCAGTGGGAAGGCACCTGGCAGAGCGACTACGGCCGCGGTGCCGCCCTGGAGTTGTCGGCGCGGGTCATCAGCGAGTCCTTCGTGGGGATGACCTTTCGGCAGCTGGCCGAGTGAGTGGCCAGCCTGTCAAACACTGCGTTATTTGAATCTGCCGGCTAAATAAATATACTGATGCTGCAGGTTCTGTTACCGGCGCTTCGACGTGCTGCTAGTGGCCATCAAGCTGAACCAACGCCTCTCCGCCTACCCGCTGATCAACCCCGGCGACGACGTGCGCATCACTCCCGGCTGCATCGGCTTCTTCATCGCCGACACCGTGGCCGACCTGGCGCCGGTCATGCTGTAGGCAGCCTTCGTCATGTCGAGGGGCCGATGACCTTTTGTGAATTCTCTTGCTTGCAGGTACTGTGCGCACTGCCACCGCGACACCCTCGATCCCAAGAGCATTCGCCAGTGCCAGTGCGACAGTATGTCTCACCGTGGTTATTCTGTACTAGTAATTCCTTGCAACGTATACATAATTATAAGGTTTATGTGCGCCTACAGGCAAAGCCAACGTAACGACCAAGGAGCCGGCCAAGGAGGCCGACAGCGACGACGACAGCTACTACGACGAAGAGGCGGCTCGCCGTGCTCACGCGCTCTCCCCGGAGACCGTCAACAAGTTGTGGGAGTACATCCGCCTGACGCCGTCCGCGTCCACGCATCCTCCAACCAAACGGTGCAGATGCCTCCTACATCCATCATGATCGCTGTTAACCGCGCCTTCTCTCCGTTGCAGGGGTCGAAAGGTCACTGACACCGACCTGGAGCGAAGCATGGAGCTGGCGTCGCCCACCGCGCTGCGCTTCCGGCGGAAGAGCGCCAAGGAGGCGGCGGCCGCGTCCACGCCGCTGAGCGCCGCCGCCTCGCTGGACAACCTGGACAACGAGCACGTGCCGACGGATTATCTGTACGACTCCACCGGCTGCTTCTTCTGGAGTCCTGGCCGGCGGCTGTACGATATCGTCATTGTGAGGCCTGTTGTTGGCGTGCTCATGACTCATGAGTGTAGCAAATTTGCAGTTAGTAACTGATTATTCCGACTGGTAGGATCGACAAGAGGCTGCCATGCGCGACTGGCAAGACCACATCGTTCTCTGCATCCTCACCAAACCCGACTCACAACCTATCGGTCTGTACATATTCACTTTTCGTGGCAGCACTTAAACTTTTGTATAATATACGTACACAGATAGCTATACTTTATACATAATTATATATTAATAAAATTAATTAGCTCTATATATATAGGTAGAAGTATAGGTAATTACATACAAATTTATGTATTTTTAAATTCATTTAACATGTGTACGAGTATATCTGTAGCATCCTATTGTAGAAGTATTCTGTAGTTAGGTACATAATTATAATGTAGGTACATATGTAGTTCGTATAATGTAGGTACATGTATCTATATTAATTATTAATAGATACATATATTTGTATAATAAATTTTGTAGGGTTACACACTTTCGTGTGGCCCCTACGGAGCAGCACCGTCCGGCCGGAGCGACTGGCCGAGATCGTCATACTGTGGTACTCCGGCCGATATAACATCAGGCTGACCGTCATAAAGCGGAAACTGATTGCTTTGCACTGGTTGCAGTGATCCGAAGTTTATGGAGAAGGAGTGGATGTGGCTGACCAACATGCCCAAGCTGACCGTCGTCAAGGTAGACACTAGACTTAGGGCATGCGGTTGCCGTGACGGATTTTCCTTCCAAGGGATTAACTGCGTCCTAATTTGGTTAAATCTCTGTACAGGGAGACGCCCTGAACCGTGTGGATCTGCGCGCCGTGAGCGTGAAGAGCGCGCGCATGGTGGTGATTGTGGGCGCGCCGGGCATCCACGAGAGCCTGCTGTACAAGGGTCTGCACCACAGTCTCATCGACAAGGAGGTCATCATCGCCACACAGAACGTCCGCGACATGTCATTCTCGGAGAAGGAATTATGCTTCGCCATCCGCGACGACGAAGGTCAGCAGTGGTTGTTTAACCTGTACTCACAATATTACGACTATCTATAATTGGACTGATGACCTTTGGGCAGGCGGGGGCCGGCAGGTGAACATCGAGGAGGAGCTGAGCGGCAACATGGACTGGAAGGCCACGTCCAGCCTGCTGGAGCGCTTCCCCGTCGGCCACCTCATGGGCAGCCACATCCCCGTCATCACGCAGCTCTGTACGTATATGTATATCTCCGCCGCAACTGTCCGATCGCGACTGATGATGGTCATTTACACCTGGTGTCGCCGGTTAATTGCCCGTTGCAGGCGTGCTGAACAACACGCGCTACCTGGACCTGTACGACCGCAGTCCGCGGCTGGTGCTGGAGCCGCACCTCTCGCACGTGTACGCCTGCGGGCGCGCCTTCTCCTCCTTCGTCGTGGACGCCCTGACCATCTGCAGTTTCTTCAATCCCTCCATGTACAACATCTTCAACACGCTGGTCTTCGGCAAGCACTGCGAGGAGGTCGAGAAGATCGTCACCGAAGGCGCCGGTATGACCCTTATGTGATGTGGCCACGCCCTCGCATACTGTTCAGAAAGAGTACCTTACGTTCTTGCTTAAATACAGTTACTATAATTATGCAGTTAACAGCGCTTTTCCAGTTCCTTGTCCCAACAGGACTGACCTTATTGTTACAGCTGCACAATATACGTTTCGTCAAATACTTTTCAGAAAACTTTCACCACAGCCTTCTTAAAAGTTAGGAAGTATTCCGGAAAACTGTTATTCTAATTAACTATGCAGTGGTAATTCCTTCAAAATAATTTCGGAAATAATTATCGTTGAGGACGTCTTCTCCAGTTTTTGTGGAAGTAATCGGGAATTTTCAAAAACTTTTGACAGGCTTATAATATTACAAGTTAAAACGTATGAAACGCATGAATATAGGCTATCGGTTTGAAAATATTTTGGGAAAATGTTGTCGTTCGTTGAGGATGGTTCTCATGAGTTATGATTGTAAAATATACGAGTGACAGGGATATTGTGTAAATTAATTAGTAGCCTCACAAAAATGTTGTACTCTGTACAACATAAATACATGTAGGTACTTAATAACTTGAAGGATAAGAAAACTGGTAAAATATGTGCATCAGAGCATGTTGCATGTTGGCTTGTAATGGAAGTATCCTATCACTCTAGATCTGCAGCCGCAGTCTGCAGGTGGTCAGCAGTGCAGTGAAAGTGGCATAAATACGTGCGCGTTGTTGCATAAACTGTTGTATGCTGCTGCTATAAAAGAGCCATTATACGAGTACTGTATAATCAGTTATTCGTTTTAATGATTAAGGGGTTACCAAGTGCCATTTTCCCATCATCAGCCAGGCTGATTATGTGGTGTCTTGACGGCGAGTTGTGCTGCAGGTCTGCTGGGTGGGGAAGGGATCGGCGAGAAGGCGGCCTTCGTGCAGGACGAGGTCATCATCCGGCACATTCCGCTGGGCGTGGCCAGCAGCCCCTTCTACGGCTACGCGGTGAGCATACTGGAATAAAGGACTTTGTTAGCGTGTGAGGCGAGAGTTAACAAAGGTCACTGAATATTAACACTGCAGGAGATGAACTACGGCGCGCTGCTGCTGGAGGCGCTGTCCAAGTGGGGCTTCCTGTGCCTGGGCCTGTACCGGCGCATGACGCTGTACGACGCGCTGGTGGCGCCCTCCAAGCGCTTCGTCATCTGCAATCCGCCGCGCGACTTCATCCTGCACCCCACCGACCTCATCTTCTGCCTCATCCGCGTCGACCAGGCCAACCGCGACGCCCAGGGGCGGGCAGCCGTCGACGGGCAGGGGCAGGGGCAGGGGCAGGGGCAGGGGCACGACACGGGACGCGGCTTCGACATCGACGACACCGTTCTCAACCGCTGGGATTAGGCTGGTCTAACAAGACCGGTGAGGCAGTAACTGGTCACCGACTGCGTCGTCAAGCTGTCACTCGGCCAAGTCTGTAGAGTCAGCCAGTTGCCCTTGAAATCGGAAAAAATTTTAAATGTACGCGAAACGTACGAAGGCATTCTTTCTTTATTGTTATTTGTTTGGCCATTGATTTGCCATATTGCCGACTGTGCTCACTAATTACTCTTTAGTAGTTCTTCTGAGGCAAGTGAATAAAGCTGTTTCTGGCAGACTGTACAAGCTTGTCCGGTAATTTCTGACGAATCAATACAGCGATTTGCACAAATTTGCGTGTTACGCCAAACTGCCCGCCAACTGCTGCCCGTGTTACGCCAAATTAAAACGTATCCAGACCGAAATGTGCGCGGCCAGTAAGAATGGTTAATCTCTTGTTCAGAGTTACATAAAAATGAAAATATACCCACATTCGTCCATATGAAATAATATTTTTTGCATGTCATGCTCTGTATACTGGCGGTGGTAGAGCAGGGAGAATGAGAAATGGATACTGTCTGGCCGGAATATAAGCATATACTCGTAATATCGGTTGTGGTCGATCTTCTCTGGTTGAATGGCACTGGTGTAGCGGGTACGCAGTAATACAGATCTGAGAATCTGGAATACGTGGGTTCTATCGCATTAACACTACCCATGTCCGTAACTACGAGTCTACAACCACACGTTTCGTCTTGCGAGGAGGTACAAGGCACGCGAAGCCAATTTAGATTATGATCAAAACAGTATGATTTCTAGAGTGAGCACAACATTCGATTACATAGCGAAAATTGTTCGTCATCTGGTGGCTTCAGTAATGCTATCTCTTCCGTGAATACTGTTATGCGTGCAAAACATTCGCAGAACACGTTTAGTCATGGTATGACTGTATTAACAGATTTGTTGCCATTCAGGCTATGCTTATTAATTATTGTACATGTACTCTGTAGTAGTCGTGAGAATGTAAATGGAAATGCTCACAAAAAACATAATATGAAAAATCCTACATTGTAGATACGAACATACACCAATCAAAACGGCATTAGTACAAATGCGCGGCCGTTGCCAGCAGAAACAACTATAACTTAGACGAGCCGCTATAACTGAAACGACCGTCGCATTAATTCGGCTGAAGTGACTGAACTACACTATAATCTGTCTGTTATTCATTTGGATAAATTTGTCATTTTGTCAGTATTTGCATTGCCGTTTCGGATACACAGTCGCATTATCCAGGTGTTTGGCAATGAACCACGCTGGCTTAGTACAGTATCCGTTGTCGAGAGTGGCTTTTCTATCGACACCCGTAAATCTCAAACTGCAACTGGCCTTCGCAAATTATTTCAGTGTTGCTTAAACATACTTTACCGTTTATGCTACAGATTAGTGGTTGTTTAGGGATGCTCATATTAGCGATTGAACCAAGAACAAAATTTAACAAACAGTGTACTCCATGGCTTCTAGGTTGTTTCATAAAGTGCCCTTTTTGTGCTACCAATGAATTACTGCGTAGTTATTTCACACCACAGATAATTCCAGCTCCAGAGAGAAAATTTTCTAATTTCAAAACAACGTATTTTATGGTACTGCGCTTACCAAAGTTGATTCTACATACAAGGCGTGGCTCATCAGTAAGTTGTCATCAAACTGCACCGTAACACGCTAGCGTTGATGTCCACCACATGACCGTTTATTTTGCATTCCGGTTATACAGTGTCTCAGTTTGTCTGATCACGCTTTTATGCCGCAAATTAACCCGAAATTAACAACCTAGAAAGCGGTAAAAAAAGGCGCACAGAAACTGAGAGTAAAAATGACAAAAAAATGAGCTGACATCAAAAGCAGATGCGCGTTAATTAAACAACAGTTTTCAGCAATTAGACACAGTACTGCTGTGGACCACCGAAGGCAGGATGGCCGTTTCCAATGGGATGGATGGCGGGCAACCAGGCACGGCTTAGTAGCATCCATCGGCACAGCGTCCGGTGCGGCAGCCTCCTTCGCAGTTGCAGCCGAAGATGTTGCACTTCCCGTGCCCGCAGTACGGTGTCCCGATCGTACAATCGCCGCAGATCGTCGTGTACAGCGAACTCTGCTTCCCATCCATCCGACACACCGCCAACGGTTTACCACCGCATCATTCCGCACGGCTGCCACGGAAGAGCGCCGCCGCCACCAACATGACAACTACCAGAAACGAGAACATTTTTTCATCAAAGGTCACTAGCGTGTAATATAGAAAAACTACAGTGTATGTGAAACAAAATGCTGTAAAGCAAGATGGTGCGGTTGACGCTTATATACCGCCAGCACAGAATTTCCGTCCGGAAATTCCACAATTCGGGGAAATCGTGGAACCACCGGACGGATGAGCACTGCAGCGCCACAGCGTACAACCTACACGGTACCTACAACCTACGGTGTAGGTTGTACGCTGTGGCGCTGGTGTCCGGTCTTTAGGGAAATTCCGTATTTTCCGTACTGGTGATCTTCTGTGTGAAAATGCTATGCACAACATACTACAGCACTGTACAAGCTTGTCCGGTGATTTCTGACGAATCAATACAGCGATTTGCACAAATTTGCGTGTTACGCCAAACTTCACACTACGGCGCGCGACGCCACACTGTTTAAACACGTAACTTGCATTTGACTGGCTGGTGGCTTAATACACGCCATACATTGTATGGGGATAATAGTAACTGCCTGGCGGAAGGTGGTTAGAAAATGGTCAGTGCAGTACGCGACAATCTGCCTGCGGAGCGCATTTAGGAAATTTGATGAACGTAATGAAGTGGCCATCGTTATAAGCGCAAACTTCGCGCTAGCTGTACCTTTACGTAGGAAATTACCGGACAAGCTTGTACATAATAATTATTATTATGTACTCTGTAGTAACGTAAATCAGGAATACAAAAGTACAGGTACATGTAGCTGCTGTACATGCATCAGATAGAGAATACTAACGTTAGTTGAACTATGCCAGAGTGCCAGACTGCAAGCTTATATTCAATTAAATGGAAGATATAATTATACAGGAACCAAGCTAACGCAACAATTAAAGTTAATACGTATTTCTGCGAGTCAGCACTACTTGACACTACGACTGTACTGGCAAAAACTTTAATGCAAACAATTACCTAAACTGAATTAATTAACGATGTACAGATACATCGTAGCAATTGCGTTGCATTTACTAAGCTTACTGCCGTCTGCGCCGCTGCCGACCATGCTGTTGCCACCAGAAGTCGGTAGATTTGAGACGCGTACCGTGGTTTAGCACCATTGACGATAAATAAGTAATACTTCAGTTTGTACATGCCATATTGGAGAGTTTGTCAGACAGTTCAGCGTTGATTTTTCCCATTTTTTTGTAGTTACTAATAACAGTTTATCGAACGATCAACACTACGGCCGGAACGGTGTTAAGCGCATTATCTACGGCTAGTAGTGTACATGCATATTATTGCATGAATGGCTGGGTACCCTGCGTTCGATTAGCTGGATCGATTGGCTGTGATCATTCCAGTCTAGATCTCAGGCATATGCAGGCCGGTAATGCTTTCGTGGCCCGCTTTGCAAAGGTCACAGGTCGATGCACGGACTGAGTGATACATGTATGGCATGCGCAGAGAGTTGCTGATCGGTCGATATTTGATGCAGAAGCGAAGATGCAGAGAGACGCCGCGCAGGTTCAGGTTCAGGCTAGGCGGATCGGATAGGGCAAGGGAAAGGGCGCCTAATTGATAAGTGCGATCACTTCATCACATCGCGGCGAGCGAGGCGGCCGGGAAGACGGGAAGACCGGCTGCATCTCAGCGCGTGTCGCACCTGAGAGTGCTGTGGCATTTGGCCATTATCCAGTCAGCCTGACTGCATGGAGCGACGCAGGCCACGCACTTGACTGCGAGATTACGACTGCGCCGAAACTGGGACACCTCCATCATCCAGATATCATGCACGTAAACAGCAGCACACGCGCCTGCATATATATATGTAGCCAGCGTTCCTGTGATCCCATATATCCCGCGGGTGTTTATTGACGTTGCTGTGGATGCGCGTACGTGTATACTCGTACCGTATATAACTGTGCAGATACGAGTACAGCAGTTGCTGCAGGTGTTGTCAGTGCTTGTAATTGTGCTCTGTCATATTTATGGACCTGTCAATATTTACGCAATTCATTCCCCATCCTCTTCCCTTGCCAAGTTGCCCGGCCCGCCATAATTGCCCATAAGCACACTGTCCATGCTCTTGTGTAATTGTAAATTGTTTTATGATTCAGCCCGTTATTTCCTCAGCCCGACCGTACGTAGTAGTTACGTACCTTTCACTGCTCTTTTTCTGCTTTTTTAAAGCGATTTTTTAAAGCGCAGGCCACTGTGCTTTGCCATAATTTCTGTGATTTCCCACTGTCTGCACCCGTTGGCGTTGCGTAATGAGATGCGGAAGCAGGCCTGCATTGTTGTCGAATTATGGGAGACGTCCGTTTCCATTGGGAAAGCATCACAGCGGATGGACGCGCTGGGTTTCCGGTTAAATTAATTCCGCGGGTTGACGAACGTGCTGTGGGACTCTGGTCTTCTCCGCTCCGGATCCTTCCATGCTTGTTTATCCGTTTATTATGCCAGGCACTAGGCAGTGATAATTACGCAATCGTTTCTCGGCGAATCCTCGATCGACGCTCATGATCATCCTGACTGCTGCGTATCTGTAGATGGAGGGAACAGTTATGCACAGCAATCGCAGTAATATAACATACCTAATTATACGTGTTTGGTAGCCACCAGCGGATGCCTACAAGTACCTGGACTATCTTTGCAGACCCACACTACGAGTGGCTGTTTGCTACGGGTGTTAACGTTCACTTCATGAACCATGGGAATACGTTTTGTACGTTTTCTACACAATCCTCTTATGCACAATACGTCGTTCCGTTTTACACATTTTCTGCGCTTATCAGTTATTAAGTTTTGCGGTTGGTGATTATTCAGTTTTTTTCTATAATAATTTACAGCGTATTGTATCGGAAATACCGCTCAACTTCCTTAAGGTTGCTTTCCTTTTTCTTGCAATCTTACGTACACACACTTTTTCCCTAATGTACATATTTTGTACATTTGTACAGTATTAATTCTATACAGGGACGAATTAATTATTATTTTTTATTAATTTTAATTACTGTGTACACAGTACTTACTCTTGTTAATACAGTAATACTGTACCAACAAAGTGTGGTTGATGCTTGCGTGCGACGTATGTGGAAGACTGTACGTACGTGTTTACACGGGAATCTCTATGGATACTGCCATCATTACAACCGTTCTGTATAATTCTGCATTCTGCACTTGCCTTGGCCTTGCTACTGCTGGATGACCTTTCCCGACGCTGACCTTGTGCGCACGTGTGCAGCAACGACAGCGATGCCTTTATATTACTATGTGTAAGAACTAAGAATAACGTGACAAATGCTCAGCTATTATGCAGTTGATAACTAATGTTCGTTGAAAGTGACCCTCAAGTGACCGCTGGATAAAAGCCAGTCAGTCTGAGCTGACGACGCCCTTGAAGGCAAGCACAACATCAGTGACCTTTACTGTTCTTAATCACCGTGCTGTGGACCTTTGTGCATCCTTGGCCAGACAACAAGTCCTTGAAGATGCCCGTCAAACTGTGCATATGCCAAATATGCAACTGCGGGTAAGATGAGCTTAGAATACCATTATACTATCCCATACCGTCGAGATTTTTACAACTGCTGGCTTCTTTTGTCGCTTCATTGTCACTATGACCTTTTCAATAGCTGACCGCGTCATACAGTCATAATATTATTATTTCATACAGCACCGCGACCTCTTGCTTAAAATTAATGCATCAGCACAACATCGGCTAATATTACTCGTACGTACAATATCTAAACAAATTTATTCAGTACTAAGCTTGTACGTCGGTCATCGAGTAGCAAGTTAGCAACCCACGGATAAAACCGTTCACAGTGCAGTACTATCAATGCCATACTAATAGTAGATTCAAGGCGCCCGGCACAACTGTTTATGGTGCTATCCCGAATTATTACGAGTTGTAATTACAGTTCAAGATAACAGAAAGGTTGTCATCAGAGGCTCTTCATCGCCTTTATATACGTACATAAATTGCGTGCAATGGAGTTACACAAGCGTCCTTAAAGCGTCCCGCATATCATTGTAATTATCTGAGCATATTTTAACAACGATACCTGCGTGTTAAGCAACCTTCATAATCGGTGACTTAAAAGCCTGCAAGTGAAGCCCTTGTAGCTGTAAGTACAATTATGCATTTGGACACTGGCAGAAAACGCTGTTGATATATACAGTGGTATTTGCAATACATCCGCCGCTCGCAGTGTCACTGGAGATACAGAACCGTTCACATGCAGAGTGGTCAGTAAAGCGGAAGTAACGTGTTAATTTCGGTTGCTTATTCTGCAGACGCCACCGCTGCCCGCACCAGCCGACGCCGCGTCTGCTGCCGGACCGCGACACCCCTGCCTCCTCAGCGAGTACGGCTCGCGCTACACCGGCCAGCCCGGCGAGCACGCCCACCCCGTCAAGCCGCCGTCCGCCGCCGTCCGCGACGACAGCCCGATGGAGCGCCGCACCACGCACCAGGAGGACTTCGTGCCGCATCCGCTGCAGCGCCTGCAGGACTTCAAGCCGCAGCAGCTCTACCAGCAGGCCCAGACGCCGATGGACCTCACCAGCACCTACAACTCCCAGTACCTCCGTAGGTCCCGCACTCTACGCTGCCGGTACGCTGTGCTAAGTAATCATGTTCGCTTCCTTCGCTTTAGCCAAAGAAATGTCCCGCGCGCAGCCGTACAAACCGGCGCCGAGGCGCACCGGCGGCGGCAAATTCCGCGGTGACCCCACCTATAACGGTCAGTTTTATTTTAATTTATTTGTGTATTTGTAGTACATTTTAATTTTCAAATCGCGACATTACAGTCATAGTTCCATTAACTACGGCCATCAGTGCACAGTTAAGAATTAAAAAAACAACCAAAATCAGCATTATCAACCAGTTTGTTCTTTGTGTATTTAGTACTAATTTAACTTTATTTATTTTATTATTGGGGAATTAATTTTAACGTTATTATGGTAGCTATTTAACGTTATTATGGAAGCGTTCTAGCATTTATTTTCAGTGGCTCAAGTTCAGCTGCTATCTGCAACATTCTGTTATCAGGAATAAATTTTTTTATTTCGCCCTCCGCGATTGCGTGCTTTGGCAGTTTGGCTGAAAGTCCATTAATTTTTTGTGCTTGCTTAATTATGTTTGGCTGGCTGCCTTATGACTGAGTTGCTTGTGCATGCGCTTTGCAGCGGACTTTAAGCAGTGGCCGGTGATGCGGCGGGAAGTCGTGGTGACCCCCGCGGCCATTCCCCTGCCCACGGCCAAGTTCGGCAACCCCAGCGAGGCGCAGTCACGCTTCGTCCCCTTCCCGGAGGGCAAAGCGGCCGACAGCGCCAAGCCGGCCACCACCGTCTTCCACTCCAGCGACCCCTTCGCCGGCGAGACCACCCACAACGCCGACTACGTCGCCAAGCCCCTTTTCGACAAGGCCCAACGGCCGCAGATCGTCTACGAGCCGCCCACGGTGCCCCTGGACGCCAGCTCCTGCTACCAACAAAATTATACGGTAGCCGGCGTCATCGGCGTCAGTGTGTCCGTTTCTTGACCATCGTACTTGCAGGGCATCCCCGCGAAGCCGGCCGACAGCTGCAAGCCCGCCACCGCTGGCTACCGCTACGCGGACGTCCCCACGGGCCGCACGACGCACCAGAACGATTATGTGCCGGTGCCGCTGCCCAGCAAGGAGCCCAAGAAGGCGCAGGTGTACGCGCCCTGCGATGTCCCCATGGACCTGGCCTCCATGACCCACACCGACTTCCCCTACTGGAAGGACGCCCAACAGGCCGCGCCCTTCCGGCCCAAGCTGGGTCGGCTGGGCGGGGGCCGCTTCTACGGTAGGCTGTCTTGGCTTACGCAGAATTTTTAAACTTCAATATTAATATAACTTAAAAACATAATATTACACGAGTAAAACATATACGAAATAACATAAATCTTAAAAACATATACGAAAAAATTAACTTAAAAACATATACTCGTATTATGCAGATATGTATGTACGCATACGTATATATACGTATATATAAGTATATATTTAAATATATATTAGTATGTATATATTTATATACGTATACATAAGTACTCGTACAGTATTTACTGTATATCGTATGTAACGTGCAATACATCTTTGTACATAATATATAAACAAAATAATATATGCACATATCCATATTATAATTTTTTGTTGTACATATTGCATATCTCAGAGTATTGCATAATATATAGATATTAGCTACAATATATTATGATAATTATGACTATGTAAACAAGTATGCAAATATATAATTCAATAGACATAATAATTTTATGTACAGAATATACGTAAGTATATTGTACAAAATGTACAGAGGGTGATTTCGCAATATGCTTCCAGCACGGACACAAAGTTGCAGTAATTCTCTCCCTTGTTCTTTCCTTCACTTCTTGTCGCTTAAAAATACTTCAATATGTGCTTTATAATTCATGATTAGTTGAATTCGAATACAAAAGTAAGTGGCACTCAAAAGTGATTTTAAAGCGGAACGCCCAGTTTTCCAAACTAAAACAAGTTTTTGACGAGGAAATCTTTTTGCCAGTTTCCTTATTTTCTGAAATTTGACACAGACCATCGCAATCGGTGAGGCGCAGATGTAGCTTCTTTATTCGGACGGGAGATACAAAATTCCGTGCTGCCGCTTTTAAATGTCGTATTAACAAAAAATCAAAATTTGGTAAAAAATGAAAACGAGTGATGTTTGTTTTCCGAAATTATTTACCGGGACAATAATGCAGTGCTTGTGGTCTCTCCCAGTGTTAAAACCACCGTAGATATCTACATTAAAAAGTCGCTCAAAAAACACTTCTCAGGAAAAGCAATCTGGATTTGCAGCACGGGGAGGAACGCAAGGGGAACAGTCAAAATGGCTATCTTCCAGTTCACGAAGCTAACACAGCGTGCCAGTGCCTAGAATCTTACGAAGCCAGGTGTTTTCTGAAGGCCACATAATGTAACAGTTCACTAAACCTATCCATAGATTATGAATTGATGACGATTTTTAGCAAATGGTAATGCAAAGAAAAAATTTATAAATGTTACAGTGTTGCGCACAGACCCTTGTCGGTTTGCAAAATCCACCGTATTCTAAATTGTTTTCATTTGTTATAACGCTAAAGAAAGGGATCAAACTTAACGGCTCTAAGCAAACATACGCAGCTAAGGATGGCAATAAAATCATAAAGAAATTAAAGAAAGTGGAAGCTTGTATACCCTGCTTGTATATGTATTGAGTAATATAGATACAAAATTAATGCAGTGTGCAATGCGCGCGCCGTGTTGTAGACACCACCACCCACCACACCGACTTCACGCCCAAAGCCGGCGACCCGGCACGGAAGGTTCTACCGCAAGAAGCGTGGACGGTGCCGGCGCACAAGTTCGACCACCTGAGCGAGCACCAATCGCGCTTCCAGGGCCAGGCAGGACCGACGGCCGACAGCGCCAAGCCGGCGGTGACCGTGGCGGGCGGCGGCGACTTCTGCGGGGAGACCACGTACGAGCTGGACTACCAGCGCAAGAAGCACCAGTGCCCCGTGCTGACCATCAACAAGACGCACGACTTCGTCGAGGAGAAGGGCCAGCACCGCTTCTACGTCGACAAACCGGTTTAACGGATTTTTGTTTATTCAGACCCTGGTGTGGTTCGGTACACCTGCTTGTTCTGCATGTGATTTTTATTTTATTTGCATAATTGTTTCCGCCCGATCAGCTTCACTCCCTTGAGTTCTGTGTAGTGTTGTGTTGACCGGAAGCGACCGGTTACCTGTACTGTGCACAACTGAGTGGCGAAATTAATTATCAAATTCTGATTGGGTGCCTGTTTTTGCTCAGACAACAACATTCTATCGGGCTCGGACCCGGCGGTGCTGGACTCGCTAACCCACGAGCAGTTCCCGGCCTACTCGACGTCCGGGCGAGCGTCGCGCGCCCGCTTAATCCGGCGCGCCAGCGAGGGCTTCCTGCTCGGCACGGAGTCGCCCAGCTACCATACCACGTTGCAGGACACCTACCCCTCGCATCCGCCGGACGCCCTCGTACGGCAGCATCGTGTGGGTGACGCCCTCGCTGACCACGTGCTGATCGGCGACCCCTCCCAGCGGGACGCCCTCGTCTCCACCAACCACACAGACTACCTCCCGTACGACGTGGCGCGCCGGAAGAAACAAGCGCCACTCGATCTGCTCAATCACAGTGCTTTCTCACTTGGCTTCGGCAGTGGCCAGCCGCTGACCTCGACCAACCACGCCGACTTCCCGGCGTACCGCGTGACCGCCCAGCTGCGAAACAAGCCGGTGGATCTGCTGAACCAGAGCGGATTCGCGCTGGGCGACGACGCCGTGGATCTCCAACGATACCGGACATCCGCGTCGGACTACTTCCAAAAGGGCACGCCGGTGTCCGGAGGGCGGAAGCGGCCGGTACGGGATCTCTTCCGCTCCAGCAGTGGGCTGCTTTTTGGAGGCAGCGCCCGCTCAGCGTCGCGCTTTCTCACTACTTCCCAAAACGCCTACCAATCGATACCGGCGGGTGACAGGAACGCTGCCATCCGCGGCCGCAACGTCTTTCAGGAGACCCAAGATGCTTTCGGTAGGCTTCCACAGGAAGCCAGCGCGATGGGAGGCACGACCGCTTCCCAGGCTTTTACAGGCGTGGCCGGGGCGGAACGCGCCCGCCCGGTGCAGCGCGATTTATTCCGGCAGACGGAGGGCTTCGCCTTGGGCTACGAGGACGACGAGGAATCCCCGCGCTACTCCCGGTTGGGAAAGGAGCGGAGGGCGCGCAGTGGAGACTTCCGAGGCAACCGCCCAGCGGAGGCGGTGGCGGAGAGGGCCGCGGGGGTGGCGTCTGGCTTCGGTCGGAGGCGGCTGTTTGAGCCGTCGGTGCAGTTTGGAGAAGAGGCCGGCTCGGAGGCGGAGGAAGACAATTACTCCGATGCATACCGCTATTCGAATAAGAGGTTAGTACCGCCTAAAAGTCACCTATATATGCAGTGGCTGAAGTGAGTTAACTGTTGTTTGACGAAAACAGCGGCGCTTCGTTCTGAATAATTAAGCAGCTAGTGGTGACCTTTAATGCATATATCTACAGGCGAATTGAGAGTGAGAGCCGAAACGGGGCGGAGGATGCGCGGAATGCATGGGCGGTCAACGAGCGCGACAGACTGGACGCAGCGGAGCATCAGCGCACGGTGAAACGGCTGCGGGAGGAGTTGGCTAAAGTGGGCAAAATGGACGCCAACGGCTTCCTGTGGTTTCCCATTTCATCCGCCGACGCCGATGCGGAAACGTAAGGCTTGCTGCTTGCCTGTTTCTTTCACGATCGGCAGCTACTGAATTGATCAATAACAAAACTGTTGCAGAAACGAGAAGGATGCAGCCAGCGGAATGGCGTCAAGAGCGGAGCGCAGTGAAGCGGAGGCGCTGCTGCCGGCGTGGGCGCTTCGGGAGGCGCAGGCGGCAGCGGAAGACAGACAGACGCGCAAGCGAGCGGCCAGCTTCGGCGGCGGGCGGCGGCCGACAGAGGACGAGGCTAGAGTGGAGCCGCCGCGGGACCGATCGATACACACTGTGACGCACACCCGTACGACCAGCGCCGCGCCTGGCCAACTGCCATCTATCCAGCCAGCCACACACGCAGCCGCTGCCTGGCCCGCCAGAGAGAGTCAGTCAAAAACAACTGTAACCGGCTACTTACAAGATTGCTTACACTAGTCATTAGCATTTTTCTCATGCGCTACCGAACACGTACTTTCTTCTTATCTGCACAGTACTCATATAAATATCTACCCATACATACTGCAGTTAGTCTGCACTGACTGCACATATGCAGTGCGTCCTCACGCATATCATATTATATGGACCACATCGATCGATTGCACGTCTCGGCTTTTCAACTTCCAAGCTGGATACATTCACGGAGACGTTTTTTTATACGATATTGATACAATTACATTCTATCTGCCTTAGCGTTTGATTTGCCTATCGAAAGCAAGATACTAATTTGATTTCCGGCTGCAATCTAAACTCTGTATGTTCATGCTGTGTTGCTAGACGGTGAAAGAGGCGACGTGGCCAGTCCCTACCCGGACTCCATGGACAGCGGCCGCCTCGGACAGGCCCTGGACTCGTTGGAGCGGGACCGCAGCGCCTGGCAATCGGGTCAGGGCTCCCCTGCCGGCCGGGAGGCACGGGCGGCCTCGGCGGACGCTGCCGGCCGTGACTGGGCGCGCATCCAGCTGCCGCGGTTGATCCCGGTTCCAGGTCCGGTTAAGGCCGACGGACAGACCTCCACCGACCACCGGGAGGCGACGGCACAGGCAACGCAGGTGGAGGCGCCGACCAGTCCCGGTCGGAAGAAAGGTAGTTACTTATATATGTATGGACGCTGGAATATACATATTACTTGATGGTGCATTGTAGGTAAAGGACGGGTGTCGCGTTCGACGTCCATCACCGGCAAAGAAGCGGAAGCAGCCGGGACGACCGACGCCCCAGTCAGCGCTCGCTCGCGGCGGACATCGCGCGCCGACAGTCTGGGCGCGGAGACCGGCAAGTTCAGTCCGACGGCCGCCCGCCGCGGTCGCCGACGCATCGGCGACAGCAGCCAGCGCAACCAGAATCCGCGGCACACGGCGATGGAGGGCATCCTGGACCACGGCTTCACCGAGCAGACCACCACGAGCCAACAGGCCTTCGCCGAGAAGACACTGGTGCAAGGCAGCGACAGGCGCCGTATCCGCGGCTCCCGCCCACCGGCCGGCAGCTTCGAGGTGACCAGCCAGCCGGTGCAGCACAGTCCGCGGTCCGGCCCGGTTAAGACCGAACTTAGTGAAGCCGGCGTAGTCAAGCCAGCGCGTTCACCGGGACCGGAAGTGCCCATCCACATCGAGCAGCGCCGCGTGGAGTACCAGACGGTCGGCCCGGACTGGCAGCCGACGCAGCCCATTCGCTATGCCGACAATCTAACGCTGGACAAAACAGCCGGCTTCCCGGGCCGGACCACCACCAAAGACGATTACGCGCTGCGGGAATTGGTGGACGGGAATAAAGATCGACTGCGCGGGCACAGTTTGGACCGGAAACTGGCCGCTAGCCAGCTGGGTGAGGTCCTGGCCCAGCCGGGTCAGAGTGAGGCGGACCAGAGGAAAAGCGTGCAGCAGGCTTACAGCGCAACACCGGCACAACTAATACGCCCCCAGGACAACCAAGTGCTCAACGTCGCGCCGGACGACCGAAAAGTGGCCAACCGTTCGGTGAGCCAGGACACTTACCAAGGGTTGGCAAACGTCCAGCGACCACAGCCGGTTCTTCAGACTGACAACTTAACGGTTGGCGGACTGGGCAGTGACGCAGTGACCGGCGTGTCGGCCAATCAGGAGACATACCAGGGCCTCCAGCTTCCCGAGGAACGAGTCGTGGCCGGGCGAAAGGCGGACACCTGGGTGCTAGGAGACCGGGACGGAGAAGAGCCCCGGCACTCGGTCAACCAGTCGACAATGCAGACGTTCCAAGCCGGCATGGAGCGGTCTCTTCCGTTGCGGAGGCCGGACAACCTCGGGGTTGACACTTCCGGTCAGCCCATGCCGAGCCAATCGGTTACGCAAGAGGCTTACGCAGCGCAAGGAAGCGGGCTGCAACGGCCGGCGGCGATCCGAAAAAGTGATACCTTGCATCTTGGAGACAGCACTAGTAATCAAGAAGCAGCGAGATCCTTAACCCAGGAGACCTTCCAATCACTTCCGGCGGGCTTCGAGCGGCCAGCAGCCGTTAGGAAGAGCGACACACTGAGTCTCGGCGATGCGGCGTTGTTGGGAGCAACAGCTGCGTATCAGTCGGTCAACCAGCAAACCTACCAAGCGCACTCAATCGGCGTTGAGCGCGCACTTCCGGTGCGGAAGGAGGACACCCTCCGCCTGGCTGACTCGCAGGCGTCGGGAGCGGCCACCCAGTCCGTAATGCAGGAGGCGTATCAAGGCTATTCCACGAACGCTGAGCGAGCCTCTCCGCTGCCGAGACCGGACACCCTGCATACGCTGGCTGACGTGACCAACGGTCAACAACAGTGGAGCTCCGTTTCCCAGGAAGCCTACCAAGCGCACCAGTCGACAGCGGAACGACCACTTCCCTTCCGCAAAGCGGACACACTGCGCATTGGAGAAGGCGGGGAGGTGAGCCAGGCGATGAGCAACAAGTCGGTTAGCCAGGAAGCTTACCAAGGCCAGTCGGAGGTCGAGCGTGCGGTGCCGGTCCGGAGGGATGCGGCACTGACCCGGATCGGCGACGAGAGCGCTGTATTGGCCGGCAGATCTGTTAGCCAAGATGCCTACGGCGCCTTCAATGCGGCACAACAGCAAGCAGCCCGACAGGCGCCAGTAATCCCACAGTCTTCCTTCTCCCTAAACGACCAGCCCGTGGACATGCAGCCGGCGCAGACGCTGACCCAAGATTCCTATCAATCCGTTAATGGCAACGCCCCAGTGCGACCGCCGGCATTCCGACCGCCCTTGGCCGTCGACATCTTCAACCGGGACATGAGTGACTGGGAGCCAATGACGACCAACGCCGAGACCTATAAGGACACCGGCCTGGATGTTGTCCGTCCGCAGCGTCCCGGCCGGGCGCGCGATGCTGGAGTATCGGACTTAATCGGACCGAGCAGTGGCATCACGGCCGAATCCTCGACGAGCACAGCGTTTCGGCAGTTTGATCCGTTCGATCCTGCTGTCCTAGCCGCAGCCAGACCCAACGCTGTCCGGCGGCGGTCAGCGGAAGCGCTTCTCGGGGCGGCTGACGCTGAGACGGGCTGGCTTACAACATCCCAAGAGGTAAGTGGACGCTTTTCAGCGTTGGCTTTATTTATATGCGGCTTTCTTATGACAGGTATACCGAGACGTTGGCGCGGTTGACCGGGTGGTTAACGGGAGGAAGCCTCCAGAGAAACTGCCCGGTATCTTCCCCGGAGACGCCGATAACGAGAACCGTCCAGCAGAAAGGTCACGCATGCAGGAAGCGTACCCGGCGCATTCCGTTGACGCCATAGCGCAGGCGCGCCCCGACGCATTCCGCCCGCAATCCACGTTGACCTTTAATAACACCCCGGACGCCGCCGCCCTGGGAGGGGCAATCGGTCGCCAGGATTACGGCCGCTTCACCGACGCTGAGATGCGGGAAGCTCGAGCAGTGCCCTTCTTGCCGGTCGCCGACCACGCTAACCTTATCTTCCCGCCCACCGTGGGAGGGTCGATGCAATCTACTTCGCAGCAGGATTACGTTGAATTCCCAGCGGAAGCGGCCGGTCGAAGTCGCGCACAAAAGGTCATTCACGCGGATAACTTGCGCAGCGAGGCAGCAAAAGAGGGCAGCGCTGATCAAAGTGTCTCGCAAACGACGTATACTGGGGTACAGCAAGATGACCGGGCCAGGGCGTTTCTTCCACAGGATGAGTTGCAGCGGATTGGAAGAGCGTCGCAAGGCGAAGCTGACCGGATGCTAACGACCTCCCAGCAGGATTATACGGCCGGGGATCTCCCGGCGCGATCTCGTCCGGTGATCTCCAAGGGAGAACTGAATAACCTTTTCGACGGCACGGAAAACAATGAGCGCCTGCAGTCCCTGGCGCAGGACACCTACGTGACCTTTCCCGGAGCGCAGCCCGCTAGGGCCATCCGTCCGGTTGACCGCCTGCTGACGGCGATGGGCGCTACTGCCCTGTCGACGGTCAGTCAGGAGGCATACAACGCCTCCGCGTTGGCCAATGCCCGGCGCACTCCTATTCGCCCGCATTCCGCCCGGGACATCTTCAACAAATCTACCCGCGCCGCTCCGACGCGCACCACGAATCAGGACGCCTACACGTACCGGCAAGACGACATGCCCAGCGTGCCGGGTAATCGTCTGACCCGCTACGACGCCGCCGACAACCTCCTGAACCGCTCGGACCTCCCTCCGGCCACCTCGGAGAGTCAGGACGCCTTCGCCGGCTATGGAGATACTGGCGAACGTCGGACATTGGTCAGACCACAGGATAATCATCAGTCCTTCCAGTACAGTGACGCAGCGGTGACCTTTCCGCAATCATCCTCCCAGGAAGCGTACAGCGTGGTCAATGGGCGACCGTTGCGGCGTCCACCACCAGCCCGACGGCCACTTCCCAACCAGAACGTTATCTTCCCCGACAACGTCCCCGGGGCGGCTGTGCTCTCGGAGACACAGTCGGCCTATCAGAACACCAACGGAGTCGTCCGACCTGCCGCCATCCGTCAACAGTCAACGTCTAACCTCCTCAACGGCTCCGATACGGACAACGCACAGCAACGGTCGGTGTCGCAAGATGCCTATGGTCCGCCTGCGGCCTCCAACTACGCCAGATCCCAGGCGTCCGATCGCCAGCGCCGCCGTCGTCGCGAGTGGCGGGAGCTGATTTCCGAGCCGAACTCGGTGCGCAGTGCCGGCAGTGGACGGTACACGCGACAGTCGGCGCGGACCTCGGACGCCAACCCGCTGCAACTGCCTCCCATCGAGAACGGAGGCCCCGCTCGCACCATGTTGACCAGTAGTCAGTCGGCGTACGGGCATCCAGGAGCAGTTGTACGCTCGTCGGCTGGCAGCCGGGCGCAGATGATGCGGCAGTCCAGCTCGGGTGTCATCCAGACGACAGGGGGCGCTGCGATCGGACCGGCGGTCAGCGTCACGCAGTCGGCATTCACGGGGCAGACGGCCGACCGAGTGCAGCCGATCCGGCACGTGGAGACCAGTGTCGGCGCGCTGCTGGCCGCCGGCGGAAGCGGTGGCCGGGGGACCACCACCAGCAACGAGGCCTTCCGTGACTTCAGCGCGGACCTGGCCGGTGTCAGGCGCTACCGGCAGCGCGCCAATTCCCAGCCGCCGGCCCTGGTGGACTCGGTGCAGTTGGGCAGTGGGAAGGAGGCGCCAACCACCTCCGTCACCCAGCAGGCCTTCAAGAGGTACGTCGTTATTGTACTGCCCAGTGACCTTTACCTGAACTTTCTCCGTGTGCTAGCTACGACGTGTCCGCCATGGATCGCGCCGTGCCGGCACCGCGACCGGACCGGTTGGCCCGGCTGAACCCCATCACGGGCGAGGTGCAGCTCTTCAAGCCGCAGCTGCAGGCCGACCGGACGGGCCAGACCGGCGTCCGCCTCGTGCCGGTGGAAGGCAAGGTGTGTCCGGCGGCGCTGCTGCTGTCGGGATCGACGGAGACCAATACCTGGAAGTTCCTCGGCCAGGAGTTCGGCCACCACTTCTACCGGGTGGACACTTAATTGATTTGCCTACATGTACATCGTGAACTGAATGCTATCAGCTGAGACACTGCACGAACTGCATCAATTAACAGCATCTAGTGCAGCTGTGCATTAAGTGGTGCGCATACCGGTAATTATTACTGTAGATTTAATTGCCGATTCTCCGCTGACTGCCGTGTGGATAAAATACACATTACCAGCCTACAGTGTCCCTTTTACCCGAAAGCGGGCAGTTTTTTAAACACAAAATCTAAAACTGTTTATAATTTGATTCGCGAAGCAGCCCGACTTCGCACGTTTTTTTGTTCTGCCTGGAGTCGCGCTTTAATGATAATGACGTCCCGTAGGCTCGTATAAGCAGTGCAACGCTGAAATTCCCTAGGTGCTCTTAATAAAGGTGCGTAATTGCATTAACCCAGTCGACTGTTGAATTAAAAATGATCACGATGCAATTTCACTGCAGATCAGTGCGCACAGTATTTCAACATCTATTTTGTTTTTATAATTATGATGATAATGCAACTTGATGCTCGTATAGTTGTCGAAAGTCATAACAATATGGTAACGAAATTGCGTACATCATTACATGTAAGAACAAGCATTCGTATTAAGTGCCGGCGTTCGTATCGCCAACATTATTTTTATACACGTTTTGTCAATAGGCAAAAGAACCAATACTGTCATAAATAGTTTGTTTGGCAAAAGTTCAGGCACTGTCAGCGGCACTAATTAAAAAAAATGTAAATTAATTAATAATAACAGTTAAAAAACGCAGTGCAAAACAGTCACTCCTAACGATTTTAAGTTCTAAACTTCTAAGTTCTAACCATAAGCCGTATTAACTAAAAACTTCCGGTTCGCTCGCTTCACATGGATTTCCGTTAGCGCTATTAAATGCACTATAATTCGCCGATTTGTGCTATGAAGCTTCGTGAATGGCTGGAACGGCAAAGCGTGGGCCGCACTCGGATTGGCCACGCCCACCGAGCCCACGCTACCGGCCAATGCGAAGCCCCGCCCCGCTCCACTGTGTCAGAATGTCCATGTTGCCTTTGCATCGCCTGCTCGTGTGACTGTGGAGCGGGCATGAGCGTGCATTTTGCATTGAGCCTGACCGAGAGCCGAGAGGCAGCAGCTTGTTTATCTCATTCATTAGCGGTGCACTGTCAAAATAAAATTCGGATGAAATTGATCGACAGCGATAGACCTGTTTATCCGCATCCTGGTCTTCCAATTCTCCACGTTGTCCTGGCACGATTTTAGTGTTCATCCGCTCGGTGCTGGCTTGGCTGCCACTATAAATTGCGCCGAGGAACGCCGACCTGGACTGGAAATTGACATTTATTCGTCAGTAATTATAAGCTGTGCGTGTAATCCGTTCTGCTCCGTTGCGTTGCTCAGCGCTGAGCACAGCCATCGCGCAGCACACCATCGAACCGCGGCTAATTCCCGCCAGCCAAGTGTTTTCTCCTCCTGTCTCTGCTGAATAATTTAATACGTCTCCCGGGCGGAAAAGGAATTGCGGTGAGCGTAAGGACACGTTAAATGAGTTGGTTGGGATGCCGATTTTCTTTATTGTTTCACGCTTGAGCTCCTTCTGAGCGATAATTGGCGTGCGGGGCCTGTTTCCCTGTACCGTGCAGGTTGTTGTTAATTAGACGAACAGGTGCGCACTGTTCTGTGCAGGCGCCATATTTTCGCTGCAGAAACCGAGATCAGGTGCGTTGTTAACTGTCAGGCGCCAACTGTTTTCTTACCTTCTTTTCGAACTACCAGAAAGATCTTTCATAAATTATAATGTGTAAATACTGAATCCAGTTTTTTTTACGAACAATCATTTTCAAATTTATTGCGTGGAGTTTCCGTGACCGAACATTGTGTTTCGCACGATTAGCAGCGTAACCGTTTCAAGATACTTTCAATAATTACAATTGATAATTCTAGAAATTTGTGATTTTTTCCGGAACGATTTCGCCGAGTATAGAAGCCTGGTTGTGTCAGACGCTCCGGTTTATTTATAGCTGTCGAGTCCCGCAATTTTGACGAATCACACAGATACTGAGATACAGGTGAGAAAACAGAATAGCGCAAACTAATCGCAATCGGGTGTACTGTATTTTGTGGAGGGCGTTGAAATTTCGAATCTGATTAAATTTCTACTGTAGTGTTTCGCAAGAAATTGCTTGCATACATAGCAGAAAAGCCTGCGCTGGTATACGGCTATTTTAAATGATTCAGTACAACGATTACTGTAATTTTCGTCAATTAAAATGACAACTAGATTAGTGCCTGTATTTGGAAAGGTGTTTTTTGGAGAAAATGCGGCACTGCAGATTCAGTGCACACAGCCATAGCCCATAGATGCGCTGTTACGGGGAATGGGAAGCTGTTTTGTGAATGGAAGTACCAGCAGTAGCAGTCGTAGTAGTGAGGCAGGAAATTGTGTCCAGCTGTGTCGGCACTGGTAGCTGCTGTTGCAAAGTGCTGACGTTTCGAAGTTGTGCGATAAGGACAGGACGGAAGGTGCAAGCTGCTGACAATGGCTGCTCAAGTGGCCTCCTTCCGGTTGCAGTTATTTGGCCTGGGCCATCGCAGCTGGCGCGTTAGACGGATAGATAGATGTGCAAACAGTGTGCGATTTCTTCCAGGGTTCGGTTCATGATCATTTAATGCAGGCTGACTGGCCGCTGCGGCCTGTAGCCCTGCACCGTGTAGTGAGTGGGTAGTTGAATAAGTTTGCGCTGACGTAAGCAGACACAACGCGTGCCCGTTGAGTGGATCGCTTCGTCAGGGCATTGTGGCGCAAACGCGTGTGTAAAGGGCGAATTATCGCAGTAGAAGCATCGTAGTATTAGACGTGTTAGTAATTGTGGCCGCGTGGTTGCAGGTGGAAGATGGCCAGCAGCGGAAGTCGTCTGTGGAATTTCTTCAAGTCGCGCGTGTCCCTGCCGCACGGACAGCCGGCCTCGCTGCTGCAACTGCAGAAGGTACGTACTAGTCACAGCGTCCCGCTGCTCCCGCCGTGATCATGGGCCCATGGCGGCGGCAGCGCACTTGTTCATTTCCGCGCTTGCCAGTGAGTAATTTGCATACTCATTCACTCACACACAGCCAGCTGTCTTTGTTCTCTTCCCGTCACCATGCGGCGCGCTCATCGCTGCTGATCGTTGCGTAATCATCCTCCTCGTGTTAGTCAGCCCGTTTCGCGCCTTTCATCTCCTAGTATTTAAGGAGGCGTCCGCGCTGCATATTAAAAGAAAACGTTTTATCTCTTTATGTAACAAAACGGTCGGGAAGGATGTTGTTTCGGTTCAGATGGAAAGAATATGGGTTATACATGTGATAATTATTTTTACTAACATCGATATATTGCACAAATAACTTACAGTCGGTACAGACTGCCGAAAAAAGCTAAATTTTATGCATAAATTTACGAGCAGTAATTCGTGTATTGATGTAAAAATATGTCTTCCTTCACGTCAGCATGGCTCATATTTCACCGGTTGTGACTTCCGATTACTACTGATATCATTAGACATAATTGTTGATTACGTAAACGAGTGCACGGTGCAGTAATTACTGATTACCATTGATTTGCGCTTTCTCAGTGCTTTCTTTCCCATTCGTTACGCTGTTGCGAATATGTATCGGTTTCACTCAGAACTCGTTGGAGGAAAAAGGTTAAAAGTAAGGCCAAATGATAACAAGATGCTTTTGAGGGTTTGGTGCGGTTTAGCGGTAGTAATCTGGTGACATTCTTGAAGGAGAAAGTGATAACAGGACTGGAGTGGCTGGCTGACAGAAGTATTGCACTGGTGTTGTGTACCGTGTGGCATGCTTAATGGTTGACGCATAGAAACGGCATGACTAACGACATGATTGTATCCTTGCAGGACATCCAGTGCGGCGTCCCCGAACACCCGACGGCGCTGGCCTACGACGCGCCGCTGGACTTGCTGGCCATTGGGACGGCCTTCGGACTGGTCAAGATGTGAGTGTGCGCCTTGCCTTGTTGTTACTTGTTGCGGCTTGTCATACGAAGCACGATGAATAGCGGCGCTGGTGAATGGTTTGGTTTGTGTGTAACGTACACAAGTTAAGCTTGGGAGTGAAAGCCGGCACAAAGGCGCGTGTTTTGCTTGGAGTGGGCCGGTGAAACAGGTTTTCTTTCTCTTTCTGCCGTCCCCGCTAAGAGTCTAAAGACGCTGGCGTGTTTGCTGAGCACAAGGGCCCAGCTGGTGGTTGTCGTCGCGAGTGGAGAACGGCGCTCCTCGTTGACCGGGGCTGCCTGCTTGTTGTGTAGTTATAGAGAGGGATTGTTGACGGCCGGATTGTTGTTTGCCAGGTGGTTTTTGTGGTTGTGCCGCGGCTGTATCGAGTTGCATTGTTGGCGGGCAGCCTTCCGTGAGATCGATGCGATTGCGAGTCTTGTCAATGGGGGCTCTGTGTCGCGGCTGAGGCATGCGTAAGTAAGTAAGGCCAGGCCGCTTATCGCTGCGTGCCGGCTGCCGATGCCGGAAATCGCACTCCACTGCTGCATTCAGCGATAGTATGCAGATACTACTGGCTACAAGTTGCTTCTCATCTTGTCGTGGCTTGTTGCACAATGACCCCTGTGTCAGCGGCGACTGTCGCGACTCGACAGGATAGTCGACACTGCGAGCTAGTTGGCTGTCTTTGTTTACTTGTTGCACATGTGTGCGTGCTGGATTGCGTGTAATCCTGCCAGCCAGAGCATCATCAAAAGGCCTGCAGGGTCCAGTTCGTTTATTTGCCGTTTTCTATCCAGTTCTCCTCTAGCGGCAACGCAGGCCGGCGTCAAGGCGCTGTCTCTCTTCGGGCAAATTAACCATCATTGCGCTAATGGTGCATCTTCCTGCTCGACCTTATCCTGTGAGTTCAGAGAAAGCATCTCGTCAGCAAAGCGGCGACAACTGCCGCACTTCGGAGTAATAAAAGCAGTGGTGAATAAAGATAATCCATAGACGCCTATTTTCCTCGCACTTTAAACTACTATGCTTTGATGAAACATAATTTAGTTTTGTAAAAATTCACTTGTAGTTTGGGGGCACCGGGTGTGGAGATCGATTACCATCAGGAAAAAGATACTCCCATTAAATTCCTCTTTTTTCTACGCACCGCGGTAAGCAAATCTTCGGTTCTCAAGTACTATTAAAGTGCTGTAATTTTGACGACGCTGTGTGCTTGATGCAGGGACGTTTGTTGGTCGTCTACGAAAATGGCTTGTTGGAGCTGTTGGAACTGCGCACCGTCAACGAGATCTCGGAACTGCACCTCGTTAAAGAGACCCATTCCTCCAGGTATAGAGCCATCTGTTGTTAAACCAAATGTCGCTTTTGTATAATCTTTTTCCTCTTAGACTGGAGCATATTTCCTGCGCTACGCTGGTTGCCGATACCGCGTACATCGGGACGGAGAAGGGCGCGTTGCTGTCCGTGCTGATTCCGTCGTTGGAAGTGCAAGACGACAGCGAGCGACTGGACTATGCCGCCGTGACCCAGTACGAAATTGGCCTTTTATTCTTTAAGCAAGATGCCGACAATGTGTGCTGTTTGTAGGAAAGAAACGCTTGTCAGCAGCGAAGGCGGGGCTGCGGTCGAGAAAGTGGAGAAGAAGACGGAGGAAGTGAAGGCTGCGGCCGTGATTGCTCTGGCCGGGCATCCGTTGCAGTCCAACGTGTTGGCCGTGGGGATGGCCGGGGGACGCGTCCTCGTCTGCGACATGGCCGCCAGAGTGCTCCTGAATTCCTTCCATCATGACCAGGTCAGCCGGCTAACAGTATGCTGCATAGGACTGAAGAAAAATGAACTTTTTAAATTTTATTCCCTCACTAATTTTCTATTATAAATACTCATATCAGTTAGTAATTACTGGTATATCGTTATTTTTAGCAGTTTTTTTATGAATTCAATAGTTTTCTTGCGCAGTGACGTTATCTCGCATTGAATTTTCAGGACGTGACGGGCTTGACATGGATGTCGAACGGCGCAGCGCTGTACGCGGCGTTTGGCGACGGCAGTTATCTGAGTTGGGACACCGCGGATAACTCGGTCCGCGGCAAACCAGTTATCCCATACGGTGAGTTGGGGTTAGGTGAACAATTGATCGAACTGCGCCATCCAGTGTGCTGCTCGTAGGGCCATTTCCTTGCTTGCCGCTGAAGAAGATTATTGTCCATTCGCACGGCGCACCCGAGTAAGTTGACTGCTTTTTCTTCCTGCTTCCTTAGATAAGCGAATGTGTTTGGTAATACAGTGAGCCGACCTCGTGGGTCATCTTCGAGGGAGGACTGCCGCCGCGCTTCACCCAGCACAGCAGTCTGACCATCTCGCGCAACGACAAACAGGACGTGCTGGAGTTCCCGGCGCCCGTGGTGGATTACATTCTCTTACACCAACCCGGCGGTAAATTCCACCAGCAGATTCTTGTGATTTTATTCCTTAACGTTTCTGCTGCAGACGCGACGTCCGTGCCGCACACGCTGTTGGTGCTGCTGACCAACCAGCTGGTGGCCGTCGACCTGACCGCCGACAAGTTCCCCGAGATGAGCGTGCCGTACCTCTTCAGTCTGCACGCGCCCCTCACCGCCTTCCGCTACTACAGCCAGGTGCCGGGCGCGCTCTTGAAGGACCTGGCCGACATCTCGTCCAAGCCCTCCGAGCTGCGTCCCTTCGGCGGCTTCTCCCACAAAGTCTCGCAGCGGGTAGGTGCTAGCTTCTTTACTCGCCTCGTTTATTCCATGTTGCTGACGCTTTTCTTTGCGCAGGAGTGGCCGATTCGCGGTGGGCGTCGCAACGCGGACACGGACTCTTCGGGCGATCTCCTGTTGACCGCGTAAGTTGACACTAACATTGTAAGACGCAGTATTTTATAGGAAATCGACATGTGCGTATTGACAGGCATGGTGACGGTTCCGTGCGCTTCTGGGAGGTGTCCGAGGGACGGGTGCGCTTCCTGCACCGGGTGTCGCCTCCCAGCCGCTATTACTACTTCGACCAGGAGAACGTGGACTATACCGATGATAATTTCGACGTCTGGCCGCCGTTCCGCAAAGTACGCGTTTGCGCACGTGTTAATAGCATTAAAATTAGTTTTAATAAATAGAATTGAGTGTTTTGCAGTACGGTGTGAATGCGGCGGACATGTGCGACCAGCGTCTGCGCATCGAGCACCTGGCCTTCGATCCGTGCTCGCGCAGTTTGGCCGTCGCCGGACAAGCCGGTCGGGTCATGCTCTACACATTCAACGCGGCGTATGCTGTTGTCGATTTCCAGGTTTGTACCGAATTCATCCAAAGACCTATTAATAAAAGGAACAGTGTGTCAATTTATTAATTTACTCTTCTGGACTAAATTCTATCCTATTCTTCTGTATTGTTTTCATAATTGAATAATTGTAATATTTCGTTGGCTGATTGCAGACAATCGGCGTGCAGTTGGTGGGCGAGGAGTACGATTACGTGTGGCGCGGATGCCAGCCGCTGCCGCACCGCAACGGCAATCTGGAAGATTTCGCCGGATTCCAAGGCCAGTTGAATGTGCAGCTGTATCCGCCGTCACAGATCACCGCTCTCGATCTGCACCCGCAGTGGAAACTGTGAGTTCTTTGTTATTATCCACTCGATAATTATTAAAAATGCTGTATTATTCTGTAGTGGACAGGTCACACACAGTAATTACGAGCCTTCGAAGGCTGAAAGGAAGTAAATAAATTATTCAAAATTTGATTAAAAGTAATTGGATAATACTTTCAAATGATCCTTAAGCATATCTCTATGTGGAATGTCATAAATGCATTGGTATTCCCATGACAGACTGGCTGTGGGAACGGGCTACGGCTTCGCGCTGATCGACTACACCAACAACGTCAGCGTCTTCTCGCAGTGCACACTGGACCGCGGCGAAGAGGGCGGCTTCCTCCACTCAGCCGCCAACGGGGGCAGTCTGAGTCTGCAGCAGAAGGCGCGGCTGGCCGGCGACACCCTGCGCCGTTCGCTGCGCCGCATTCCGCGGCCCCACCTCCCGCTGCGGACACCCACCTCCCCGCTGGTGGAGAACGGGAAAACGGGCAAGTACCGCCAGGTGGAAGCGGAGGCAGCGGTAGCGGCGTCGCCTGAGTTGCTGGCCAGTCCCGTGGTGGAGGAGGAGCGCATCAACGCACCGTCTCCCAGCGAAATCAAACCGCCGACGCCCATCATTCCCACGGAAGACATCCTCAAGGAGACCGCCGCCCGCAACAGCATGATCCACGTGTCCAGCAACGGCGTGGACGTGGTCAAGACGGAGACGGTGGAGGTGGTCAACGGGATCAAGGAGACTCATTTGGCGGAGACCACCATCACGGTGGAGGCCGGGAAGGCGGTGGACGAGACGGAGGCCCTGCCCGCCGTCGTGGTGGAAGCGGAGAAGGCCAAGGAGGCGCAGGAGAAGGAGCGCCGCGAGCGGATCTACGACTACGAGCGGACGACGGTGCGCAGTGTGCTGCTGGAAGAAGCGGCGCTGGACGAGGGCTGCCTGTCGCCGCCCAGCGGGAACTGTCTGTTCGTGGGACTGAACAACGGGGCCGTGTATATTTACGGCCTGAATCTGGGTGCGACGCGAAGTGTCAGCGAGCCGTCGACGGGAGCGGAGGGACCGGGACAGCCGGCGTTCAGCGCGGTGAAGCTGTTGAAGGAGATCCATCTGCGGCACGGCGCCCCCGTCATTAGCATGTTCGTGGTGCCCGGGTGGGTGTGCAGCAGCCACAAGGACAAGACGGCCCACAAGCCCAGCAAGTCCAAGACCATGCCGGTGCTGTCGGCGCTCAGCCAGACCACCGGGGAACCCGCGTCGGCAGAGAAGGGGGACGTGGTCGTCGTGCGAGCCACGGAGGAGCCGCTGCCAGTGGACGTGGCCTCGCCCGTGTCCACGGAGACGCCCATGACGCCGCCGCCCACTCCCACGCCGCTCAGCAAGACGGCCTACGGGCGGCTTTTGGTGGTGTCCGAAGAGCAGATGAAGGTGCGTTGCTGAATGTCGCTAATAATGAACGCTAAGGTTTAATGCAAATTCGCTGTTTGTACAATTAATTCTTTGCAGTTATAATTAATTCGCTAGATTTATGTTTTTGCTATTAATTAGGTATTTATGCAATTCGTTATTAATTTTTAATTATTTCGTTATAATTTTAACGCAGTACTTTGTATAATTGAACGAAATCGATATCATCATTACATTTAATTGGTTATCACATAATTACAGTTAAGTACAGATTTAATTAATTTGCTCTAATGGTAAATGTGCGGATTATGTCGGTCAATTGAACTGTGCTTGCAGTTATTCCAATTGCCGACGCTGAAAGCCATCTGCAAGTACAAACTGCAGCACGGCAAGTTCACTCGCGCACAGGTTGTGCAGTTGCCGGGTCTGGGCCACAACGAAAGTAAGTCCTGATTCCAACGTGACTGCTTATGTCCCTCGTAACGCTGTGCAAACATGTATCTTGGCAGAGGACACGCTGGAACCGATGCTGGAGAAGCGGCTGGACTGGTTTGTGGCTGGCGTGACCAGCAAGGGCGATCTGGAGGTGATGTCGCTGCCGGGGTTGAAGCGGCAGTTGCGCGTCACGCTCTGCAAGAAGGAGGATTTGGGGTAATTGGTTTAATTGAAATGGAGATGTAGATGAAGTACCTGTTTCGCTGTATGTGTCGACCGTTTGACGAATGTGATGTTATTGCAGGGCGTGCCTGAACGGCCGCGGACAGGGCGTGTACCAGTCGGGCGGCAATCAGCTGCAGGTGTTCGCGCTGACGGCGGAGGCGGAGACAGCGACCAGTGGCGGCCGCGGCTGCGTGGTGGATCTGCCCGTAATTAGGGTTGAAGAAGTGGCGGAAAAGGTCAGAAACCGGTGGAGATGATTGCGTCACTCATTGTACTGACTACAACGTGGTGCGTAGGTGGACGAGAGCATGAAGGCGGCGGCGGAGGAGCGCGTGGGTGTGGCGGTGGAGCCGGGCGTGGAGACGGTGCAGCTGCGCGACACGCCCCCGCCTCCGACGGCGGAAGTGCCGGCGGCGACGGAGGTCATCGTGGAGAGCGTGATGGTGGTCAGTCCGCATCCCGCCGAGACGACGGAGCCGGCGTCGCTGTTGGCGGAGATTGACCAGCAGTTGGCGGCGGGCGACGGGAGCTACGACGTGACGGTGGTGACGACGACGACGGAGATCGTCACGGAGGAGACGGGCGAGCGGCTGGTCAGCAGCGTGCTGGAGGAAGTGCAGATGCGCCTGCAGCCGGTCACCGGGCAGGATCTGAGTCTGGTCGGCGGCGGCGACGCGGTGGTGGTGCGCGGCGAGGAAGAGAAGCCGGAGAAGGAGGCGGAGGGGTTGGAGAAGGAGAAGATGGAGCAGCTGACGCTCAACGACAGCATGGACGTGCAGTTCGATAACGACGTCAACACAGCCGATCTCAGCTCCGACAGCATTATCGACCACATGGCGTAAGCCTTAATTAAGCGGCTTTTCTTTCGCGCAGTCCAGCATTTGCATGGCATGTTTCGTTATCCTGTAATTTTAATAGCTTTTCTGATCATTGTTTTGATGTATATTTTGTTATTCTGTAATATTTTGGTTAGTTTAGCGGTGCATACTGTAGCATTTGCTGAATATGAGCGCGTGTCTTGATGTTGATGTAGGAACGAGGAGCCGGCATCCAGCGAAGAACTGCAGACGACGGCCAAGAAGCTAGGCCAGGTAAAGCGGCGTTTACTTAGCAGAAAATATCGTTTGAACGAGGGATTGGTGTTGTGCAGGAATTCGCCAAAGTGTCGACGATGGAGAACGGGAAGGCCGAGACGGACGCGGAGGTGGAGGCCACGGTGGTCTCGCACTGAACGCAGCGTCTAGTGCAGTGCTGGTGCTCCTTTTGTAATTCGATACTCGACAGGATCTACTCTTTATTTAGCTTACCGAAATAAATGAAAAAATCGAATAGTATAGATAGCATAGTTTGGTGGCGGATTGTACTGGTTTTGCGTTTCCTGTAGTAGTCCTTAACCCTATAAAGCTGTCCCCTTTGGTCAGATGCAGAGGCTGTGTCCCGCCCCCTTCTTGCTTTTCTCCGTGGGCGGTGACTGCGATCCGTGCGCAGCGTGGTGGCCAACTTATTCGGGCAGTATTAGCGATTATTTTTGTGTGTTTGCCCTTTTATATCGTCAGTCGCAGTTTTGTATTTTATTTTTACATGTCCTCTCCTGTATTATTGGATGATTGATGACAGACGGAATATTCTTATGATGACTTGTGTTGCAACGAACGGAATATGTCATAAATAAACTGGTTTTTCGCTTCCGGTTGATCACTGCACATTTGAAACACAGGATGTAAATGGTTTCAAATTGGCATATTGTTACTTCATTTGAATAATTTCCTATTAGCAATTTGCAGCAGTCATCCGTCACATGCTCATGGTATTATCATCAAAAGAAGAAGAATAACATAATTAATATTCTAAGAATATAATGCCCACAAAAAAAATAATAATGGCCTCAATTAAGTAATCGTAAGAACAACATAAACGATAACTTAACCGGAAGTACAGTATCATAAGGGCAGCAAGCAGTTTTGTGGTAAGGTGCAGCCGCCCGTGCTGCTGGTTACATGAGCAACAACCGGAAGCTAAAATTAATGACGTAACGCTCGCCATCAGTCAGCTTTCTCGACTCGGCTGTCGAATTTTCACTGCGATAACATCGCGACTGATCAATCATCAAAATTCATGGACTGCTGACTTGCGTAATTGGCCGTTTCAGCTGGTTTTTTATCGTTCTCCTCACTCGTTATCTCGTCGTCGTCTGTGAAATGTGATAGCTACGGCCTGTGGTATCCAGTAAATTATCTGTTGGTGGAGCGTAGGCGTACTGCTTCAAAGAGTTGCGTAGGTGGTGTGACTGTGTCTGACTGTCTTTACGGAGGATTGATCTGACTGCGGATTGGAGTTACTGAATCGTAATTGTATCGATCGCAGATTCGCAGTTGGCCTTTTATCAGCTTATACTTAGAGCCAAGATCCTGGCGAGTGTTTTGCGTTGAAACTGAGTGGGGTGTTTGGAAAACAGTCCCCCAGTGGAAGTTGATGGTTTGATTGTGGGGCTGGATCGCGTCAAAGTGACAGCGTTATTTGCGCGGAGGGCCTGCTCCCGCGGGGGGTCGGCCGATGTGTCAGGCTGCTATGAGTTCTGACAGCGACGAGGAGTGCTGCACCGCCACAGGCACCGGGACCGGGGCAGCCACTCTGCGCCAGACTCAGCGTGAACGGGATCGCGAAGGGGACAACGAGGCCTTCGCGCCCTCTTTGTCGCAGCAGACCAGCAACAAGAAGATGCGCCGCAGCGACGCGCCCCTCTACATGCTCATGCTCTTCATCCTAGTCCTCGTCGTCCTCACTCTCTCAGAGGTAAGTAACCTGCTCTCCTTTATCGTTAATAGCAGAACACAAAAATAATTATATCAATAAAAATATAATAACAATCTGGCAGTAAAAATCGCGTATTAAGATGAAATTTAAAAATGGCTAAAACAGTAAAACAATAACTGAAATAAATTATAAACGAATATGAAAATTTAATACCTCATAAATAATACTAAAGCGCTGTTAAGAATATTAAATAAAACATCTAAATAATAAAGAAAGTTCAAAATAAATGAATAGTAATAAAGCGGTATCAGTAATAGCTAATCACAGCGATTCACAGGTGACTTTCGGAATAATTGTGGAATAACCCAGCTATCTGTCTTGTATCGTTTCCCTGTACTTGCACAGATTGCCATGGTGAAGCACAGCGGCGCGGGCGTGGCGGTGGCGCCGGGCATGGGCATGGGCATGAGCGCCGGCTTCCACATGACGCGGCGCGCCGGGGCGGGCGCCGGCGCCGGGTCAGGCGCCGCGGGGGGCGTCCTGCCCCCCGCTGCACGCCCACGACCACCACAAGAGCGAGCACCTGAAGGTGGAGTCCCTCCTGCCCGGCAACGTGCCCTCCATGGAGCTCAGCAAGCGGCTGTGGTACCAGGAGTTCCACCAGATCCGCATCCGCGACATCCTGCAGCAGGTGCAGCCCCTCGGGGTGGCTGACAATGCGACCGCGGGCGAGTGGGCGCTGGACCTCCTGGAAGGGGAGGAGACGGTCGACAACCTCCTCTCCGGCCAACGGCAGCGCGCCGACGCCCCCCGCGGCTGTTATCAACGGGACGACGATGATGACGCAGCTGTGCCCGGAAGTGCCGCCCGATCTGCGTACGCCGCGACTGATTAATGTCCGTGTTGATTGATTTGATTTAAGGTGTTCTTATTGCAGAGGGCCAGATGGTGCTGGAGCTGGACAGCATCCCCACCTGGGAGCACCTCATCGCCGAGAACCCGCTGGTGACCCCCGGGGGCACCTTCCGGCCGGCGGGCTGCGTGGCCCGCTACCGCATCTGCATCATCATTCCCTACCGGGACCGCGAGGCGCATTTGCAGAGCCTGTTGCACTACCTGCACCCGGTGCTGCAGCGCCAGCAGCTGGAGTACCGCATCGTCGTCATCGAGCAGGTCAGCGGCGTAACTTCTTGGTCGTTGTTGGATCAGTCCGTGACAGTTGTTACTGTGCAGAAGGGCGAGAAGACCTTCAACAAGGCGCGCATCATGAACTCGGCCTTCAAGGAGGCGCTGAAGCGCAGCCACTACGACTGCTTCATCTTCCACGACGTGGATCTCATCCCCGAGAACGACCGCAACTTCTACGGCTGCCCCGGAGCAGCCGCGCCACATGTCCGTCGCCGGTAAGCTGCTCACTTGTGACTTGACTCTGTTACCCTGTCGCAGTGATTAACCGGGTGTCGTTATCTGTTTACATGTTTACAGTGAACGAGCTGGGCTACCGGTACGTTGAACGCTTCTTGCCGCCCTTTAACCCTCAAACACGGTGATGTCCCGTTTGTGACAGGTTGACGTACCAGGACCTGGTGGGCGGCGTGCTGGCCTTCCGCACCGAGCACTTCTTCAAGGTCAACGGCTACAGCAACCTCTACTGGGGGTCAGTTACATGGTTACACCGTTATTGCGCATCTCCGCTCTCTATTCGTGCTAACTGCTATAATTATTATGCTGTATTGCAGATGGGGAGCGGAGGACGACGACATGGGTAAGCGGCGTTGAGGGAGAAACGAGTAGCTGGTCAGTGGCTGATGTGTTGTGTGTTGCAGCGTACCGCATCCGGCACGTGGGCCTGAAGCTGATCCGGCCGCCGCCGGAGATCGCGCGCTACTCCATGATCAAGCACGTGAAGCGCACGCCGGTGGAGAAGCGGCAGAAGCTGCTGTACACGGCGCTGCGCCGCTACAAGGTGGACGGCCTGAACAGTCTGGAGTACTCCCTCTTCTCTTTCGTGGAGAAGCCCATGTTCACGCACATCATGGTCGACATCGGCGACCCGCCCGCCGGCTTCTGATCCGCATTCCGATCAACCCGGCCTGCACTCTCTTACTGGCTCGTTCAGAGTATTCCCTGCAACCAAAGAGCAGAGCCTTTCCTTCTCCTGTTGACGCTGCACGTGATGCCGCTGGTCCGTTGCCTGTGATGACGATGACGGTGTTGGTGACCTTTGGTTGTGTCGCTGTGGGCATTCCGTTGGACTGGCTCCCGGTCCGATCCGATTGCGCGTAAGATCAGTGTTCGCACACTCACTCCCTATTAATCTCACGCCACATGTGATCTGGATGGATAGATAGACGCCGGACTGGACGGCGTTCTCCCCGCGTCTCTCGTCCAGTCAGTTTTATCCTTTTAACCTTTACCTGTCGACGCTCCTCGCGCGAGTGTCCCTGGCTGTTTTCTGCGTCCCGCTACTGCTTTCTCTGTGTGTTGTGCTGACGAATCGCAGTAGACGTTTTCTGGGATAATGCACACTGCACATGAACTCACGTTGACGGTTGCATCCTGCGTGTTAGCTTTTTCCTGCGCCAGTAGTTAAGTAACTGTTCTGCATGCCAAATACAGTGTAGCACTAGCTGCCACTAGAGCAAGCTGAATAAAGCGCTGTCCTGTTACGAGTGGCACTTCGAAGAGTACCCTGCCAAGTGCCAGTCCGATGCAGCGGTTTTCTTCTCAAATCAACAATACGGACGTACAGTACATGCTCACTGTAATGCGCATACCAACATTACACACAGAGCAGAATAACTGACCGTGAGATTCTCCGCATTTTTACTATTCCGGTCAATCTTTTGATAGGATAGAATTAATTCCAATTGATGGATTAAGCATTTGTGCGAATAATCGATACGGTACATACTAGTCTAGTGTTCAGCAGACTGCCTTCATTGTCTTGTATTGTAGTTCTGAACGACACTTACAGTGCCGGTTTTGCAGTAGCCGACACGTAACCGATTTATACCTGCTGTAAATTATATTTTTACGACTTCCGGTAATAAGTGGGATAATGTGCAACTGAGAAGTGAGAACAATATCTCGTTCAATACGAGTGCAGGGTAATTTGTCACCTTAGACAGTGGATCTGTGATACGCATCATTTTCTTATTAGATTCTTCACGGAGATTGTTTGAACATTATTTTATTCGACACAAATCGACATCGCAGCAGGTGCAGTTAATGTTCATGTCATTGTGCATTAGTGCAGTATTAATTAGTACAGTGATATAACTTTATTGATTTCAACATGTACAAGCAAAATGCCGTTTTACACTTAAAACTCAAATATTGAATAGCTAAAACAAATGGAACAACTCTTCCAGTTCTTTTGAACAACCAACAGTACCCAGAACAGATGCGGCATTTCCGCGCTGAATTTCGACGCTTATACGCTGCCACAAAAACTCGGTAGCGCGCGCTTCTCCTGTTTGATCTTTTTTGCGTCGGCCGACTTCACTGATGAACTGACGGGTACTGGCGCTACAAGTTCCCGTAGTCTCAAAGGAAACTGGTTGGAGAAAATAGCGATCAGTCAGTTCCCTGTAGTTGTTCCTCTTTCGCTCTTCCGCGTCTTCTGCTGCCGATCCCGCTTCCTCCGATGAGCCGGCAATGTACGATATAGCGAATGTATCGCACACTGTAACATCCCAAATCAATGGGAGGCCGTTCTTCCAAGGGAAAAGAGATAAACCGTCCGGCCGCTTCCCATCTAACCTGCTCAATCCAGGTGGCTCCAGAATAGAAGGCACTTGATCCCAAGCTGCGTTGAATAAGGCTATTCAAACTTGCGTGTCGCCTGAATCTCCTTGACTTTTCGAACATGACAAACCATGCAAACCTAGAGCATCAACCATTTCCCGCAACGGCATTTGTGTTGCTTACAGATCTGGACTCCCAATCGTAAAGCAACAGCGATTCGTACCGCAGCGTCGTCCAACAGTGTGCCAAGGCTAGCAACCGGCAAAGCAAACAACCAGGCACTGGCATTCTTAGTAGAGGCGGCCAACAAGCGAGCAGAGGCGATAACGTCGGCATCCTCCTTAAGGCTTCCAGCTTCCTGATAGTCAGCATGTTCGACCACAGGCGTTGATTGCTTCGGTCTTCTTTAGCAGGGGCTGATTTTCCAGTTAATTCTTCCCAGCGAAACTCGACTTCGATCCGGTCATCAGGGCAGTCCTCGGGCACAATACTACTGACCAGCTCGTCAGTCGCATAAAGTGAAGACAGATGTGCTGGGGCTGCAGTTTCTTCCGCTTTTGGTAAACCTAGCCCACCTGATTTCACCGGCAGAGAAGCTTGCCTGTATGTAACATCGTCCATCTTGACGTTTGTGATTTCCTCGGCCTTAGACTTTATCAAATCGTCAAATTCTCTGAGCTTCTCTGGGTATTTGTAGCAGGGCGCCGCTCTGAGAATGTACATGAGACGTGGCAGGGACATGCTGTTTCTGAGTAAGAATAGAGACTGATGTGCCGGCAAAACACCCAAAGATTCTGTCAGTTTCTTAACTTGACTGATTTTACAGTCCAGGGCACGCTCAATAGACCAGTCAGTGAGAGGAGCGCCAAGCAATTCGAGTGTCTCTGGGGTTACCAGTTGAATTCCGGGTGCAACCGCATTAAAACGATCATAGATCCTCAGTCGTTCTTCTTCGGTACCGCCATACACAAACAGCTCGCACTTGGCAAAATTAAGTTCCAGGCCGAGTTTGGAGGCTTCGTTTTGTACAGTGATCAAATCTTCCAAAACAATTTCTGGGTCACCTCCTTCCGTCCCGTCGTCCAAATACCAAACATTGAGATCAGCGCGGAGACTTCTGGTTAATTGGCTAGATCCCAGGCAGAACAGCAACGGACCGAGGGGATCGCCCTGTTGGACGCCATTGGCGGATAATATCGTTGTGTCCCCACAAAACAACGTCGAGCTCTCTTTATAACACTGAGAAACAAAATGATAATATTGCGGTATTCTTTCAGCTGCTTCCTTCAAAACAACATCCCGACGTATAGTGTTAAATGCGTTACGGAAGTCCAGTTTCAAAATCACATTAGGTCTGGCTGGGTGTGCTCTAATAAATTTCCGCGTGGCATGCACTGCAGCTTCCGCTCCACCTCGAGTTCCATACCCTAACTGAACTGGGCGAAAAAATGCACCCAACTCAGACTGAACGCGTTTACTTATCACCTTTCCGCACAGGCGTCGTATGGTGCAACCGATTGCTATGGGCCGTATTCCACCCGACTTCTTGTTTAAAGGAATGAGCGTTGCGCCAAAAAGCACCGTTCGTGCACCATCGGGGACAGAGTCAAAAATAATATGGTTGACCAGTTTTGTAAGGGCAGCTAGCAGCAGTTCACCACACTCTCCCGGCACCTTTACTAACTCCTTCAAGTGTTGAGCTCTTAGTCCGTCTGGTCCAGCAGCAGAGCCAGCGGGAAAAGATTTCAAGGCTGCATGTACTTCCTCCGATGTGAATTCTTGTGGGTTGCCAGCGGGAGGCGGCGGGGGGAAATTCAGGTCTGCAGGAGCTGCTGGATGTTTGTCCTTCAATGATTTCAATACTTCATCCGACATGGGTGCAACAGACTCGTCAGAAGTCAACAGTTTTACAGCACCGCTGATATCGCCATCCTGCAATTTCGCGTTGACCGATTTTCTCAGTGCTTCGTCCCCGGATCGCTTCTTCCTCGATTTCCTCGCCTTGGTAGGTAGAGAAGTACCTTGTAAGTTAGCTTTTACGGACGCTGCTAATGTGGGGCCTCTGCCAGAATTAGACGAAGGAGCGTGTAAGTAGTCCAAGGCAAAAAGCATCAATGCGGCCCATGCGTCATCATCGTTCTTTTCCACACAATCCGTGAAAACTTTTCGTAGAGCATCGGCACATGCGCGTCTTGCTCCTGTAGGCACATGGCGAAGAACAGCGTGGGCTTTCCGGGACTCAATTATACGATCACAAAGACTTCCAGTCAGTGCGGTTCCAGTCTGAATTGGGTTAGGGTCCGCCGTGGGTCCCTGGCGTAGAGCTTGTGCCTGGGCCTTTTTGCAAACCCGTGAGTCACGATGCGCTGTGAGGCCGTGCGCTGTTTTCAGGATCCTATGGCACAGGTCGCACTGGAAACTCATGATAACGCTGGACAGCAAACCTAAAAACAACTTCCAAAGCCAGAAAGAGAACTGCCAAACCCGAGTGAGAACGCAATAGCAGGCAACGACATACCCAGTTTACCGAGAGCCATCGTAATGGACTCTACGGTAACTATCAGCAAAAGCGCGCGTTCTACAGTAGTTTATTACCTACTTCATAGTTCATACTAGTTTCACCAACTGCCATCGCTACTCGTATCGGCAATGATTCGGCATTCAGGTAAACGTCTAAAAGACCGAAAGTGGCTTGATATTAAAGCAAACTGCATTCTGTGCAGTAAATCAACAGAAGTACAGATAGAGGCTTAACGCTGAACATGCTGGAATCATTCATAATCATAAGTAATCATAGTCATAGACAGCGATTAGCACAAGGTTGCGTGCATCAAATGTTAATTAAGCTAAGTAGTCCTTCGTTGGCTAACCGCTGTTCCAGCGGGATAGACTGGCTGCTAGTCCCCCTTGGAGCACACTGTAACATGAGATTAATGCAATACATATCGGCCGCCGGCGGGGTGAATATAAATTACATATATCGATATAATTATGCGGATTGGGGAATAGCCAAAAATTAATAAAGATACTGGCCGTTTATCCTGGCATTCATATGCCGTACGCGTATATACGATGCAGATAGCAGACAAGTACTGCAAGTGCACGTGTAGACAGCCTAAGACAGGACAAATTAGTAACCACAAAGGTGCATTATTAGTCGTCAGTTAATCAAGGTGCATCCCGTGTACGCGGCCTGTCAGCGTTCTGTGCATTGTACAGTGCAGTGTAGCACAATATTTAATTACTAATAAGTAATAACCGCAGATGCGCAGACACATAATTTATGCACTGAACAAATTAAAGCAAACTGGCTTTTCTTTGCCAGCTGACTCTACAGCTGCACTAGATCCGAGCTGGGACAAATATTCATATACAGGCAATTCCACTGCATCCTAATAAGCATGTCGCATGCGTAGTGGTAATTCACTGGGCCGAACTCTGCAATCGCTGGTCGCAAAACAACTCCAGAATCCAGATTAATAATAACGCTGATTTTAATATACATAGGCTGGGGTGTCGCAGGATAATCGATCCAATCGAACACCGCAGATACAGTGCCGGGTGCAGAGCGACATATATAATGGTAATTTGGTAAAGGGCATGATATTGTTAAGATTATTGCGTAAAGGTCAACGGGGCCGCGAGTCTTTTCAAGAATATAGCGCATCAGCGCGCAATAATTGAACAGGCATAATATTCGTGAGGAATGCAGCGATTTCCTTGGCGAGTTGCCATCGTTATACAATTGATTATTGATTATTAGCTATAGAAGGATGCAGGTTCGTCCAGTGCGCAGTAATTATAAATAATCATACGGCTATTGGAATGGTGGACCTCCTAACTCACCGCCGGTTGGGCCACTGCGCAGCGCCGCCGCGGGTCGGGTTGTCGGCGAAGGGCCGGAAGAAGGGTGCGTTGGCCTGCAGGACGTCCTGCATGGTCAGCTGGTCGGCGTCCTCCGGCGCCATCCCGCCGCGGACGCCTGTCGGCACTGTCGGAGGCGCGACGGGGACCGCGCGCTTCCCGTAGCGCAGCGGCGCCCGGTTCTTGCAGCGCAGGCACTTGGCGCTCTCCGGGTAGACGGAGCACATGAGCTCGCAGCTGCGCTCGAAGCGCACCAGCTTCTCCTGGGCGTCGGCGGCGGTGAGGTACTGCAGCAGCGGCTTGCTGGCCGGCGCCGTCGGCTTCATGCCGGGCAGCGCCAGGAAGGACGAACTCATCAGCTGCTCCGCCGCGCCGGCCGCCACGTCTTCCCCGGGTCCCTGCAGGCCGGCTACCAGGCGGACGCCGATCAACAGCTGGAGGAAGGCCAGCAGCAACCAGCCGTGATTCCTTGTCAGACTCCGCGTTACTGCAGACATCCTGCGCTGCTTAAATACTGGATTGTAAGAGTAAACGCGTGACCTTTTTGGTTGCGCTGCCTGCCGGCAACGAGCGCTGCGCCCACGCAACCGCGATGCTGCAGACTCCGGAAAGGTCACCAGTGGGTACGTTGGGTGATATTGCGGCGAATCGCTGTCAGGCAGGGCCGATCTATATCTCTACACAGCTTAACTATTAGGCAAATAAATGAACGATGTACATTGGTAAGTGATTAACTACTGGGAATGGAATATCGCATGCATAAGTGTGCGTAAATGTGCACGCAATTAATACAAGCATGCCTCTAGATGGTAATGCGATCCTTTATATATCTGCTGATTGTACACGACCCATCGGCACCAATGAGAAAAATGAAGCTAGCTGACGCACATGCACCGTGCCCTGCCGCCATTGACAGGGTTATTTCCGTCAGCGCCGGTGGACCGGGGCTTTGTGCGGCCCGCACGGCCATCATTTCCCCGGTGACCTTTCCGGCTTCGGCGACAATGAGCAAGCGCGGGTTGGTCGGCACAGCCGCTGTTAACTAATTCGCTGTTCCCGGCTGCTGGAAAACAAAGTCCCTTTGGCTAGTCTCTTTGTTGCGGCATCACGGAAGCAGCAGCATCAGCAGCAGGAGCAGCCGTGTGGCCATGCGTGTCAGCGCGGCGAATTCCCCGTCGTCCACCATCAATAGATGGGATCTGGAATTTACTCACCACCGCTGCCTTGTGGCGTGCGCTACGCTCTGTATAAGCTACATAGTACATACCGCATCGCGCAGTTACTTATTACATCGCGCAGTGTCCTTCGCGGCAAAGGACACTGCTGCGGAATTAAATTCAGTGTTAGGTAACTCTGCGTCGATGACGCCGGTTGTCGTGATACTAGCCGGAAGTGAGCAGCGCAAGCTGCCATGCACCGGTCCCGTTTTAAATCTTCGAACAACTGTTATTCGGCAAAAGCGCCGAATTATTTTATTATTTTTTGGCAACAGCCAGTGCACATACCAGTATACTTTCGCAGATTTGCACTAATTAAAATGAACTCTATATACTGCGATTTTTAGACAGCGCTTAAACGTTGCGGTAGTTAGAAATTTAAAGGAATGCAGCAGCTGTTTTGGGTACATCTAGTGCACATCCTATAAGAGGTTGAGTAGTACCGACTGTACCGTTAACAGCATGAATAACATTAATGATTTTTGGTGTATTTTCAATGTTTAAATTCCAGTTTTTTTAAAATTCGAACAACTAATTTTAACGAGTGCTTAACTGTTCATACTTTACACAATAACACTGTAGAGTCGGAGTACATATTCGTTGACATTTTCGAAGACGCAGTCAAGCAAGGTCAGGAAATGACTGCAAATGCACTCGCAAGCTAGCTAGATGATAGATCCCAGCGTTAACTCAAAGCTCCAAACGTTCATGTACATTCGGCCTTGTGTCGCCCACGTCCCGCTAAATGCAGCTTCAAGACTGCAGTACTTACTGAAAGTTATCAAATAAAAAAAAGATGCATAAATATAAAACGGCTAAAAAATTATACAAAATATAAAATTAATTACAAAATTCTGAAACCAGCAACTGATAATAATTATAGGACAGTACGAGTATACTATACACATGAAAACACACAATCCGTCGTTTTTATTCCTTTGTCGAAGTTTTTAAAGTTGTTATTCCATTATTTAGGTTATTATTTCTAGCGCAAGCGGAAGGAGGCGGCGCATTTCGTATCGGGGCGGAGCCATGTGCCTACTGGCACAAACAATCAACGCAATTTTGGCCGAATGGCCTACAAATCTGTTGTTTACGCCCGTCTTCATGCGCCATAGATGAATGCTGTGGCTCATCACCGCTGATAAAACTTAATTAATTGTACATAGTTTTGTTGTATAATGCCTGGTGTGCATACTGCACGCGCTAGTGTTGGGAGATTGTGATTGTTTCACTGCATTACCGCTTGCCGACGAGGCCGAGCTGATTGTGAAATATATCCGTTTCCGAGAAATAACTGATGATCAAACACGCGACAGTTCAACGCACAAGCCAACACGGTGCCGGTGCGATACTGCCCCTTGCGCACCGAACCGTAACCGAGCCGAACGGGATGAGTCGTTTTTGCTTCTCCAGAACACAACAAACCTACAAACTCACAATCAGAGAAAAGAACAGTAATTTTGAAAACACATAAATTCTTGAAAAAAGCACCATATTCTGAGATAAGAAGAAATATACGGACTGCGGAGCAGCTGCAGATGGAGTCAGCTTTCGAACGGGCGGCTCGGTTCTGGATCGATCGGCTGGCAGTGCTGCAGTTCGCCTCGTGACTCATTCATTATTAAAAGTGGCAAAAACGACCAATTGACTGGCTGCAGAGTGCAGACAACTGGCCACGGACTCTGCAGGCAGACTTGAAAATTCACAATCAGTTCAAGAATTTTTTTCCACATCTTTTTTATTGTTTTGGTGCTTCCACTTTCCAGCTTCCGAATCTTGTTTGAACGTGTCATCCTGGATTTAGTTTCTAACTGGAATATAAATTTCTTTGCACCGTATTGAGAATTTGTTGGGATCGAGAGCGTGGTATTGAGGCTATTGCTGGCAGTGTTGCAGCCGTTTGAAGCAGCAGAAAAGCTGGGAGAACCAGAACCTTGAGTAATTGTGCGACACTGTTGGCGAACGGACGATGGATGCGCTTTGATCTGGGTTAAACCAAGCGCTGGCTACACATCTCCGCGGCGCAGAGACAGCCTGAATCGAGCGTTAAACAGAGCGTGTGGCCAGGTGCGAATCGAGCTCCTCAGTCATCACTCGTCGCAGCTTGAGTGGTGGCTGGTGAGTGAGTGTCCCAGTTTATGGCCAGCTCCAGCTACCGTGCGGGAGCAGGCCGAGTGGAGGAGAGCGCGACGTCTGATTCGGAGGAGGAGCAGCTGCCCGTGGAGCGCGGGCTCCGACAGGGAGGGCGCAGTCCGCGTCGTCGCGTGCAGCAGCGCCCCGTGGCCTTGCCGCGTCCGTCGCACTCGCGATCCAGTCCGCCGCTGCTGCCCGTGCCCCTGCGCCGTCCGGGGCCCTACCCCAAGCCGCAGCTGGCCCGTCGCAGCCACCAGCCCAGCGCCAGTGCCAGTGCCGGTGGGCGACGGAATGCGCATTCGGCGAGCCACTACAGTTCCCTCGTCCTCGCCGCCGCCTCGCAACAACATCACCACCCCGCCACCTCCGAGGACGAACCCGACCCCGACCTGGACCTGGACGGGGCCGACGCCAGCACGTCCGCCGCACTCTTCCACGATGCCCACTCCTCCTACGGCCAGCGCGCCCCGGCCCACTCCCAGGCCCCGGCCAGGATGTCAATGAACTCTTATTCGTCTTCCCCCGATCTCGCCAAAGTTTCAGTCAGTATTTCATTTTTGTTGAATATTTGGTTGAATTTTTTGCTTGAATATTGACTATTTTTGGTTGAATTTGTGCCTAATTATTGTCTGATAATTGTCTGTTTTTTGCTGAATTTTTTCAGAGTGATCGCCTGATAATATTATTGATAAATTCTTGTCCTGTCTTTTTGTAAGCTTCGGGATCTGATTGCAATTGTAATTAGCTTCGGGGTCTGATTGTAATTGTCTGATTGCTTGGGGGTCGCTGACACCTGACAGTGTTGCTGTTTGTTGCAGAAACTCGCCAACAAGTGCAGTGTGCAGCAGTTGCGCAAGATCCTCAGCCAGTACGAAGTGAAGGGAATGTCCAAGATGCGCAAGGAGACGCTCGTGCAGAACGGGGTGAGTGCCGTCTGTTCGCGCAGTTGCCTCCAGTATTAACTATCATAGTCAGTTGGTGCTCGTAAATGGGTTTTCCCCTGCGTTTTCCTTGAGATTCAACCCACCGCCGTTATACTGATTTGGGCTTTTTTCTAATTTGATCACGTTAATTATAAGTGGATAATTTTTTGCCGTTTCCTACTGGCTAATTATTGTACCTTCAGGGGTGGCTTTTTTTCTATTTTAATTCCAACCGGTTTTTGTATGTTATAATGAAAGGAAATGTTTTGTATCGAGACCGTTGAGAGCCGACAAAGCGTAGTCGGACTGTTTGTCGCTTCCGTGATGGCAATCTCGCTGGAGATGTTATCGCGGCGACGTCCGCCGTCTGACGAATGACCGTGCTTTCCATATTTTTTGTATCTGCACATTATTGCTTTTCCATATTTCTATTCGTTTATATTCGTTTTTTTTGTTATTCTTTACAGTTTTCTTCGTAGTCGTTCATATTGGTTTTTTTTTCGTCACGGCATTCGTATTCGTTTATATGGCAGTTTAATTTGTTTTTATTCGTAGTTGCATTCGAATTCGGTTGTATTAGTATTAGCATTAAGTCAATCGTATTCGGTTTATTGGTATTTTTCTTCGTATTATATTCGTGTTACATATAAAGTTGGTTCTGGTTCCGGTGATGAAATGATGATGATGAAATTAATGTTGAAATCGCAGTTTTTCATGGCGAATATCTCACTGATTTGCTTGACTGATCTTTCTTCCGTTGACGGTGTAAAAATGTTGTGTATATGCTTGCAGATGGAGGTGTACCGCAGTCTGGAGGACGCGGACCGGCGCCAGCTGGTGGAGGCGCTGAGCGACCCGACGGGGAAGGAGCGCGCCGTGTCCAGCACGGTCCCGGGCAACCCGGCGCCGCGGGGCTCCTCGCGGGGGCTGGCGGCGGGGCCGGGAGCGGGGCAGGGGCGCGGCAAGAAGCGCAAGGCGGTGGACGTGTGGACCAAGCCCCGCCAGCCGCACCGCTACGGCTACTTCCCCGAGGAGGACGACGAGGATGAGGAGGAGGAGGAGGAGGACGACGAGGCCGGCGAGGACGACACCAACACCAGCGACAGTCGGGCCACCTCCAGTCGCAACGGGGAGCCGGTGGGGGGTCCGGGCTCCAACAATCCCGGCAGCAGCTACGACAGCGAGGCCAACGACAGCACCTTCGTCCCCTCGGAGACCTCCGACGACTCCTCCGAGCACTCGGCCGAAATCATGCCGCCCTCCTTCCTCAATTCAGGGTATCGCCTCCTTTCTCTTAACCTTGAACAATCTGAATAAGTGTATTAACATGCCAGCAAAAACGAACTTGCTCCTAAGAGGGATACCTAGTAATTATTGCTTTCGTCTTCAAAAGTTTTCAGTTTGAATTTATTTGCATTCAGATTTTCGCAACTCGAACCAGCTACGCGTTAAAAAAATAAGTGACTATTCGTACGAAAATCAAGAAGGAATATTTCAGTTCGATACTAGTTTTTGTTTATTTGATTCAGTCTCGAGCTGAAAACAAACGAGAGATTTTCGAATCTCCATAAAACTATAAAAAAAAATTTAATTTCAAAAATATTGAAAAATGGATTTGATAATTAAAAGAGGAAAGATAGGAAGACACATTATATTACTTAATTTAACATTACTAAATATTATGGAAGACCCTATAAATAAAAGTACGACTTATTTCTTTGCATGCGTCATGTAGAAGATACTGCCCGCGTAAATTTGCCATTGAAGAGTTTTGCTTGCAGGAATCAGCAGTATCTCAGGCAGCAGCATCCGCACAACAGTCCCCGTCGACCCAAAGCCACGGCGAACGTGATGAGCGCCCCTTCCTCCTCGTCCGCCAACCCCGGCTCAAGCAATCCCCACCACCCCCCGCAACAGCAGCACCAGCCCTCCTCGCGGCCCCGCATCACCCTGACCCTGCCGAAATCGGTGATAACGGGCCAGCAGAGCCAGGGCCACGTCCGGGGCTCAACCTCTAGCGCGGCCTCGCCCGCCAGCGCCACCACCAACCCCATGTCCCTGGTCAGTCCGGCGTCGCCCTCCCCCTCGCCGGCCCAGCCGACCAGCTCCGGCACCGCCTCAGGGAACACGGCCTTCGTCTTCTCGCGCGGCAACGCCTTCCCGCTCAACCAGCCCATGCGCATCAACACCGGGACGCCGCCGATGTCCTCCGGCCACAGCACCATCCGCCCCTACGTGCCCCGAGGCAATCCAACGGCGGCGCCGCCCGCGGTGACCGCCCAGCAGTACTGGAATGTCTCCGGCAGCAACGCGCCACAGGTTAGTTCTTTTTAGCACCTGGAGATTATACTGTCATTTCAATTATACTTTATGTTACTGTACTTGTGAATTGTAATTGCAACAATTTCCATGCTACTGGAGCAAAATTAGAATTGCTGGACTTTTATTTTCATTGTGGTTAATTTAAATGGGCTTCCAGTTATACTCGTACAACGCCAATAACGCTAGTCGCTCCATTATTTTTGCGCCGACTTTTTCATAGGTTTCTTTTACTGTTGAGATATTCTGAAATTGAAATCTGCCTCAGCAGAATATCATTGCAGTCAGTGCAGTGTAGTAATCATGGGGAGCAGAATAATCGTTAGCAGTTGTGATAATTAATTAAAATAATCAGAATTATGAATGTGAACAACAAAGTTTTTGATCAGAGTTTTTAATTTATTATTTGTTCTAGTGAAATGATAATTAAATTGTAAGCCGCAGGGTACAGTAAAAAAAAGATTTGGTTTGAATTATGAATGCAGTAAAAGACAATAAAGTAAATGACGGTTAAAAGCAGAATAGTTATAAACTGAATGAACGATCGCAGGCGGCGACGGAGCAGCAGCGCAGCAAGCGCGTGCCCGACCCGCTGAGCAGCAGCTACGCGCCCATGTCCCCGTCGTCCTACGGCATCGGACCGCCCCTGGGCAGCAACCAGCGCTCCTACGCCCTCCCGCCGGCCAACCTCCCGGGCCCCTACACCCCCTCGGCGCAGTCGGCGGCCAGCAGTCGCAGCGGCTCGACGCGGCAGTACGCCGACTACCTGGACCAGTTCTCGCAGTACCTCCCCGACCAGCCGCAAGCCCCCGCGGCCGCCTCCCGCGTGCAGTCCACCGGCAACACCACCTCCACGCCGCACCTCTTCGGCGTGCCCATCATGAGCATGACGGACTACGCGGCCGTCAACCTGGACAACGGACAGCGCATGTACCCCTCCAGCAGCAACCAGCAGCGCGCCGCCGCCGTGGCTAACAACGCGGACTTTGATCTGTCGCAGTACCTGTCCATTCCCGGCTCTTCGGCGGCGTCGCCGCGGACGGCGCCCACCGGGGGCATGAGCGCCCCGCAGCGGCCGCGCTACGCCGCCGGCTACCAGTCGCCGTTGACGCGGGACCCCGGCAGGACCGTCATCCAGCCGGCGACCAGCGCGTACCCGCCGCCGCCGGTGCAGTCGACGCGGCTGGTGGCCAACCCCAACCAGCCGGGCCTGAACGCCAACAGCATCATGGCCAACAACCCCTTCGCCGGGGTCTTCGCCGCCACGGCCGCCGAGCGCAGCGACCGTCTGGAGGAGAAAGTGATCACCGGGCCCAGCGGCGCCCCGCATGAGCTGCGCTTCGGCGTGCTGAAGCCCAGCTTCCAGGCCAAGCCGTTCAGCATGGACAACGGCGGCAGTCACGGCAAGGTGATCAAGCCGCCCGTCTTCCACCAGACGCTGGCAGACGTGACGCCGCCGTTGAGCATTCGTAAGTGGATCGGTTCTTTGCGGTGGCGGTGTTGTTAAGAAGGAGTTGTGTTATGCACAGGCCGCGATCCCTCGCTGACGTCGCGCGGCGTGTACCGCGAGATCATCACCACCTTCTTCTTCGACCACACCAAGACCGTCAACAACGACCAGCACATGGTGCTCATGCGCTTCTGCCAGGAGGGCCTGCAACGGCCCTACCACGAGACCCACCCGGACAATCTCAAACTCATGCTCAACGGCAAGACACTCGTCGAACCGGTATGTTTTCCAGGCGTATACTTTTGATCAGGTTCTCGGATATGAGCGTTTCCCTTTCTCTTATGCTTAGTGTACATCAGTATTTGTAAAACATTTACATGATGTTCTTTTTTATTCTCCGATAGTTGCTTTCTTCTGTTTCCAGATACCGTAGTAAACTGAACTGTGGCATTAATTAATAGTTGGTGTTTTTCTTGTTGCGCAGAGTGTGGTGGACTTTAGCAACCGCATGAAGAAGAAGAAGAACACGGTGTACAGCCAGCCGATCGAGGTGCCGCTGTCGATGATCGCCGGCCAGAACGTGGTGCTGGTGCGCTGGACGGAGGACAGCGGCCAGAATCTGGGCCCGGGCGGCCAGCAGCTGCCCGACGAGCCGCCCAAGGTCAGCGCGCTGTAGGGATCATTTATTACCGTTAGAAGTTATACATTTTTGTGCAATTATCAGTTTATCACCACAATGATATATACGAGTACATTAAAAACAAGGATAACTGTACAGGACTACTGGTTGCTGGTGGAGTACGCGCGGCGCAAGACGATGGAGGAGATCCTGGGCCTGGTGCAGGCGCAGCGGGTCAGCCTGACCGACACGGTCTTCAAGCGTGAGTTGGCACTCTGTTTCTTTGATTTGGACAGTTTATCAGGTATATGTGCGTGCAGTGTACCAGACGCTGTCGGGCTCGGACGACGACATCGTAACGGACTCGCAGAAGATCAGTCTGCACTGTCCGGCCTCGCGGCTCCGTCTCGGGCTGCCGGTGCGCGGCCGCCACTGCGACCACGTGGACTGCTTCGACGCCAACAGCTTCCTGTTCATGAACAAGGCGCAGAAGGCGCGCTGGACCTGTCCCAAGTGCAACAAGCCCGTCCACTTTGACGAGATCGTCGTCGACGAGTAGGCCGCTCTCTTTGTGCTGTTCTTAGCTTATTCTTTGAACAGGATCTGAGGAAGGCCTCGCGCTCTTACAGGTTCCTGCAGCGCCTGCTGGACGCCTTCCCCAACAGCGAGAGCATCGAGGCGACACTGGACAAGGAGCAGATCGTCGTGCGCGAGGCCTCCAAGCCCGCCGAGCACGACTCCAGCGAGATGGGCAGCGCCTCAGCCTCCTCCTCCGGATCCCGTAAGTTGGCCCAATCATTTTTATTACAGGCTCATTTCTTCGTTTCCTCTAATGGGCTCGATTATCATGACTTTTTTAATATTTTCTCAATTATTATTCATTTTTAATATGGGCCCGGATATTATTGTCGCTCAGTTGTTGTTGGTGTTTATTATTAATTTTGTCAACTGCAACGGTTGTGCTGCAGGTCCGTCGACGGCCAACGGCGCTTCCGCCTCGTCCTCTTCAGGCGGCGGATCATCCAGCCGCAGCGCCGCCGCCAAAGCCGCCGTGGAGATCATCACGCTGGACTGATCGCAGCCGCGCTGTTGACCAAACGCCCGCGTGGATCGTCTCGTCTCGGCGTTTTGCAGGATCTTGGCCGTTTGTTTCATGTTGTACTAACCGACTGCACTGCACACTCGCGTCGACTGCTGCTGCGTCGTGTGCTCCCCGCTCGGGCGCGGACGGGCGTTCCTTGTGATACAGGTCTGCTTGTGACTGCGCCCCACAGGCAGGTAGGCCCATGTCGGCGCCGTCCCTGGCCGCGCCGGGGCACAGTCAGTTCAGCAGTGGCGCGCCACCGACTTGTTGTTTTTTTAATCAGTTAATGGCCCAATGCAGAATCTGCTTGTGGCGTTGGCCGACTCTTCTGTTTTGTTCCCAAATGTTTTTATCATAGCTAATAGCATTCATTTTCTGTAATTAACGACGCTCTTGAATCTTGATATTATTATGTTTCATCAGGGTCTGGTTACTGACATGCGCAGTGGAAATTCTGCATTATAACGTACAGGTTTGCTCAGTAGGCGCTGCTAGTGAACAGTGATGGAGCCTTTTCTGAAATGCACGAAATTAAAGCCAACTAATTTTGACTAATTCACCTACGAATTACGATTAGGCCTTACGCATTTTTGTGAGCGTCATCAAGGCAGAGATGGGTTAATCCCAAACGATGCATTTTCAACTTCCTCAGGACTTGTCATTTTTATTCGAAATGTTAAAATCAGAGAATTTGAACGAATACGAGTATCGTTGATAAGGAATCGTGTGATTTTACTGCCAGAATTAATATGTTATTGTTTACAAGAAGAAAAATCGAAGAAAGACTGCGTGAAAGTGACAGCAGCATAAAAAGAGAAAAATGACGGTGAGATCAGCATTATTGTCGAGGGCGAATGAACAAGCAATTGCCGATGAAGGGAAGGAAGGACACATCATCGTTCATGTAGACGCGTATCGGTTAAACGCGAGCGCAACAACCCGCTGACAGCGACAACACGGACATGTCCCTCACTGATAAGATAAACAAACACAAACACGCAAATTACACTCCAAGGACGCCTTGTCAGTGCACCACTGCACAGTGCAGAAACGCAGGAGAATATAATATCGATCGCGCGGCTGCCGACAAATATGCCACTGCCATCCGCGTGCAAAGTGCTAACCGGAAGGACATTTAGGATTCAGAAGGACTCTTCCACACGGCCGAATTTAAAAACAATGGCGCTACAAACAAACCCAACAGACATGACGGTTTGTTTTGGCTGCGTTGTTGAAAAGAAGAAGAGAACATGTGACAAGCAAGAATAGGAAGATAATCAATCGATAAATTAGGATAAAAAATGAGAAAGATGGCGCTTAGTGGTTAAGCTTGTGCTTACCCGAGGAAAATGAGGATGTTCTGGAGGAAGAGCGCCACGCCCGGCCACACCTTGTCGTCTGTGCAAGAGGAAAAGAGTCAATCAATCATTTAAAGACCATGTTGGTGAGAGCGACGCTGTGTTGGTGCTTACGGTGCGGCGAGGCGGTGCTGGCGGAGACGTAGTCCTGGAAGAGGATCCAGGCGGAGGCGATGAGGGCGGAGAAGGCCAGGATGAAGCCCAGGAAGAGCCAGACGCGGGCGCCGCGCTGCCCCAGGCAGCCCTCGCTGTAGCCGCCAGAAGCGCCGGCCGACACCTGCCCGTTGGACACCGCGTTGATCCTAGTCAAACACACAGACATTCCGCATTCTGCTCGGTAATGGATTGAATTGCATCTGCTTAGCAATTAATGCTGAATATCCAACTGTGAACTACGCATCCATCGCAGGATACAGGAGCATCACCTACATGATGAAGGCCAGTGTGGAGATGACGCCGCAGACGTGGTAGGCGTGGTGGAACTGCTCCTCGCGCGGGAACATGACGATCACGTCCATCATGCACCACCACCCGCCCATGAACTAGAGTAGCCCAGCAAATAAACGCCAGCCATTAGTATTACACGACAACTCAGCAAGAAGCATTAACCGGCCGTCTTCAAACTACTGACTACAGTACGACTACGCTGTTAAGGGCTATGACACAACAACATACCCAGGCAGCTACTTTCAATTCCCAAACCACAACAAGGTGACAACATCAACAACAACAAACAAACACACTTGCAAACACATCCCTTGCAACTCCAACTGCCCTCCAACTGCACCCTGGCCCTCCATCACTTCGTTACAACACCTTATACCACGAGAATACGCTATTGGCTGTTTCCTCGATCCCGAGACAGGGAAAGAGGAAAACACAGCACTGACTCACCAGGATGCCCGCGAGGGCCGCGGCCAGCACGTTGCGGCGCTCCGTCAGCTCGAAGAGGCCGCCGCCAGTGCGCAGCGACTCCTTCATGTTGCTCATCACTTCCCCCATGCTGCCCATGCTAACTGCCAAGTAGAAACACCTCCTCACGCTGATCAATACGCGGAATCGCGGGCCACAACGCAACACAGCCTAATCACACGCTGAGCTCCAGCACAGCACCTCCACACCAAAATAATTATGAAAATAACGACAACAAATCGCGCAACTCAAGCTGCCTGCTTCTTTCAACAAGACTGCTCCTCACCCTCCCACCTGCAAACTTATTCACTGACTAATTCAACACCACAGGAACATCAGTTCACACAAGGAAATGTTCCGCAACTCAAACAGTTGTTTATCAACCCAAAACTGCTCATAAACACTAAGGTTGTCCCGAATTCAGCAGATCTCGCTATGGTACGGTTGCTCAAACATGGCTGTATGCCCACATATACAGATACGCGAAGCCACTGCGAAGTTGCTGTATCAAATTCGCTAAAACAGTTCCTGTTGCAAGTTTCAAACAGATGCGAGTAAACGTCTCTCAAACTGCAAACATGCTTCCTGCACGCACGCCGCACAGACTGCCATCTCTGTGTTTTGGCGTGTACGGATTACCAAGACGTCAACCTTGTCACGGTTGGCCTGCCATTTTCCCATTAATCTGAATCAGCACCCGTTTGCGGTTGCCTGAACGGTGGGTCAAGTTGCGGCATTGACAGCCCGTTTGAAAGTGCTCGATCAACAACAGACAACAAAACTTGAGTTTTTCGGAAATTTTTAAAGTTTGTCGTGTAACGTGTTGCGGATCTTAGCTGGTTTCGCCATCGACATTGCTAGGTTAACCAGCGCCAAAGGCTGGCTACCGCTTTCGCCCAAGTCACGCGCTACGGCTGAGCAGCTTTCGGCAGCCACCGCTGGCGGTCGCACGCGAGACACGACCAGTCGATACGGATTTTTTTCCGCCGCAGCGCGGACTCCCACAGGAACTCCTCGGGATCATCAACAGGAATAACTATATCAGCACTCAGTACCAATACAATGCAATAGTTCCGTTACTCAGTCTGATTAACCACATGAGCCTAATGCAAACACAATAGAAAAGTAAGTTCGAACGTGCTGCATGGAGCCATTCGTACAAAAGTGCATATACCGGTATCAGCCGCTACCAGTGCTGACGCTAATAAGCCCAGCTGTATATAGGCACGCTTGTTACCGGTGCCACGGCAGAGCCGTGGTACCGTCCGGCGGAGTGGTAGTTTGGTGTCGGCTGATATTAGGAGAAGTGCAGCACGTTACGTGCTGCACATTCTCTAGCTAGTGGTAATAGCTATGGTAATTTCTCGGAGACCCCTACGTGAGACGTACTGCACAGTGCAGCACGTGACGTGCTGACGGTACTGCACGTTTCACGGCTCAGCATCCAAGTTATTTTTTTGCATTTCCAGTAAAATTGTTTTAAAATTTTATCTAAATTATTCAGAAATCGGAATGACAGCCAATTAGACAGTATTATCAACAAAAAGAGACGGTCATGATTTGCATGAATTCGACGCCGGTAGTGTAGATGCTGCGTTTCCTCGCCGGATTTTGACGCTGATTCGTTGATGTTGAGGCAGATACGTGTTCGCTCCAATGCATGAGTTTATAGCTAAGGTTGATAGTGACTTGATATACAATAAATAACGGTAATAATGAAGAACAATTTGAAATAGCCAACGTCATCAACGCCGGAAGCCCCGCTAAAATTGTATTTCACTGTCAATGGATTTGTTTTATTATGCCAGGTGACATGTGACTGATGTGAGTACCATGATACACATTGGAAACCTACTTTGGTTATAAGGCTTGCTCTACTTCGGTCTTGTCGGATTTTTTCTTTTACCGATAGCAATTGACAGTAAATTTAACTAAATTGCATAATTCCACCGGTACTTTACTTTGCAGCACGCCGGCGAAACTGTCCCAGATCGTGATGTTTTCTCTGATCAACGTAACCTTACTGTAAAGACTAACGGAGAAGTTGGTAAACAGTATTATTTTACCAGTACAGTATATAAAATTTGAGTACGTTGTGCACTTCATGCAGTGGATCGATATTTTCACAAGTTACGCATTTATGTAATTCATCATTGTGATTAATGCGATTTTGTACAGTTTAGTCCATCCCCGTGGCGGACAGCCTACAGACAGGCTTAAAGAGCAGACAATATAAGCAAACGGCGACGGACCGTCGGCCAGTTCATCCACGGACGCAGAAAGCCGGTTAATTACATTTTATACATCATCAACTGTCCTCCGGGTAGTAGAGCTTCTTGAGCGCGCGGTACTTGCGCAGCATGTACAGCGCCTCGATCTCCTTGACGACGAAGTGGCCGCGCTGCAGCAGCTGCTCGATCTGCTGCGGATCTGAGACGTCGCGGTTCTTGAGGAAGGCCTTCTTCAGGCGCGAGTGGAAGAAGTCCGCGCCCGCCGGGTACTCCTTACCCATGTGTAGTACAGCTGCAACACACACCCGCTATTTCACCCATTCACATCAAGCATCACACATCACAATGTCTGCTGACTGCTATCGTGCATTCGCAATACCGACAAACAGTACAAACAGTACCGTGCAGTAGAGTTTATCCCAAAAACAAGTCCACATAATTACGATGAATTCAATTACTATACTTGTACCAACCAGCGAAAAGCCATCACTTCCGGTGGCTTCGCAATGCTGCGTACAGCATCACCGCCCACAGACGGCATCTGCAAGTGACAGCTTTTCCACGTACTGTATCGTGTACACACTACACAGTCACCGAGTCACGAAATAAGTAAAATACAGGTGAGCTCATGATCTCGATTCTCCTTACTTTTAACGCGACTTTTAATCCTTTTTTGCAATAAACTTAACCCTTAGTTTTTTCCTGTACTGTACCTGCTTGTAGAGCTGGATGACCCGGGAACGCAGCGGGTTGGCAGTGGTGCAGACCGACATGGCTACAGCCTGTCGCATCACATCTCCACGCGTCCTCAGTGCGACTCCTCACTCGCGACAAGACAAGGAATTCTTCCCACTTGTCACTTGTGGCGACGACTGCTGTGCTGCGCGTTGCCCCCACCAGTCACCTCGTTCCTCGAGGATCCTCGCAAAGCAGTGCACGATATTCCAGGCGCAGTCCTGCCACCTGCAAGAGACGACGGCGTAAAATGGCTGCATTCACACAGCGTCCCAGGCTTCCAAATGGCAGCGTCACTGGCAACAGCTGATACATGTAAGCACATCACATGCGTGACAAGTTAGTACGGTCTGTACGGATAAGTCAGGTGATCCAGCGCAACAGTTACCTTTTCATATAAATCCTGTTAACAAATTGGGAAATGATTGTAATTAATCTGATCAACGTGGAATTCGGATAAAATTCAGATGCTCAACAGCAAAAACTAGAAACGGGGAAAAGCTCATGCCAGTAAATCATAAATGCAAAGATATGGAGTAAATAGACTGGTCACCGCAACCTACGGGCGGTTGCGTTGAACACCAGCTGACTCCGTCGCTCAGCTCAGTCAGCTGACTGGTGAATGTAGCGAGCGTGCTCCGGTACTGTAGGAACCACGTATAGTCGTATACGTAGGAAGCGGGCTTTCATTCGGGAATTTTCATTGGAGGAGACTTCCCGTGCCTCGCATGGCAGGCCTGTCGCTAGCTGCATGTACTTGTAATTTTCTTATTATTACATAATTGTACTGACCGTCTCTCGTCCATCCATCCAGTTTTATTTTGCTTTTAAGATAAACCATATATCCACCGGAAATCACTCCTAATTTCGAGAAATGGGCCGGGCGTTAATAACTTAATGGTGCTTACTGCTTACTGATACACTAATAAAGTACATACATTTTTACCTCCGGTATAATGATAGGTCATGCAGATTTATTTTTCGTTTACGGTTTTCCAGTGTTTGTGTGTCGAACGGTGTAAAAAGCGAGTAGTAATGGAGATGCAATTGAGTGACCGCGCGTGCATTTTTATCAGATACACAGTACATTTCTCTTATATTTTCGTTCGGCAAGTGCCTGTTCTGCATATACACTTTACTGGCTTTAGTAATTCTACAGTGCATTGGTCTCCGCTATCAGCTTCCCTTCCGTTTAATTTTCGCTTGATAAAGGGCTGTCCGAAAACGAAGACTGCATCGAGCTGCGGCAGATCCCCGCAGTTGCCTTGGTAATTCAACTTCTGCAGCCTGCCGGGCCGAAGCCGAGTATAGGGACGAAATGAATGGCAAATAATATGGTAGCCAGTGTAGCGGCGCGCATATGAATTGTATCTGGGCGCCGTCCGTGAAGCATGTCTGCTTTTACACTGCGCGATAAGGCCTGCAGTCCCTGCAACAACGAGGTCGTGTTGGGGCAAGTAAAATCACTCTGGCTGCTGTAAATGCTAAATTTAATGCTGCTGCCGAACGAATGCAACTCAACCGTGGAGCTGCATGAAAATTACATTCATTCCACTGCACTCCATTTCCGCTCTGTCTACATTCTACGCAGAACGGTCATAAACAAATTTCTTCTTCTCTGCAACAGTAAATCGTAAATGTGTTTCTGATATCCAGCAGGCGAATTGCTGATTTTCTGTCTTCCGGTGGAGATGAGCGTTGTGGATTTACACGCAGCATCTGCAATTTAGCCATTTATTCAGATAATATGATTTCCGGTGGCTAGCGTTTACCGCTGGCCGTTAGCAAGTTGGAATCCACGTGTCGCAGGTTGATCGGTGTCCGATTTTAATAGCGAAAGCTGCCGATATCTGCGTCGGAGGGCGTTTACCACTTTACAGCGGTCGTGTTGTGGCTGTCTTGAATCTTGATTGCAAATGCATGTATAGAAAGCACGGAATGATGGCCATGTGCTGGCGGTGCACATGTACAATGTCATGTATTCCGCTGTTCTGTTTCCTATGTTTGCCGTCTCACGAGAGTGGACGGTTGGCAAGTACACCTGATAAGCCAGCACACTTTGCTTCGCTTTCGCAGTTGTTAAAATAGACTGCACAGTGCACGGGCAGCACAGCATGTGCGACGTTGTTAACGTTAGCTAGTCTAGCGCAGGCAGCCATTCGCTTGAATAATTCACTTCTTTCCGCGACTGCACAATCACTCGCCTCGCTTTACTTTCCACTTCCCATCAGCGTCCTCTAGTCCTCTAGCTAGATATCCAGTTAATGTTAACGCCGTCGATTAATTGACAATTTCACCCGTCACAACAATATCAGGGAGCTGTACATGTGTTTTATACGGGAGTGCTCATGTTCCCACACTGTTTAGCTGCTGGGAACGGCGATACTCTGAAGTACATTAAACGGCGTACAGCTGGTGCGAATCGAGTGCCTGCTTGTTCTGCTTGATCCTTGGAGTGAGATCATTGTTTTCTACATCAGTTATATTGGGATTTATAATATTGCCGAGGGATTAACTAATAATTGGCATATGCGTTATGCTGGATGGGTAGCCGCACTAGCCGCAGCTGATCCGGTGGTGTCTAATTTGTCGCGGCATGCGCAGGCGATGACCGTTGGGCTGGCCATGGGCTTGGGCCGCCGGCAACGGGAAGGCGAATTGCAAGGATTAACATTACGCTCCACGGGCGATAATTGCGTAAGTGCAGCTTGTAGCATAATGCAGTATTCTCGTCGGTTGTGCACATTTACTGCCGTTTCCTCGGGATCGGATCAGCCGATTATGATTAAGCTGGTGGATTATATTTATTCGGACCGGTTATTCCAACGGTTGTTGTTGTTGGCGCGGGCAGACAAACAGCCAAATCACCAACCGATGACGTGTTTATTTATCCAACTTGCAACTGGCCGCCACAGAACGTGCTGTTGCCAGTAATTGTTGACTTACATTGTATGCGAGTCATGACATTACGCTTACAATTCTACGAAAGGCATATATATTAACATAAAATAAATCTAAAAGAATAAAATCGGAAATAAAAGTGTCAGGCATGTAATGACAGTAGGTAGTTCGCTGCACAGTCGCTGCAAATGATGAGTGCATAATGTGCATTAATTTGATCAGGCCGGCTTCGGCTAATTAAACGGCACTGGTTTGCGGTTAACATAATTATATATAGAAGTATGCGCTTTCGGTGGTTGCGTGTTATTACGATTGCTAATTAAATACGGAATGGACGCAGGCTATGCATTCACCACATTGCATCACCAATGTGTTATTCTCACGAAATGCCCGAAAGCAAGATGGACGCACGCCGTTTGGCGAGTTTGCCCGTGCTTTACCGGTGAATTATGACGGCGGGTCGGGGCTGTAATTTATGACCTGCGCGGCGTTTGGTGTGATGATCTCCATGCCGAAGCTTTTAACTGTATACGGCGCACGTGATCATGAGCGGCTGGTCAGAACAGAAGAGAAACATTTAATATCGGCTAATATACGTTACAGTCTTATTATGGGCGGGAACGCTTATACGAAAAAGCTGTGATTTTCACCGGTGATTAATATATTATTAATCATTTTTCCTTGTGATCGACAGTGTGCGGCGGGGTCAATTCCACAGCGGCGGATGTGGAAATTAATTGCAGTTGTGCCGATGTTGTGACTGCGGAGAGGCATTTTGTGGCTTATGTGCTAATGTACGCCAGCTAGGCTAGGCGCATTAGTGCCGGAAACGGTTTGACACTGACCGGTGCATGATCATGATCACGAGCGGGATACGTATATCAGTTTGCCAAGTGAAGGAAATGGGCCGCACTGTCCTGAACCGGGCCGCAAATTCCTAAACGGGCCGTGCTGGGCATCGTCTGTGCTAGATTTATTACAGTACCCTACCAGCTTTGCCGGCTGCTCGCGGACTATATTATGCTGTTCTTGGGAATTGCGTGCTTATATGTGTGCACTAATATTTATATAATGCATGTTCTTCGCAGCAAGAAATTTGGTAATATTCTGGCTGCTGAGTCGCTGACTAGTAGGACAAGAACGGAATGCCGATAAGGATAATTTATCAGGCAGCTTGTTGCGCTGATTTTTCCCGGGCTAATCTTGTCAGCTGCAGCGCCGGTGCGCCAGCGATAAGGCCCACTAATGGCGAACACAACAGTCATCATATGCAATTTATTAGCCAGCAGTCTGTGTAAAGTTTAAACCTGCGTGGTTGTTTGCACGCCCAGTTTAGATAATGTATAAACGTTAAGGTTGGGTGCCCCGTATTCTCGATCTGATAAGCGGCAATCCGGGGCCGCTTATCAGAGAATTCAAAGCATGAGACTATGAGTAATTTAATTACCTTCAAGATTCGTTCAAATGCTGTAATATATAATCTCTTATAATGATTAATCAATTAACTAGCTGCAGTATTTCACGCCTATTAATGCGTGTGTGATACTCGTATATCCCCGGCAATCGCAGCGTGAGTGCAATGGTGCTCGCACCGGAAGTGGACGATTCGTCGCTCACAGCCTCACGCTCGCAGGCGACATGACAAGTACAACACAGGCGTTGATCTAATTGGGCTGCACACGCCCAAATTAAGCTGGCTCAACTGACCATCACGTCATTCCTGCAACAGCAGAATATTATTACCAGTCGCAGTTTTCCTAACCGAGCGCTGGGTATGGCAACTTCCCTGGCAATCGGCACGAGTTTGATTGGAAAATGGGTAAACAGATGCGAGGGAAAATTAATTCGTGTCAGTTGAACGTCGTTCCCGGCTTGTCAAACAGCTGACCTGCACATTTGCCCATGTTGACGTCTGTGTATACATATGTGTACATGTCGCTGTGTAATGGGTTTCTTTTGCACTCGCATGTACAGATAAACCTGCGTTTTATTCTCGCCGCTGTCCACAATCGGTAAAAGTGTATATTTTTGCCGGTTATTTGGTGCTGCGTTAAGCAAATATTCATTCTCTTGAATAAGCAGAATCCATTAGACAGGTCTGCGTGTACTGTACATGTGTGCATCTCCATTTTTAGAGTGGCAAATATATTATGATATATGTATATGCCGTTTTGTTGCGCGCTATTTATATTTGTGCCGTGTTGATTGTGGGCGCAGCAAGTGAAGACTTGAGAACGTTGTTTAAAACGGCCGTGTGGCATGTGTGCACTGTGGAGTGTTGAATTTTGCATGTAACGAGCAGTCGGAGTACGCTGACAAGTGCACCTCCACAAACGTGTAATTCACTCTTATTTGAGTAATTATTAGCACAGCATACACTACTCCGTAGTGTGTTATGTTATGTAGGAAAAACGCGGTTAAAAGCGTCTACTACATATATAATTGTGTAATTGCGCGGGTCAGCTAGAGACTGATGTTATAAATAGCTAGTTTTGTTTGCTTTGCTGGAGAGTGGAGAGAAAGGCCAAAAGAATTCATATCTGGACCTGCTGAATACATTTGTATCTGTAATGTGGAGCAGGCAGCGCATTCTTTCCCTTGTCATGCGCATTGACGAGTATTTGTCCGGCTGTCCCGTTGTGTTGTGTGGCTGTACATGTGCATGAGCGGTGTGAACCGGTGGACGGTGTGTTTGCCTAACAGTAAGCGGGGCTTTATTATACACGCCGCTGCTTTCAACGCAATTCAATACATGTACAGTATATTTATATACGGGCAGCGTGTATCTGTATGCAGGGATATATATGCCGGCAATGAGCTGTATTGCAAAGGCCAGCTGATTGCCTTTGTTCAGACAAGCTGATTGAGGAATTTCTTTGCCAGAGCAATTAGTTGTTGAGCGTGGCGCCAGCGTTCCAAACCGGGAAAGGGAGAAGGGAAAAGTGAGCGCGTTGCGGCGATTGTCATTAATATATCAGCTGACTGCGAAATGCGATGCGAACGTGGGAAAGGGGCGGGCGCGAGTTAGCGGTGGACTGAGGATTATTCAGCGCAGCATGAGCAGGCGGTGCAAGGGGATTTATCCGCTCCCGATCAGTGATCAGTCCGGATCCCATTCCGGGCCGGCATATTTCGCTTTCTCCCTTTCCAGTGCCAGCGCCAGCGCCCGGCTGTCTGTTCTGCTTGTGCGGCCACTTGTTGGCTGCAGAATGCAGAACGCAGATAAATGCGCTCGCAGCGAGGTTGCTCAGTAATCCCGGTCTGCTTAAAGCCTTAAACGGTCATCGTTAGATTAAATTGCCGGTTAAGGTTATTAGCTATAGGCGGGTGTTTAAGTTGAACGCGGTAGCGCATGGATCGGATAGATGCATGTTGTGACTGCTGCTGCACTAGTTTATATACGTACTGTACCGTATATATTCTCAGCTTGCAGTCAGGCTAGCTAAACCGGGATATACAAGTATATCTGTATAAAATTTTATATACTGCACTGAAGAAGTGGAAAGATAGAGATGTGGATAAGTGACTGCGCTTAACTGGGCGCATATATACGAGTATATATGCAGGAGAGAGCATCACGCAGCGAAAGAGCATTCAATCCAATCTGCAGCTAATTACCTCCTTCGTGCAAAGCGCCGCCGCGTCTAGATCCCTTTCAGTTTCATCCTTTTGTAAAGAAAGTACAGTACGATACTGCGGCAGCCGGCGCTGATCATAGCGTGCTGCGAGGGGAACACGCATCGTTAACGTTCCAGTTGAGATTATAGTCAAGACAAGGACAAGCCGGCGTGACTGTGATTGCACTTCATTGCAGCTACAGCTAAACGACTCCGTGCAGGCTTCTTTTCCCTTCTTTGTCTGCTCTTCTCTTGCTGCCGGGAGTCTACTGTGTTTTATGTAAATTAAAGAAAATTCACGCTGCTGCTTGAAGGCTGTCCGGCTGTCGCATCCGGCGACAAATGGGCCATACTGTTAACGCGACTGACCACAGCCGTTGCGCATGCGTGGAATAAAGGTCAAACGTCCATGACGTAATTAATCTTTTTATGCAGACTGGCAGAGCGCCTTGACCGTTATACGCCAACCAACAAGGACAGTTAGTTACAATCACGACATTAAGGTCACTTGCTTGACCATCCTGTCGTGTTGCTGTTTTCTTATTTAATAACTGCGCAGACATTATCCGTACTTCTACGTCGTACGACGATACGAGAAGAGTAGTAATTAAAATAAAATAATCATTATCTATATGTCAATATGGAGCGTGTCGCTGCATAGAATACCGACCAGTCCGATTTATGGGTGCTGTAAGTACAGTACGTAATTCAGGAAGACACAATTCAGGCTGCTGGCAGACACTGCTCTAGACATCGTGGCAGCGGATTCGCGATCGGACGTCGGTGCAATGAGACGAGTGAATATAATATCTGCCACCTGTTTCATTGCGTATGCAGCTGTACATGGTGGGATCGAAATGACATCATCATCGAACATCCATTACATTATTTACACACACACTTCGCTCCCCACAACGGTGTTGTTCTCATCTATTATACGTACAGTATATCCGCATAATTACCGTGCAATACAACTTTTTTTCATATCAGTTTTTAGCGTGAATTCCTTCGAGTATTTTTCAATCGCCAGTCGAGTGCCGCATATATCTGTACATCACATTATTGTTTATACGGTACATTTAATTAGGATGTACAAGAACGCTAGACCATGAGATGAAAACAGCGGCTGTGCACTTATCCCTGGAATACTGATACAGTACTGATTAGGGCGTAGTTAAAAGAAAATGCACTGTGCGTCTGTACATGGTATTGTTGTTGCTGAGCAGATGAGCGGCGGAATGGTGCTGCACGAGAAGGCGACACCGTGGCAGCGGCCCTCTGCGAGCCACGGGAAAGCGGCACCAGAAGTGCCGGCGGGGACGCCGCCGCAGCCACAGCTGCAGTTGGCGGAGGCGCTGTTCGACAACGAGCCGGAGCATCCCTGGGAGCTGCGCTTCCGTGCCGGCGACGTGCTGGAGGTGCGCCAACTGCAGCCGGCCGGACTGGAGGGCTGGTGGCTCTGCCGGCACCGTGAACTCCGCGCCGGCGCCGACCGGGACACGGACGGCAGTCCGCAGCAAGGCCTGGCGCCCAACAACCGCCTCAGGCTCCTCCCCCACGCCAAGACACCCGCATCCTCCGCGGTACATTCACTGACTCCCGCTTTACGTTTACTCGCATTTCTACGCAGTCATATATATACAATCGTATAAATCAAACTATATATGTATCTGCATTAAAGGCGCAATTAGAAAAGCCATTAAACCGCCTTTCGCCGCGGTGACCGGCTAATATTTGCTCCCATTAACCCACTGCAATTCCCTAAAAAAAGGACTACTCCAATTACATTTAATCTTAATGTGTGTTTTGGTTGTAGACGAAGGGGAGCAAACCAAGCGGCGCGGATTACGACGTCCCGCGGCCGGCGCTGACGGAGAAGAAGCGCGCCAGTCACGGTAAAGGCAGCAGCGGTGAGTGCCGGCATATTACTGTACTACCGTAATCAGCGACTCTTTACATTCCGCGCCCAGCGGGACGCCGGCCTGTACACAGCAAAATAACCGGCGCTGTCGGAATCCGACACAAAATAACCGCTCCTAATAATCTCTCTTTCAAGCCACATTTTCTCAGCGCCCCGCAGTTTCTCTGCGAAAAACGGCGTAAATGCCGGAAAAATGAAACTGCCGAGTGAAATGAGCCGCTCGACCGTGTCGCTCACTCGGCATATACAGTATATCCGGCTTATTAATTAACTAGCCGGTGCGCTCTCTCTTTCGGCATCTGTCACGCCTAACCTCATTTTTTGCCGTTTTTCTTGTGAAACAAACCACATGTTTGACGTGCCGGACAGCGGCGTGATTTGTGGTCTGCGTGACCAACGACTGGTTGTCACTGAAACGACTGACATCCTAATAACACGCGCCGCAGTTGAGACAAGACACATTTTATTCCCCTTCTCCCCGACACACCGCGCATCCCCTTAGACATGCCGGCGCGCGTAATAAGGCGCATCATTTGGTGCACCAGTATTTTCTCGACAGGACATTGACTTCCCAAAAAATGCACCGCATTTCATTTTATTTATTCTCTTTTCTTGTCATTAACTATTAAGTTTTATCATTTTATTTACTACAATTTTAGCTGTTCTTTCTTAGCAATTTTAAGTAATAAACCGAATTTCTTAGTTGATTTATTCATAATTCTCTTTTGTATTTTAATATTATTTGTTTATTAACAGTTTATTTTATTTGCTTAAATTAGTTAGAGGTAAATTTATTATTTTATTTATATGTCTTCATTTACACAGACACCGGCGCCGACTACGACCAGCCGCGGCCGGTAGCCTTTGCGCCCGACAGCCCGCCCTCGCTGCGGCCCCTGCGCACCTCGGCCTTCTACCCGGCTAGCTACATCCCGCCGGCGCCGTCGACGGCCTCGGCGGGCAGCAGCAGCGGCAGCAGTCGCTACAGCATCCTGACCTCCTCCGACCTCCCGTCCTCCGCGTCCCCCTCCGACCGCGGCCGCAGCAGCGCCGAGCCGCTGTCCTCGCCCTCGGACTACGCCCCCCTGGCCCACGGCCCCGCCCTCCTCTCCAAAGAGGGCGACTACGACTACGTGGACTACATCGACGCCGACAGCGCCGAGGTGGAGGTCGAAGAGCACTACGCGCGCCTGCCGCGGCGCCACCCCCCGCGGGCGGTGGCCAGCACGAAGCCGGCGGCGGCCAAGAAGCGCGAGTCCTTCATCAAGAGCGCGCGGGTGTACGACGTCCTGCCCAAGCAGTTCCGGCCGGTGTCCTTCGTCGAGGACACCGCCGCGCCGCGTCCCACCTCCGAGGTCCACGTGACCCCGGACACGCTCCCGATCTACGAAGCGCTGAACGTGACGAAGCAGGCGGCCATCCGGCGCATCAGCTTCATGCAGAGCCAAGTTCAAACCGAACTGTCGCGCCTCTTCAGCTTCGTGGCCGCGCCCCAGTGGCGGCAGGTGCGGCAGTTGGCGCAGCGCCTACCGGAAGTCAAAGTGTGCTGCGAGTACTTGATCACGCACTTGAACGGGCTGATCCGCTTCGTGCTGCAAGCGCTGCAGACTCTCCTGGCGGCGTCGCGCGCGCAGCCGGGGTTGGAGGAGAAACTGCGCGGACTGATCGACGCGGTGTACCGCGGGTGCGCCAGCATCCGGGAGGCGCTGGCCGGGATGGCCGGCGTGCAGTGGACGGCCGGGGAGACGGCCGTGCACTGTCTGCAGCGCATCGTCGACGCCGGACAGATCCTGGCGGAGGATGTGCGCAAGATGACGGCCTTCGTGCTGGGCAACGCGCAGCTCATCTTCTCCGACACGGAGGAGCTCAAACTGCAGCTGCGACCGCTGCCGAGAGTGCCCAGCAAGGGCCTCCTCGATCAAGAAGGTAACCAACAGATACAAACATATTATTTGATTTTTTTCTGATTTTTTTTCAGTTTTTTCTACAATTTTTTCCAATTTTTTCTGAGTTTAATTGTTCGCGTAAATTGTGCAGAGGCGAGCGTGGTGGCGGACAACGAGTACGAAGACGTGGACTACGGGAACGTGTCCATGCCGGTAGTCCCGCGGTCGCCCGCCCTGGAGCGGCGCATCCTCAACTCGTACATCGCGGAGGTCAACGAGGAGGTGGCGGCCGTCTCCGCGCTCATCAGCGCCTTCACGGCGCGCATGTTCGCCGAGCGCACCGTCACCTCGCTGGACACCATCACCCAGGCCGAGCAGATCGCCGGCCACGCCGCCAAACTGGCGCGCTTGACGGACTCCTTGAACCGCAACCTGACGTCGGCCGCGACGGAGCCGCTGCGGCGCAAACTGGCCAAGACCGGCAGCTACATCACCACGGCCTGCAAGCGCTTCCACCTGGAGCTGAAGGGCGCCACCAACGCGCCCGACCAGCGGCACTTCAACAACGTCAAGGCCTCGCTGGACTACTTGAGCGAGTTGTGCCTCTTCCTCAAGAACTCCACCGAAACCGAGGTGTAGCCGTTACACCCTTCCTTCAACGGGATATAATGCAATTTTGTGATTAACTGGTCTCTCGTGCCACTGCGAAAATTAACGGTCTTCCAAATGTTTTATATGCCAATTTCGAAATTTGTACCTTTTCACTTAGTGACATGATTGTACCAAATAATTCTGTATTCTGCCTTACAAAACAAAGGTCACAGCCTTGGATAAAACGGTAAAATTAAAATCTGCGATAAAAAATGGAAAAATGTTCGCTGCTTTCACACTAAACATCACATGCAAAATACTACAAATCCGGGTTAAAAACAGACTCTCGTCCAGAGGCACAGAAAGAGATTGGTAGACAACAGAGAACAAGGACATACGTGAGAATGTAGTGCAGTGGCTTCACAATCAGCGCGGCCGCTTCTCGAGGTACCAGTCGGGAATGAACTGCCACTGCGAGTGCGCCGGCCACTTCTCGGCCGTTACGCGGTCCCAGCCCGGGTTCCACTCGAACTTGTACACCGCGCTATCGAATTGCCAAACACACACATTAAGAACATATAAAATAAAGGAAGAAACATCATCAAAAACGGAATAAAGTACGTCATATTTTAAGGGATAACAAGACAAAATTAGTTGCAGACAAAATAAATGCTGAGATTTTAGGCTAACAGACAGGTAATTCTGCAAGTATACAAGTAGATCGTCACTTACTGGCGGTAGTCCTCCGTGACGCTGCGCTTGACCAACCGCAAGAAGCCGTCGAGGAAGTTGAGACAGATCCCACCCGACCAACTATTCCCGTACTCCTACACGAATACACGAACCATCAATAACAGTAGAAGTATCAACAATTTCCGTCTGAACTGTCTACTGTTGATGATAATAATCAATATGTTGCAGCAAAACGTCTGCGGAAATGTCAGAATTGTGCTATCGAAAGGAAAGGAATTAGCTGTGGAAATTGTTCAGTTATTATGCTCAAGTTCATATGTTTTGCGCTTTAATCATTCAGTACTGTATTCTTCGAAAGAATCTTAAAGAAACTGAAGGCAGATGCTCTCGTAGATATAAGAATCAAAAGAAAACGTGTATTCGGACAAACCGGGAATAAATATCAGGATTAGGAAGCTGATATTACTGACCTTGGCCAGTTTGGAGATTCTCGCGACGGGCATCTCCTCGGTGGAGACGCAGTTGCCGGCGTCGTCGCGGTAGCCGATGAGGACGGTGGGCACGCCGGAGACGAAGCTCTGCGCCCAGATCTTGCACATCTTGTGGTTACTAACAACACCAACACACCCAATCAAACCACCGCCAAAATTCGCGAGAATAGGGCAAACGCAGAAAAAGCAGCTGACGAAGACGGAAGTATTTGAAGAAACCAACAACAACTGTGCGTACTAGTGGGACTGCCACTGGCGCTGCGTGTCGGGCCGGCGCGCCGTCTTCAGCTCGACGTAGCAGCGCGGCGGGGGCGCGTCTTTCTTCAAGGGATCCAGGCAGTCCATCTCGGCGCCAAAGAGGAGCCCCGTGGCGCCCACCTGCCCCTTGAGCACCGCGTGGAAGCCGTGGAAGTTGTTGACGGGCTCCTCGAAGGCCGCCTTGTCGTCCGCCGGGTGCGTCATGTACTGCTCGAACTTGTAGCCCCTGCCAAGCACCAACATGCCTCAAACATCCACGTCAGGACTGTCCAGTTCGTAGCACAAGAACAACAACTGATTTCAATCAGCCCATTTGTTCAAGTTAAATCCCTACAAATTTTATTTATACACTATTATACAATACGTATCAATTTATTAGCCCGCAGAATTCTTTTTAATTACTATGGATAATACACTCACAGAAATAATTATATTTTTGAAATCGCACCCAAATTATAGATTCTCCCAGCAGAAATTTCGAAAAATTAATTACCGGGATAGCGCCGGAATAGACAGAACAGCCGATGAATAACATGCTGAGTCATTGCCAACCACTGACGACTTACCAGTAGATGAAGTGCGCCTGCTTCTCGTCGACTATCTCCTTGTCGGCGGCCTTGCTGGCCGTGTCGAAGTGCGAGAGATAGATGACGCCGTCGATGCGGCACGCGCAGATGATCCAGCCAGCTGTATGCACATAATTATACGATAATTATACGAATACAGTACAACACTTCAATAACCTAATCAAATCTACATGCTAATTAAACTGCATGTGCTGGTGTGATTACATTCCCTCCTACACACAGCACTTCGTTTAATCAGAAAGGAAAGAACTGAAAATGTCTGTTAAGTCCATTTGTTTTCGCGAATTCAGCAGGAGAAAACGTAAAATTCTGGGGGTAAAATGAACAACGTTTGTGCATAGTTCTAGCTGTATCAAAGTGATTCTTAATTTAACACGATATAATTTTTTATTTCACCAATACGGCTACAGTCAAATCAAAAACAGTCCGTATGGCAGCAATTGATTTGTGGATTCGTTTCACAAAAACCTTTTGTGGAATTAGATTTTATACAAAACCTGCGTGTTCAACCGCAAATTTATAGAAAATCCTTCGCTTTTATTTAAAAAAACAATTTTATTTATTTTACCAATTGCAAACATTTAATTTTAAAGAATTGTGGATTTAATTTCCAAAGGATTCATCAGAAATTGATTTGAAAGATCATGGACTGAATTACCAACAAAATCTACGGATCCAGTTTCGAAAAGAAAACTTTACGGACTCAACTGCAATAAAGTCCTACGGAATGCATTATTTAAAAATTTTTACGGAACGATACTTACTGCAGAATTTGGCGGATTCGTAGGGCGTGGACATGACGGTGTGGAGGTGGCCGCGCCAGCAGACCACGTCCGTCTGCGCCCTGCAGCACAAACACCGTGAAAACAGAACAACGCACACTGCTACTTCTGTGACGATGACACCGACTCAAAAGTCAAAACGCACAGCCAATCAAACACAAACAGCCCAAGATGACGTACTTGTACTGCAGGAAGTCGGCGGGGTGCTTGATGATCCATTGCAGGAGGTGGTTGAGGTGGTCGCGCTGCGCGGGATCGCGGGGTTCCTGGCGACTGACGAAGGAGCGGAAGCCCTTGTCCAGCGGCAGCGACAGGCCCTTCACCACTGCCTGCCCCGCTCCGCGCCGCTGCAGCGTCGGCAGGCCGCTGCGGTCGTCGTGGAACTGGCGCTGGTAGGGGTCCGTCGCCGGCCACGGCCCCGTCAGCGTGAAGGCGCCGATCTCCACGGGCTGCGCGATCGAGCAGCTCGCGCCTTGGAAGTCGCCCAGCTGCATCGCCAGCCCGCTCAACTTCTCCACGGCGCATTCCTTGTCGGCGAGCGCTGCCATCCTGACACCGCTACCTCTTTCAATCGAGCACGATAATCTGCACCAGAAGAGCCACTACAATCTGCCAAAATAATTATTCCCCACTCAGTTCCGCGATAAACTCAAACCTGGAGAAAAATAAACCGCAGACGACTGATTTTCCAAACTTTATTTCCCATTCATAACAGCAAATTTTTGGCAGTAATGGCAGTTCCATTGATTTACTGGAAGCAAAGCCGGAAGTAATTCTGCGGTGTAATCTATGTTATGCAGCAGTGCTAATTCCATTCCACTAGTAACGGTAAGTGTAAACGGAACTGCTGTAACACCACGTCATCTCGGAGCTTATCAAAACACCGCAGTCAGAGTGTCAGACTGGATATTTTTTTAAAGTTTTCCTCCCCTCCTCGAGCTCCTGTGGTTAAATTCTAAGATTTCCATCTCTTTGAAAAGTGAAGAAAGGAGCAGCGTTTTATTAGTTTTGTTGACGTCTCGGGTAGAGTGTGGAGGGAAGGGTGGATGGTTTTGTGTGAGCTTTATGTGACGTCGTCGGACTCGACAGGAATTCTTCATTTGTTGGGGCCTTCCCTCTGGTGCTGCACTCCGCCACCAGGGACGCTGGACTCTGTTAGCTGGTGATCGTTGCGTGTGGGCAGGATGTTGGGTCTTTCAGTGCGCTGGCCGGGATCGTGGCGCGCGATGGCCCCGGCGCGGCGGGCGGCCTGCGCGTTGCTGGCGCTGCAGCTGCTGCTCAGCGAGGCGCTGCTGGGCGCCAGCGCCGTCTCCTTCCATCTGCCGCCCAACCAGCGCAAGTGTCTGCGCGAGGAGGTGCAGAAGGACGACCTCATCAAGGGCGACTTTGAGCTGTCTGTCACGTCGCCCGACATCAAGACCGACATCGAGGTGAGGCTGATGAATGATTCCGATGAGGAACGTTCCATCACTTCCGCGACAAAATTTAAGTGGCGTAGCGAGCTGTGGGCGTACTGTGGGTTGTGCCCCCAACCTCTGAGCTGTACTTTTCCATTTGGGAGTCGGCATGGCCCCCAAAGCAGTAGGCTCGTTACACCAGTGGTGGTATTTTAACTGGTTGCAGTGCAATCTGGTGCAGAATTGAGAATTAGCCAAAAATGAAAAACTGAAAGAACGATGTTGCATTGCAGATTCTGGATTCGCGCGGACACAAGTTGTTCAACAAGCAGGACGCGCAGAAGGGCAAGTTCGCCTTCAGCGTGGAGGAGTACGAGATCATCGAGATGTGCTTCGAGACCAAGTTTGATGTCCGTAAGTGAACAGAACGCGCCGCGTTTTTCTAGAATCTAGGTAAAACGTACACGTAGTGGTACCTGTTGACGCTCATTATTTCTTATAGCGTATGGCCGTCCCGCGCCGCCGCCACGTGAGATCACTTTCAACATTCTGCACGGAGTGGAAGCCAAGAATTACGATGATGTAAGTCAGACGCCGTGCGTTTTCCTAAATTTAATCTGTAAGAGATTTGTTTAGAATTACTTGCAAAATTGAAAATCGATGTCGCAGATTTGCTTCAAAATAAATTCGCAGTCTTTTGTAAAATTTAATCCACTGAATTGTTTTTAGAATGAGATCGCAGAATTACTTTCAAAAGTAATCTGCTGTATTTTTAAAATCAGGACCGCCGGGAAATCAGATCTGCACTCTTAGTCTTTGGCGAAATTGAACTGTTTCAAATCTGAATCCACAGAATGTTTTTAAATTAAATCTGCAGAATTTCTTCTGTGAAATCCGCACCAGATCTACAATTGCATAAAAAAGGATAGCAATCCGCAGAAACGTAGTTACTAATTTATGGTTGCATTTCGAGAATTATTTGAGCATGATTTGTAACTGTCTCGCCCTGGCATTATTAGCTGGCGAAAGCGGAGAAGCTGAAGCCGATGGAGGCGGAACTGCGCCGACTGGAGGATCTGTCGGACGCCATCGTGGAGAGCTTCAACCACATGCGTAAACGCGAGGAGGAGATGCGCGGCACCAACGGTATTTTTAACCGCTGCTTCCTTTCCGTCTAATCATCTCTGTGTTCCTACCCAATGTATTGATCGTTTTGCAGAGCAAACCAGCAGCAAGATCCTGTACTTCAGCGTCTTCTCCATGGTGTGCCTGCTCAGTCTGACCACCTGGCAAGTCATGTACCTGCGCCGCTTCTTCAAGGCCAAGAAACTCATCGAATAATCCAACCGTTCAAAGTTGGCCGAGATGTTGATTAAGGAGTTTAGTAGACGTTCTATTTGCACACCGCCGCTCATCTGTTCTCCTGCAGCACCGCATACCGTCATTTCCCACCTTGTTTTTAACCGGTTTTATCTCTCTTTCTGCGTTTTTCTCTGTATCTTTCGTGATGGGACTGACCGACTGTTTTACGAGTACTCGAGAAGAGCACTAGCCACTACCAGCGTTCCTTCACTTGCGCTCACGTGCCAGTGGAATTGGCTAGTCAACTGCAATTTGAGCAGAAGCTCTTCAATGCACAGTTGTGAACAGAAGAGTCCTGCTGGACGAACACACTTACTATAATTAACTGTGAGTCTGTGACACGTGCATATAGTCATACTGTATACTGGTTAATATTCGTAACCCGTTAATTCTAAAAATTAATTGGTTTCAGTATTCTTTCAATAAATTGCTTTCCAAAAAATTCTTTCGAACTAATAGCTTATTAGTACATAATCATTCTTAATAATTTCTCTTTTTTAGCAGAGTGTACTAATCCATCCAGTGGAACCCGATATATTTTTAAGCCACTGCACTACAATGATCACACTCACAACCCATAAAACAGATTGTGAGAAAAAAACGGCAAGAATAAAATTCCAAAAATCAAGCTTCAGCCCCTGCGCCCACGGCACCTTGCTGTAATTATCTTACACATCCCGTCATCCCCCGCCGCGTTTAAAGCATCTATAATTTTCGTCACCCAGTTAATTCTAACAATCAATTTATTTTTAATAAACTTTTCATAGAATACTTAAATAAAATCCTTCGCTCTTTAATTTTCTGATAATCCTTTTAATAATTTTCCACATTATTATTTTTCGTTTTAATAATTTTCCACAGTTTCCTGAGTCGTTAGACGAATTCAGGAATTTTGTAAAGCCACACCACTAGCACTTTCACTCACAAACAATAAAACTGAGCGAACAACCGGTAAGAATAAAACTCTAAAAATCAAACTTGAGCCCAGGCGCCAACTGCAGCTCCTTCCTGTAAGTAATCGTACACGTCCCGCGGCGCATATACTGTACCGCTTCCCCGAATCCTCCAGGGCCCGGTATTCCAGGGCGTAAAAACGGGGGCGGAGGTCTCTTTGAGGATGACGGCGGCGTTGTGCGGCAGGTCGGTGATGATGGTAAGTTGGACCAAGTTGCCGGCGAAGGGATGGCTGCTGGCTTTTCCGTCCACGAGGACGCGGCCGCTGGCGGACCGGGCGTCGGCGATGTGCGATGGTCTGCTGGTATAAAAGCGACGCCTGTGTGCAACTGTGCATCGGGTCGTACAGGCTCTTCGGGGCCAGTCTGTCATTTAAAAATAAATCATCCGCATGAAATACAAACGACGATTTTAACGCGATTTTTTGGCTCCAATGGAAGGCAAATAAACTGAAATAATTTAACTTCCTGAATCACGCTGTGATGTATCATTTGTCCATGAAAAGCTATCAATGAAAACACAATAACACACTATTAAAAAATTCAAACAGAAATCTTTTTTGTGATAGGGTTCACTACTCCTTTTTCATTCGGCCATCAATGCCATCGCACTACGTCATACCAGCACATACAGTAGTTTGGTTAGCTACTTCGCTAATTACACGATTCGATTAATTTATTCTTAACAGACAAATAATTGCCCTCGTTAATTAAATGATCGATTAATTCATGGGTTCATTTTATTAACAATTAATTCATCCTCAGGTTAACTCCATATTAACTTGAAATAAAAAAACTTAATTAAAAAATCTATTTAAAAATAGTTAGTAGAAATATTTTTCCATGTCCCACTGCACAACAACTAATATACACCGGTAATTCTTCATAGAGCTTCGTAACTAAAAATCAATAGAAAACTAGATCCGAATATACGAGTAATTCATTAAAAGATTTCTATTATTTTATTGTTCGGCATGACCTACGTGTCCGGTATCAACCAATCGAACATTCTCGTGCCACTCTACTACGAACACCGCTAAAGGTGGATTAACCTTACTGTCAATTTATTTGGCCACTTACTTCCAAGAAAAAAACCGAAAAATCAATAAAAATTTAAAATTCGTAGAAAATGTAATAAACCATAAAGAAAATTTTTGAAATTTAAATCTTACCTCAGATCATGGCGAGGGCGTTACTGCAGCCGCAGACACCCATGGGGAATGTAAACGCCGAGATGAAGCCGACGCAGCCGAGGGGGTTCCAGGTCCGCAGCAGCACGTGACCGGCGCGTTCCGACGGCAGGATCCTGCCCTCGAAGATGCGCGACTGTCCGGTGGCGTAGACGGAAATGTCCATGCACTTTCCCCGACGCCCTCCGCGATGATCTTGCACATCTCCAGCGAGATCAGCCGGCTCCATATCGCGCTTGCTCCGCATTTCGTCGCCGATCTGCCGGACGATTTGCTCGCGGTTCCTACCCGGCAGGAATTTCCACGTCACCAACGCCTCCACGCTCGCCTAAATATTCCCGAAAAAATGCCAGTCTTGACAGAATCATCACGGAAATTGTTTAACTTCTTTTTGACCAGTACATACACATCTTAAATTAATTAAACAATCAATTAAAAATAAATTAAAACAGATAAAGTGCTATATCAATTTTTTCATAAGTTATCAGAACAAATGAATTAAATTCCCATTTTACTGTACAAATTAAAACGAAAATAAATTTTTTAATTAATCAAAATTAATTTTATAATTTCTAGTAGCAGTATGACTTCGGAAATAAACTGCAAAATATACCGGTAACCAAACAGTTATTCTTTAAATTTCTTTTTATCTATGACACCCATGGAAAAAAATATCAGGATCAAAAACGATCACTGTCCTACAAAAATCGGCACCATTCCAGCTTTACAGAATTCCATTTCAAACATGATAGGAATTATGCGAATGCGAATAATGCGAATAATTTTTCGTAGTACGATAGCATTATTCGCGTTCGCATAATTCCTATCGTACTACGAAAAATGTTCATTCATATTCTTCCCGCCTCAAATTCGCAATTGAAATAAATTAAAAAAATGGGAAAACTTTCGACTTTCTTTCGCTAGAAAACGAAAACTATATGAATTTCGTACTAGAAAGTAGAAATCACCAGAAACTGAAAACTCGAATTACCCCAGATGTCAGGATCATCGGAGCAGCAGTAACGACTGGCGACGGTGATTGAGGCCGCGTTTGGGATCGCGATTATCCAGCACCTGCTTCAGACGATCGCGTCCATGCACTGGCAGCCCGTTCAACGCTAAACACAACAAACACCGTAGAATCAATTTCCGAGAACCATGGCACACTTGGCTGATTAATACAGCGTACCCAGGACAAGTTGCTGATGGAGGCGATCGTCAGAACGCTTCCCGCATGCCAGAATTTCCCGGGATAATCGGGAAACGGCCACCGTCACGCGATCCATCAAAATATCAAGGCAAAATTCAGGATTTACGGATCATCAAGCACCATACTCCCGCAACATGAAAAAAACATAAAGGCGACCCTGACGCTACAATCAAAATAATGTTGAAGTTTTCAAAAAGAAGAATCGTAGAAAATCAATAAACATTAAACATTTTCCCATGTTCGAAGTTGTAGCTCGTCAAGTACATTATGCGAGTACCGAGCGCCCAAGGCGGCTGCGCTATCGCCCAATTCGAAAGACGTGGTGCAGGCGGCATGAATACATATATGGACCTGTATTATAAAGTACCGATGTACGACAGGCTTTGCAGCGCGCCACCGATGTACGATGCCAATTCTTGTACTTGCTACGGTACGTGCCGGTTTATATTCACTGACCACCACTTTTGCACACGTGCCGCATTTTTTGCATTTTGCATCGGGACTTGAACCGCGGACCTCTCGCTAGCAAACCACAGCACACACCACTGCGCCACTGAAAAGGGCTCAGACCTTACAATTAACTTTGTCGCCGCAGCTGAATTATATCGGTGCAGCGTTAGCCACTGCACTACGATGAAGGCTCAGCCTCATATTATGTTGACTGCTTATCGCTACCTGTATAGCGACATTTGGCAGTAATTATTCAATTTATTCAAATCACAAGGTTTTTCCTCGTAACAGTAAAAATCAGGAAAAAATTTTAATTTCGTGCGCCGCATCACTGTCATTCCACCCTAATAATCACGAAATACACAATACGCATATTAAAACAGCATTTCAATATAGCCCTCCCGATTCTAGACAAATTGACGCTTTCGTAGTTAAGTGCTACCTGCTACTGTCATCAGCATAAAAAAAACAGGATCAACATAACGAAATATTCTTGTGCTACTGTTCTTTTTTCAATTCTCCTTTTACATCGTCCTCTCCCAAATCAGCAAACAAATCGGAACACTGATTTTTTAAGCCATCTGCACTGCAATTATGTATTACCCAATTATGTACTATAACCTGCGCACAGCGCAAGCAGCCGGCAAGAATAAAAGTAAAAATCAAACTTCGGTCCCTGCGCGCCAACGGCAGCTCCTTTTTGTAATTAATCGTAGATACTAGATATCCTACGCCGCATATATTGCTTAAAATTTTGTCGAATATTACGAAAATTATAATAAATTTCTTCTTTGATTCTGTTAATTTTAAAACAGCCGGCTAAACTTTAAAAAATAATTTCAAATAATTTTTCATAAATCAATTTAAAAAAATTATTCGAAACATTGATTCTCATTAATAATCGCGTTATCATTTTTAATAATTTCCAACGCTATAGCTATCGTCTCCAATATGAGAGTGCGGGCGCAGTATTTTAGCCACTGCACTGTACTAACAAACGCTAATAATAAAAGTTAAAACTGAGCAAACAGCAAACAGCCTCCCTTTAACTGCAGCGGCCCGAGGCGGAAGCCCAACACATCATGTACTTACTTACTGAGTAATATTCGTGGCAAAGCGTTTTTCCCAGTTTGCTTTGAATCTTACGTGCAGCCTGCGTTTAGTTTGGATTTGGCTAAATATTTGTAATTGTAAGACTGTAATCGTCTGAAGAGTTGGAGGTTAGTGCAGAGTGGTGGCTTGTTGCGGAAGACACCGAGAGGAACGGCAGTGTACTGCAGCCTGGAATCATCAGGAATGCAGCATACGACAGTGTGACTGAGCTCCGCTTTCGTGTTGTCTGACAGCATCCTCTTCTGTCCGACTGTTTATCTGCTATCCAGTTGCTGAGGTTTCTGGTTGATGATGGCCTTGCGGGGACTCTGCTCCTCCTTGCTGCCGTGTCTGTCCTCCCGTTCCGCGGTGCAATTCCCGAAAACGGCGTCGTGGAGTCGCTGGGAGTCGTGGTGGGGTTCCTGCAGTCTGGCACACGGGTACGCCGTCATCCAGACTCCGTTGCGTCCTTGGCGCAGTGTAGCGTAACCGTCTGTGTGTGTGGCGTTGACAGGGAGTCCCTGCCCCTGCATTCCCCGCAGCAGCAGAGTATCCGCTGGAAGCGGGCGCGCTCGGTGGCCCCGGGTCCGCGGCAGAACCAGCCGCGCCGCCACTGGATCACGCCCGAGCTCCCGGCCGGGCTGGAGGCCCGTGAGCAGCTCAGCGCCGAGAACCGCGCCTTCCTGCAGCAGGTCGTCCAGGACACCTACCCCGCCGCCGCCGCCGCCGTCTCGCCCCTGCGCACGCCGCCCCCCGAGCGGGCCCCCTACACCTTCAAGTCAGTACAACTAACAACTGTACTATTAATATTACTGAATTACGCATCACTTCGCTCCCCATGGCATCTTAGGCAGTTCTCTGAGTTCTGATTATTTTACTTTCTTAAAGTTTCTGGCTTTTAAATTGTCATGATACATTTACTTTACGCTTATTTTTTCTAGTGCAATATACAGTATAATTTGCACAAACTTGTATAGTAATGGTAATCTGTAAAGCGCCTTACTTCTGCAAAATCGCCTGTTATGAATAAAGCCGAACTAGCCATGGCCTTAAGTACCTACTTGATATGGTTGTCATCTTATTCAGTACATTTTCTCGTTGTATGCGTACCCTTTCAATAATTTGTTTGACAGTTTTCTTTCCCTGTGATCTCGTGGTAATTTTATTAGTTTGTCCCACCACTTTATCTGCAGTTGTTTTTATTTTTTGTTATTTATTTTATCGATCATTTAATGGGTTTTATTTTTATTTAACTAGTAATTAATCACAGAAATTGTCTGATTAGTTGCTTAATTGATTGTTTGTTTTTCTGTGCATTTTTCCTTATATAGATATTTATTAATTTTGTTGGTGTCTGTACGTGTGGCTGTCGTGCTTGCCGTAGCGAGTAGCGCTTGCCGTAGCGAGTAGCGGGAAAACATAAGAGCGCACAATCAACTGACGTGTGCTCTTTTCTGACGTGTGACTGTGTTGGCGCTGAGAATTATGATTTATCTGTCTGTTTATGCACGTGTGACGGTGTGTAATTTGTTGTCTTGTCATTGTGGTTCTGGTCAGGACCCGGCGCTGCGGCCTACTGTGCCGGAAGATCGGCGTGATGCCGCAGTGGACCAAGACCGGCAAGAAGATCCTCACCACGCTGCTGCAGGTGCGTTACTTGTCTTTTTCCCGGGTCGATTATCTACTGATTTACTGCTTCTCGCAGGTCGTCGACAACCACGTCATCAGCATGGTAAGTGCGCAGCCTCTCCCGACTCAGTTAGCGATGCAGTTATTGACCAGTGGTTATTCCATTCGGCAGTCGCCGTCGTCGCAGTTCGGGACGACCCACCGCGGCCAGCACTACAAGGCGGCGCGCAAGGGCCTCAGCTCGCTGGTCGTCGGCGCCGAGAGCATCGACCCCACCAACGTCAGTCGCCGCTGCTGTACACTCCTTATTCAGTACTCAGAGCAGCGTGGTTGTGTTGCAGTTGACGGACGACTACTGCCGGCTCTTCGAGGCCTCGGGCCTGCAGCCGAAGCGCAAGCTGAGCAAGATGATCGTCTCGGACCACGCCGTCATCCCGGTGGGGACGCCGCTGCGGGCCACGCACTTCCGCGTCGGCGACTACGTCGACATTGGCGGCCGCACGTACGCTAACCGTCTTTGTTGTGGCGCTGTACAAAGTGTCTAAATGGCGTCGTTGCAGCGTGGACCACGGGTTCCAGGGCGTGATGAAGCGCTGGAACATGCGCGGCGGCCCGGCCAGCCACGGCGCCACGAAATCCCACCGGCGCATCGGCAGCATCGGCTTCCGCCGGGTCAGTCCGCCATACACACCCATCCACTGAATATTTGTTGATTGATTCGTTCGCTTTGCAGCACAACGGGCGCATCATGAAGGGGAAGCGCATGCCGGGCCACATGGGCAACACCTACCGCGTGCACAAGGGCGTGCAGATCCTGCGCATCAACACGCGCCACGACGTGCTGTGGGTGCGCGGCCGCGCCATCCCCGGCGCGACCAACTCGTGGTGCATGGTCTGGGACACGCACGTCCTGCCCAAGCGCCGGCTCAACCTGCAGACGCCGCCGCCCATGCCGACGCACTACCCCGAGGAGGACGCCCAGCCCCTGCCCGAGGAGCTCGTCCACCCCGACCTCCACGTCTGGGACGCGCCCACCATCGTCTTCCAGGTCACCGAGGACGACCTCAAGCAGAAGGTCCGCACCGGCGCCAAGACCGCCTTGAAAGCCAAGGCCGCCGCGCCCGCCGCCGCTGCTGCCAAGGCCAAGAAATGAGCAATCGCCTCTTCTCTGTCGCGTCCTTCAATCGTTGTGGCATACACGGCGTTTTGTACTGTACAATAAATAATTACAGAAAAATATTCCTGCTGACTGGAAAGCGACCGATTTGCATTTCACTAACTGCAAAACATGTAGACCACTCACTAGATATATATTCTGCAAAAATATTCACAAAATTCTGCAAAATATGTAGAATTTTTACTAGTTACTGCAGTTAGGTCAAACTTCGATTTATTTGGTGAAAATTAGCTGATAGATGAATTTGTCAATTAATTTCATCTAACCAGTGCGCAATCTTATTGTATACTTACTTCCTGCCAACCAGAAACTTATTATTTAATTTGTTTTTAATTCTAGGGAAACTCTTGCTAATCATATATAAATTATTTCTTTAGTTTTTATTATTTAGCACATAACTAGACAGCAATAATAACTTTTATTTGAACTTGCACTGCATATTTATCTGTACTAGTGTACTTACGTAAGCTAGCGGCGCGACTTTATTCTCTTTACTTAGTTTACAGATATTTTGAATAAGAACTATTTAATTTTCTTGGACAGCTGCGTAATAAACAGTCTTCATATTAAAATTTCAAGCATTGTCTGCATTCGTATTGGTTGAAGAATTTTAGTAAGTAGTTAAATTAATTTTGCTAACCGCGTAGTCAGCCACCGGAAGTTTGCCGGAAATGGCATCTGTCGCGGGTGCCCACCATCCACGGGCTGGCAGTGACTGTACAGTTTCTTGTCAGTGCATCTCGACGATTTAATTTCGTAATCTTTGATCTTGCTGTTTGCTTTAGTTTTCTGTTTTTTCGTGATTGAGCTGCATAAGATTTAATGGGAATCGTTTGTTGAGCGAATTGTGGATTAAGCAGGCAGGATGTATTCGGAAGGCGTGCTGCGCAAGTTCGGCCTGAGCGGCGGTGGACGGGCTGACGAAACAGTGGCGTTGCACTCAGCAGCTGCAGCATCAGCAGATGCGGCGCACCTGGCTCCCTCGGACATCCTGGCCCTGATGACGCCCCTGGGCAAGGTGTACCGCAGCGCCCTGAACAACAGCAACCATCTGCCGTCCAGCGAGGGCCTGCGCCTGCTGACCACCCCCGTGGGGTTCCAGTGGCCGGGGGCGTGGCAGGCGCTGGGGCGGACGCGCGAGGAGAAGTGGATGAACGCGGCCTTCGAGAGCTGCGCCTTCAAGACCTGCCTGAGCACGGTGGGGGGTAAGGGGCGCTGGTTGTTGGGGGGAGGGTGGACGGCACTGATGGTTGACTGATTGCACAGGTTTCGTCATCGGCGGGGCGCTGGGGCTCTTCGGCGCCAGCGTGGACCCCTACTACTCCATGGGCGGCCGCGTGGACCCCGCCGCGCAGACGGTGAAGATGGTCTTCCAGGAGATGGCCTCGCGCAGCTACTCCAGCGCCAAGAACTTCGCCATGGTCGGCGCGCTCTTCTCCTCCATCGAGTGCGCCATCGAGAGCGTGAGTGACTGTTAATTTTCAGCTTATTTTGCTACATTGCGCATCAGTAGTAATTGCCAGACCGAGGCGGTCGCACAGTTGACAAATAATTTTTGACGGATTGCATTTTGCAGTACCGCGGGAAATCTGACTGGCAGAATTCGGCGTATTCCGGCGGAGCCACCGGCTTCCTCATCGGTTTCCGTGGTAAGCGTTAATTCAATAATTGTAATAATTATGTGTTTTTAATGTCAGTATATTGGCAGTCGTAGTGCAGAAGGAATGACAGTCATGACGGCTGTTGAAGAGTGTTAAAAAGCGTGTTTCTGGGCGAACGTTGATGACGGTGTTGCTTGCTCTTGCAGCGGGCCTGAAGCCGGGCATCCTGGGCGGACTGGGCTTCGCGGCCTTCTCGCTGATCATCGACCACTACCTGCACCTCTGAGCTGCCCAGTCGGGACCGAGAAACGACCGTCCTGTGCTGCGGCGTCTGCTCATTGCCACTACTCTACACTGTCTTTCAACGCGGCGTTTCTTTTTATTACCGTGTTTCCTATAAACTTTGCCGTGTAGATACACTAGCGAAGTAATTCTTGTCTTGATTACGCTAGCTAGCTGCGACAGCAATTTGATCAGCATCAATAAAAACGCAGCCGGAATGTATTTCCATGGCCTTGAGCTGATCTCGCTGCGGCATTAATTATTTATTAATTAGTTCTTGGCGAACACCGTCAGCTTCGTGCTCTGCACAATCCACTCGTGGAGGCCCTGGTGCGGCCGGAACCAGCACTCGACATGGCCGGCATCGGCCAGCGTGACCGCGTGCATGGTGTACTGGTCATCGGTCAGCTGGCCGGGGCGGTTAGTCGGCTGGGTGTCGTTGGGATGGACGGCCATCACGCTGGCCTGGGGCAGGCCGGTGGCGGATATGAGGGCCCCGTACGGCGCCTCCGAGGGGCCGTAGACGACGCGTCCGTTGTGGCGCCACAGGACGTGCTGGCGCCTGTTGAGGAAAATGCCTTCCGGGAAGGGCAGCCGGATACTGCACGGCACCGTGACGGGACCGCCCTCGGTGGCGGTCACAGCGGGAGCGTCAGGCGCGGCGAAGACGTCGTCGCGGCGCGTGACCAGCGGCAGCAGCGTGTAGCGCTGCAGGACGCGGGGGCGCGGCGCGTAGGCGGGGCCGGAGGGGGCGGCGACGCAGAGGACGGCGCCGCTGGAGGCCAGGCTGACGTTGAGGACGGTGAAGAAGAGGGTGCTGCCGACGCGGGTCAAGTTGTAGCGGTGACTGCCCTCCACCGGCAGTGCTCGGCCGGCTTGGAAGACGGTGCGGTCCTGGTGCAGCCAGGACACGGCGCGTCCGTCGGGATCAGTGCCGACCGGCACTTCGCACTGGAAGGTCGCGTCCTCCCCCAGGCGCGGTCGCTGCACGGCGCTGTCCGTCACGAAGTCGCTCACAGCCAACTGCGGCAGGGTCACGCGGTCGTCCTGCCGGTTCTTCAGCCAGGCGTCGGCCAACATGTCGTTCACTACGAGTAGCACGGGATACATAACAGCAAGTTACCGCCGATACATCACTGTAGTCTGTACTCTGTACGTACAAATACTGTAATAATTTTGGTATTATTCCATTTAATTTATGTAAGATTATATATTCGGCTTAAGTAGCTAGTTACGCCGTTTGTATATTTAGCGGGTGATAAGAAAATTAATAAGACTTAGTAACAAAATAGAAACAAGGATGTGACCTTTACTAGTTTCGCGAAAGAAGTACAGTACATATAAAGTATCTGTACATGTTATGTACCAAAAGAAATTCATATTAGAAACATTTGCTCTTTGATATCCTGATCGGGAACTGTCAATTAATATAAAAAGCAAAAAGAAACAAGTAACAAAAATCAGTTTGTTATTATACAGTGACATTACTATACGATTAATTGCAGATGGCAAGTACAGTGTAGTGTCACTGTACTGTTCACGCGCTTGCATGCAACCTTCGTTTTAGATAAGAATTAGTAGACAACATACAAGTTGATACCACAAAATAATAATTTGATGATTAATGATGAGCAAGTGGAAATTACTCACGGTCAGGGCCCGTCTTGCGGGAAAGCTGCGTGATCCGTGGCGCCGGTGGCGGCGACGACGGCGGCTGCGCGAAGGGCAGGCATCCGGCCGAGAAGTGCAGGCTGTGCAGCTGCAGCATCACGGAGAAAATCCCGCACGTCCACCACCGACCGACAGCGAGCCGCAGCGGCGTCCTCCGCCGGCATCTGCACAGACTGCAGTCACTGCACGCAGGCATCGTACGCGGAGCTCGCTGGCCAGTGCTTCGATGACAGCCGACTGCAGCAGAAGAATTACGTCGGCCACTCGATCGATCGGCACTCGGCAGCGTGTCTTCCGCACTTACGCAGTTATACGCCGCGAATTACTACCGTAGCTCCTGCTGATCGCTGGTCAAATGTCCGCGTTAACAGCTGTCTGCTGACAATTATGGCGCTCATGTGCAACTGGGCGGAGCGAGATGGACACTGATGAATACAGAATATGTTATATTACATATATAACTGGTATAATTACACTATTATTGTACAGTACGTGTTAATGGAAATATTCCATATGATTTGATATATTATTGTAATATGTATGCAAACTGTACCAAAAAAGTACTGTAAAAATCTGAGTACAGTACAGTACTAGTAATTTTACCTGTAGTTGCGTTACAAATGACAGCGGCTCTAGCTGGTAAGCAACCCGCAATTAAGCGCACTGCAGGTTGTCTGGTTTAAGGGACGTGTGGCGCTAGAGGAGAGCGAACGGTTGGCAAAGCAAACACCGGCGTCTGGGAAATGGAACGCGCGAACGCAGCAACGTTCACACGGGTACAGTACTGTACAGTGTACGCAGTACCGTGCAGATACAGTACTGTACCATGTACCGGCACATTTGCCGGTCTGCAGAGTGCAGCCGCTCAGCGACGCTATGTTGACTAGTGACACTGGTAGTAATACATACTTGCGCCGCCACAACAATCCACCGCACGCACGACGTCCACCGTTACCACGGCAACAATTAATGGGCGAAAAATTAATAAGCTAAGAAAATGCAGATGGTTAAGCTGAGACGTTAGCTGGACTCCGTGAACGGTGGGGCCGGGTCGGCAGTGACCTCGTGTCCGTTGGACTTTCTGCCGGACAGACCCAGTCCCAATGGGATCGCCGGCTTCGGACGAATGACGGTACGGCGGAGTATCCGTTCAGCACGCTGTGCATAGTGCAGTTCATGTCCGAGACCGGGTGTGCATTGTGCAAGCGTATCCCGCAATTTCTCTCGTAGACTCGTACAGCCGGTAACGCTGCTAATCTCTATTTACACGCCAAGTTTGGCAATCCATCAGCCACTGTACTACGTCTGTCACAGTGACAAATTCCCTTTCCTCTCGAAATGTTGACGGTAATTAGGAAGGGGAACCGTTTATATTGACCATTTATATGGGCAGTGAACATTTAGATGTTCGGCATGCAAAATGCGTGTATGTACAGATACAGCGCAACTAGTGCGGCGTGGAACGCGTGGTAATACGAGCTATTACAGTATCATGAGCGTGGCACTGGCCACTGGCAACCCGTGACCTCTGTTGGTATGCGTTCGTCGCTCGCTGAATTTGTTGTGCACAATTTGCCAAATTCGCCAGCTCGCTGTAGGAGCTAGCCGATAGCGACCTGTTGCTGCGTGCCATGCTGTCTGCTCTTTCTCAGATTGTCGCTTTTAATCAGAAGGTAACTCCACAATGCACTGAACTGCACGCAACATGAACAACATGAAACCCATGCCTGTACGCCATCTGGTCAGCTCAGCTCGGCCGCAGAAGACAGACCAGTCCACAACGGCGGGCGACAGCAACACTTGGCGCCGGACTGAACTGCTCTGGCCGCTGACATCCGCACGCGCCGTGGTCTCACAAGAAAGGGTCCAACACAAAATCATGATATTAATTTAGCGCTACATTCCTTTACAAATGCCCTTGCTTCGCGGTGCTGTCCGGTCGCGTTTACTAGGGCGAGTTGAAGCGGTTGCGCGGCTTGGGCAGGAGGACGTACTGCGCCTTGCGGGACTTGAGGAGCGACCACTTGAACTTGTAGGCGTAGTACAAGAACGGTATCACCAGCGCGCCGTACATCACCGTCTATCACACAACAACACGATTAATTCCCTGAGCATTCCACGAAGAAAACAGGAGCGACAAATCCTCAATTTCCTATCTACCTTGATGGCCATCCGTTTGCGCGTGTCGTGCTCCGGACTGGCCGCCCACGTCAGGAAGGCCGACACGTCCTTCGCCATCTGACTCACACTCGCCGGCGTTCCTGCATCAAACACATGGCCATATTAATACATTCCATTAATCAAATTTATTACAAACTTTCTACATAAATATGTCAAATTTCAATTGTAATCAACCAATAATTCAGTTATGTACATTTTATTTTTAAATATTCTCCACAAGGCCTTCTACCCAACCAAAACAAGTTTCATCCTTAAATAACATCCGCAATATAAATTAAATACTGGTTAACCGTTAATTAAATTCATCTGAAAATGTATTTGCATCAATTCTAAACGCCAATCAAGCAGACGCTGCGATGGCGTCCCAACAGCCGCACTCACCGTCCTCGTATTCGATGGCCTCGTCGAAGAGCTGCTGCGGCATGGAGAGCGCCCCGCCCGGGAAGTAGGGGTTGTAGGCCTGGCCCTCGCCCAGATTGACGCCGGCCGGGGCCTCCGTGTAGCCGGTCAGCAGCGAGAAGATGTAGTTCTGCAAAGCACACTGTCAGACCCATCCCGTGCAACATGGTCAGGCGGATAACTGACCTCCTGGCCGTGGCGCGCCAGCGCGATGTAGCTGAGGTCCGGCGGCAGGGCGCCGTTGTTGGCGGCCCGCGCCGCCTCGTCGTTGGGGTAGGGCTTGGGGAAGTGGTCCGAGGGCTTGCCCGGCCGCATGAACATCTTGCCCTCCTCGTTCGGCCCGTCCTGCACCTGGATCTGCAGCCACACCCAAACACACATGCAATAATTCATTTTTAGTTCAATTTCAATTAAACATAAAATAGAGACTGCACGACGGAGACTGAATAATGAAATTTAACTGGAGACTGCATATTAAATTTAATTTAAAAGAAATAAAGAAGTGTCGTGGTCCCTCACCGCGGCGGCCTCCGCTTTGACCTCGTCCTCGGTGTGGGTCACGTCGATCAGGTGGCGGTAGCAGAGGAAGCGCATGCTGTGACAGGCCGCGCACACCTGCTTGTACACTTGGTAGCCGCGTCGGAGACTGCAACAAGGAACAAGCGCACCATCCTTATTACCTCATATCACATCCGCACCGGCAAAGGCCAATTAACCAACAGTTTACGACGCATGAAACAATTCACAGAATACAATAAATTTGAGAACATATAATGTACAATTCACAAAATTAACAAAAATTTACAAATAAAACTGAGCAACGCAAAACTATCAAACAGAATGCAACATTAATAAGATCCACCAATAAAACTCGTAATTTAAAATGCAATATTCACAAAATTAATGCCATTTACGAACAAAGTCGCCAAAAACTCGCAGACAAAATAATACTCGCAGTTATAAATAAAACCATGCCTGCTGGAAAGCAAAATTTATTGCGAAAAAGGAAAAACCACTGTGAAGAAAGGTGTCAGACTGCAAAATATCAAAAAAATTAGGATAAACTGATTAATGATTAATCTAACACTGAAGAAGAAGCGGAAGCGATAATCAACGATTGCTGATTTTCCAAAATCAATCAATTTTAGTACAAGTTTCCTCGTTACAATTATACTGGATGAGAAGCTTCACACTCGATTAACCCGACTTAATTCAGACACAAAAATTTTATTTCGCTATGCAAAATTGTTAAATAACTGCAAATCATTATGTACCACAAGGCATAAGTAACAAGTCAAGGAAAAAATAAAATCATTAAAATGTATTCATAAAAAATAAACGGGAAATTGGCTAATAAATCGAAGGACATTCTGAAAGCAAGGAAACTGCGCCCGCACGCAGCCTGCAGGAGCGTGGAAAAGCCACCAATATCCGGATGGCGGATAACTTACCTCTGGTGGTCGTAGGAATCGAGGGGTCCCGAGTGGGCCCAGTGGAAGTGCGGCGGGTGCAGGTCCGTGCCCGAGGCCTCCACCTCCGAGTGCTCCAGCGCGTACAGCACACACGCGCCGCCCACCGCCGCCGCGCCCACCCCGCCGATCAACTGCGCACACAAACACGCTTAGTCACCGCCTGCCTTAACAGGGAACACAGGCGCCAGACACGCGGGAGAACGCCAAGACAGCGTTCCTCCGCGCCAACGAACGCTGCGGCCTTACCAGCTGTTTGGACCGCGACAGCTGCTCCAGGTTGCGAAAGGCGAAGGTGTGGGCCTGCAAAACAATCAGGGGGTTGTCCTGAATATTTTCAAGAAACTGGGCGAGGAAAATAATCATTCCCGTGGAGCAGGAAGCAGTGCAGATGTACAGTCCTTGGCTGCCCTGTTTTCAGTTTGCAGGTGTACCTTTCTCGCCCCGGAGTAGATCTGCTGCGCATGCGACAAACGGCTCAGTACTCGCGCCATTCTTACTGCTCCCCGATCAGCCAAGGTTAATCCGCATGGAACGTGTCAGAAAGAGGGCAAAGGTGGATGGCTTTACATCTCCAAAGGGAAGAAGAAAGAGGCAAAACAGCGAAACATGTGCATCGCACTTCGCAGACGATCCCGGGCGTCGTAACGTGTTCTAGCACTCGCCCGATGCACTCACGCCTCACACTGCAGCCAGTCCGGCTCCGGACCGGTTCGTTCGCCAGCCGATTGGCCCGCCCATGCACTTATCTGCCGTAATGTGCCAGTGATGCGTCACAGCGGCTCGTGTTACAATTTGTTTACGATTCGACGCACCGGACCGTTATTAAATTGGCCAGTTAATTTTCTTGCTGCATCCTTCCGCGAATCGGACCACAGTCAGCAGCAAAAAACCAGTCAAAACATGCTTTCTGCCACTGTACAGAACTTAACGAGCGCTGTTTATCCTGCTTTTTTCCTGCACGCCAGTTCACCCTGGCAAATCGGGACCCGTGTGTTTCGTGCGTCTCGGGAATTTGGTGGCAGAAGAGGCTTTTCTGATTTGTCTGTTTGGAATTGTTACCAGACCGTGTTTGTGCGTGAAGCGTGGAGAAGAGGAGCGTCGAGTCACTCGAAAACAGTAAGCAGTATACTGTACTGTACGTGTACGATTAGAGTTTGTTGATTTGCTTTAAATTTGACGAGTAGACGATGGTAAAGTGTAATTTAATTGGACCAGCTAGGAAAATAGCCAGTAGAAGTTGATTGTGTCCGTGGAAAAGTGAAAAATGTGGAATGCGCACATCGATAAAATATTGGTGTCTGTCCGTGTCGTGTTGGTTATCAGTCGATGGCAGTGTTTATCGCCGTCCACAGTAATCGTTATCAGTTATTATCTTATCGCGACGCGCGATAAGAAAGCAGTGAAGTGCGGGGATGGCTGGTGGCGGAAGTGGGACGATCGCTGAATGACTAGAATCTATTTCAGTGTTTTGGCACAAGCTGCAGCTTGCTCGTCCCATTTCGTGATTTGTTGTCGTTTCTTAGGCCTTAAGGAAAATGGCATCGGAGCACGGCTCGCATCCGCACCCGCAGACCCACACGCACGCTCATCCGCACGAACTGCCGCGGAAGGCCTCGCTGGGAGACGGCACGGGACACGGGCAAGTGGCACAACTCTCTGTGTTGTGTTGATTGAATTTTATTGCAGTAACTGAGTAATACTGTATTATGTACTCGCTTGTTCTGATGCTTCATACTCATAGTGATGGTGTTGTCATTTTTGTCTTTTGCTGTCCACACTTGAACATATACCGTATTATTATTCCCCAGTTGATTTAACCTTGTTAGTTAAATGTAGTAATGTTAGGTAAATGTAGTTACTTGATAATTGTTCTTTTATTTTTTTATTGATTGTTTTTCTCTTTATTTCCTTGTTTGTATTTGTTGGGGAAGGAGAAATATACAGGAAATATGGAAGCAGTAAAGTAATGCGTACTCGTTTGAGCGTTAGCGGTGAGGAGATGCTTTTTTTACTAAATGCTCAGTCAGTAGTTAAGAGACCGTATTAGTGGAAATACTTGCTCGGGAAATGGTGGATTGTATTGATTGATAATCGTATGACACGTTGCAGTGGTGTTCTTTAAACGCTGCGTGCGATACAGTACAGATATCTGTCGGTCGGGTGATTAATGTTTGTGTTGATGGTTGTTGTTTGTTTGATTGTGTAGGCCGGCGTACGCGGTGGGCAAGCATAAGGTGTCGATGAAGCTCTTCGCCAAGAACCGCGAGCGGCTGTGCCAGCGACTGCTGCGGCAGCAGACGGCGGCGGCGCCCTCCTCGGGCATGGCCGACAGCCGGCTGGTGGTGCTGCTGCAGGGCGGCCCCTCCGACACGCGCTACTGCACCGACGTCGACCTGCTCTTCCGCCAGGTAGGTCACCCTAACAGACCGTTTGGCAGATCGCTTAATCCACCGCTTCCCGCTCATTCAACGGCATTCAATGCAGGAGTCCTTCTTCCACTGGGCCTTCGGCGTCCTGGAGCCCGACTGCCTCGGCGCCATCGACGTCCGCACCGGCAGCAGCACGCTCTTCGTGCCGCGCCTCCCCGACTCCTACGCCGTCTGGATGGGCAAGTACGGTCTCGCTGCTACAGATAATTATAACACTTGACAATTTATTCATCTAAATGATGGTCAAAAAATAATGCTGAGTAATTTGATTATCGAATCATTATGATGGCAATGGATGTTCAGATTCAGTGTGATGCGATTTCAAAGCGAATATGGATTAATAAATACTCGTATATACAGTGTAGTCATTTGGCATTACGTTGGTTTGGCTGACAAGTGTTGTGTTTTGTCGTGGTGGGTAGACTGTGGACGCTGGCGGACTTCAAGAGTCGCTACATGGTGGACGAGGTGCACTACACGGACGAGATGGCGGACAAGCTGCCGGCGGAGGCGCTGCTGCTGACGCTGACGGGCGTCAACTCCGACAGCGGCAAGACCACCAAGGAGGCCAGCTTCAAGGGCATCGAGCGCTTCCGCGTCGACAGCAGTCTCCTCTATCCCGAAATATGCGAATGGTCAGTCCACAGACCGGCACTTTCGTCGAAATTTCATTTAGATTCAAGTATTCTGTGCATGTTTCTCCAATTATTCTGTGCAATCTCTGATAAATTTTATTTCTCTTATTTCCCGCATTGAAGTTAGTCTTAACAGTCAGTGCTGATTTGCAGTCGGCTGTTGAAGACGGTGGACGAGCAGGAAGTGCTGCGGTACGCCAACAAGATCAGCAGCGCGGCGCACCGCGAAGTGATGCGCAAAGTGCGGCCGGGCATGAAGGAGTACCAGCTGGAAAGGTCGGTGGTGAATATCCAGTGCCGTTCGGCCATGGTTGGTTAAATACACATTAAGGCAATACGCTGTTCGTTGTCGCAGCGAATTCCTGCACGCGGCGTACGGCGGCGGCGGGTGTCGTCACGTGGCCTACACCTGCATCTGCGGCACCGGCGAGAACTCGGGCACGCTGCACTACAACGTCAACGACCGCGTCATCAACGACGGCGACATGTGGTCAGTGGATCGACATACATCTCTTCCTATTTATTTCTATTTTATTCCTATTTATTCTTATGTTATTGTGTAATTGCTAGATATATGTGGATATATGTATATATATTTCTTTATTTATTTGTTGTGTTAATTTTCTCACTTGCAGCCTGTTCGACATGGGCGCGGAGTACTACTGCTACGCGTCGGACATCACCTGCTCCTTCCCGGCCAACGGCAAGTTCAGCCCCGACCAGAAACTCGTCTACGAGGCGGTGCTGAAGGCCAACCGCGGCGTGATGGCGGCCATCAAGCCGGGCGTGTCCTGGCTGGAGATGCACCTGCTGGCCGAGCGGACGCTGCTGGAGGAGCTGAAGCGGGGCGGCCTGCTGCAGGGCGACGTGGAGCAGATGATGGAGGCGCGGCTGCCGGCCGTCTTCATGCCGCACGGACTGGGCCATTTGCTGGGCATCGACGTGCACGACGTCGGCGGCTACCCGGCCGGGACGGCGAGGATTAACAAGCCCGGCCTGCGCAGTCTGCGCACCACGCGCGTCCTGCAGCCGGGCATGGTCCTCACCGTCGAGCCGGGATGCTACTTCATCGATCCGGTCAGTCGAATTATATCTACATTATTTCAGATTTTCTTTTGAATTAATTAGACATTATTTCATTGTATTTTCGATTGTGTATTTGCATTATTTCGGATTTTATTTTTACATTATTTTGAATTAATTAGATAATATTTCAGATTATTTATGATTTTATATTTTCATTATTTTGGATTTAATCAGAGATCTTCTAGACTATTTTAGGTTTCATGTTTACATTATTTCGGATTAAATAGGTTTTATATGTACGTAATTTTGAGGTAATTGGATGTCGCTTCCGATTATTTTACATTTTAGTTAAAATTTTTTCGATTAATATGGTTGGTTGTGTGTGTAGTTGTTGGACGCGGCGCTGGCGCATCCCGAGCACGGCAAATTCCTGGTGGCGGACATGATCAAGCGCTTCCGCGGCTTCGGCGGCGTGCGCATCGAGGACGACATCATCGTGACGCAGCACGGCATGGAGCTGCTGACGGATGTGCCGCGCACCGTCGACGAGATCGAGGCCTTCATGGCCGAATCCCGCCACGCCTGATCAGAATACCATTCAAGTTTCAACAACCTCTTCACTTCTATGCCTTCCCAATGTGTTCGTTGTGATTTTTATGGTTTAATTTATTTTTGGCCATTTTTTATACTCTTGCTACTGACTGTTGATTGCGTTTTGCGCCCGTGCTAAACACCGCTGACTGAAGGAAACAAATGCGTTAAATAAATTTAGTAAATCAAAGTATTACGAATCACCCGTTAAACACTGCTGACTTTCATTGCTCGTGAAAAGAAGAGAAGAAACTAATAAAGCCGCACACAGTGCAGTAACAGTGTCGCATATCCATCGAGGGAATTTGAAGAAAATTACGAAAAGAAAGAGAGAAAAAAGTCGACAAGCAAGAGAAAAGTCGGTTTTTTTGGATTAAATAATCGTAGACAGTGTCAGTAAACTGTAGACCGGCCCGCAAGAAAAGCCGGCGACCAGCAACGCAAAAAACACAAGCACATCACCATGGCGACGTCCCTGTCCGCTGCCGGCGTTCCTCGACGGCGAGCCAGCCAGTGCGGCTGGTGCGCGTCTCCGTCCGGGGGACGAGGGAGCGCAAATAGTCCGCGGCGGGCGGAGTCCGGCTACTGCGTGGCGCAGCGCACGCCCCCGGGGGCGCCGTGGGCCCCCTCCTCGTCCTCGTCGTCGTGGTAGGCCTCCGAGCGCTGGCCGGAATGGTTGGCGTGGCCGTGCGCGGCCGGGTCCAACTCGTGCAGGGCCGCTTCCTCCGCGTCGGCCAGACTGACGCCGGCCGGCAGCGACAACGCCGGCTTCGGTCCCAGCAGATCCTCCAGCTTCTACACACACCAATCAAACACTCACGTATTTTTTCTATTTTTTTCCCAATTTTTTTCCATAATTTTTTTGGCTTCCAAACGACGTAAGTACAATTTAGAAAGGCTTCCTACAATTTATTCCGCATTTTTATTTTTAAAGAAATTATTCCTTATTTTTTATTTATTTTTTTGTATGAAGTGAAGAGTTGGTCGGTTTTTGTGAAGAGAAATCGAAAAGGAAAATGACCGGGAATTTTACAAAACTGCCAAGATAAAATGGGTATTACACTGCCGCAGCGGGCGGTGGCAACTGCGTCACGCACCGGAAGTCGCTGAATTTCTTCTGTTTTTAATATCCAGCTGGGAGATTTTCGTGGAAAATGAACTGCGTTAGAGAGAAAAGTGACTGGGCAAGATACCTTAATATTCTCGGCACTCGTCCAGTTGGTCGGGGGGAAGTTGATGGTGAACTTGACGATGAGGTTGCCGTGCTCGGTGGGGTTGCGGTAGATGGGCATGCCCTCGCCCACCACCGTGTAAATGTCCGCTACAACACACACACACATCATCCATCATCAGAAAAAAACAGAAATGCAAATCAAGAATATACAGGTTAGGGATTACCGTACAGGCATTAGGCATACACAAATAAAAATATAAAAATGCAACGCGAAACAGCAATACACGTAGGTAAGATATATAATAAAATGGAGATATAACGGTTACGAAGAAAAGGAGCATGTAATTTGATGTAAAGGCATAGAAAAATGAACGAGAACAAAAACAGATCTATCTCGTAAGAAAAACCGCAGGATAATTATAGCTCGAGTATAATTATCCGAAAGTATAAAGGAACGGGTATAATTATCCGAAAGGTAACCCTGATTAAAACCGGCGGGTGCACTCACTGGGCGTGATGAGTTGGCCGGGTTTGCGCGTGACCATGAGCGTGCGGCCGTCGAGGTGCGTCAAGGGGCGGTGCATGCCGCAGAGGGCCTCGACGAGGTCCACGTCCATCTTGACGAGGAGGTGCGGGCCCTCGCGGTCGAAGGTGTCGTGCTTGGCCATCTGCAGCACCACGATCACGTCGCCGGCCTCCACGTTGGGCTAGACACGGCCAGACAAGACACGTTTACAGGGTCATCCTGGCAAGCACGACTATCCTTATCTACACACCTTCTGGTCGCCGGCGCCGCGCAGCAGGATCTTGTCGCCGTGCTTGCGGCCCTTGTCCACCTCGATCTCCTGCAGCTTCTTCTCGCGCACCGTCTGCTTCCCGTCGCACTTCTTGCAGCGGTCCGCGTCCGCAAAGTCGTTGCCTGCACATGCATAACACAGCCAATTAATTACTAACAACATCACCAATTATTCTTGAACAACTGCCTGACCAACGATAAATCAAAGAATTGCCGAATGAAATTGCAATTAATTAGCTAGTGCACAGTACTGTACCTGTTCCGCGGCACTTGCCGCACTCCTCCTGCACCTGCTGCATCATGCCCGGCCCGATGGGGCGCAGCGTCACGCGCACCCCCGACCCGCGGCACTGTCCGCAGCGCCCCCCGGCGCCGCTCTTCCCGCCGTACCTACATCAGCATAAAATGAGCGTAAATCACGCATAACCGTTGTAGTCGGGAAGTCTGCTTACCCGTTGCACTGGGAACAGAGCACGGTCTTGTCAATGGAAATCTTGACCGTCTTGCCCTTGTAGAGATCTTCCAGCGTCACACTGCCAGAAAGGAAGGAGAAACAGCCGAAACGTTAGGCCGTCGAACTGCACGCATGTTAAGAATTAAATACAGGACAGGACAGGCCATGCATACTTGAGGGGGAACACGGTGTCCTCGCCGTGCATCCGTCCACCGCGGCCCATACCTCCGCGCATCCCGCCGCCGCCGAACATGTTGCCGAAGAAGCCCCCGCCCATGCCCATGCCTCCGCCGAACAGGTGCTCGAACACGTCCTCGAAGCCCTCTGCAACATCACCAGCAACTTATAGCCACACACCCATACAAACGCCAAGACGCTAACAGCTGCGGACAAGAACAGTTACTCCAGGAGAAATCATCAACTACGTCAACAGAAGAATGAAAGATCAGCTAACGGCGGCTACTACCAGTACCGACCAAGGCATTACAGTGAATTACACTGAATTTGACTGGATAAAGTGAATAATTCAACTGGAGCACTTACGCGCGCCGCCGCCCTCCTTGAGGGCCTGCATGCCGCCGCGGTCGTAGGTCTGGCGCTTCTGCGGGTCCGTCAGCACCTCGTAGGCGAAGCTCATCTCCTTGAACTGCACAACAACACGCAACGCAATACAACATGAACCAGTACAATTAATCAGCCGTCAGAATAAGCCAGCGTCAATGTTAGTGATCCTCAACTGCAACTGCACAGTGGCAGTGGCACACAGCCATCTGCAGAGTAATACTACATCTAACCGGATACGCACCTTCTCGTTCTGCGCCTCGTCCGTGTTCTTGTCGGGATGGTACTGCTTGGCCATCTTCCGGTACGCCTACAGATACACTACAGCTGTACATGTCATTGCAGTACAGAATTGACTGCATCACACTGATCACGACCGGGGTCCGGGACGGGACCAGCTGCCTTGAGTGCCTTCCCTCCATCCGCACCAGTTGCACACTGCGCTGTCTGTGTCGGTGCCAGCCTGAGCCTGCCAGGCAATGATTAATCACTCACTTAGGCTACTCGATTACCTTCTTGATGTCCGCGTCGCTGGCGTTGGGCCGGACGCCCAGCAGATCGTACAGCGTCGTGTCGGGCATTTTATTTATCCTGCTCCTATGAGTCCTATCTGAGTTATCTCACTGGTCTGTCAAGACTCAAGAGGAATACCACGCCAATCACTCTATCACGCGGCTCTATATCCCGATCAATCTAATTACTAATTAGATGGATCAGACGCAGCTACTCTCTATCCGATCTCCTCCAGTTCCTTTCGCGGCTTCGCCAGATAGTAATATTCCTCTCACTCCTCAGCTTCAGTTGATTCACTAACGGGATAGATATTCAACTACTTCAATCGCGGATACGAATGTCGGACTCGGACGGGAACCGCTCACACCGCGCCAGAATAAATGATACGAGTAGATGGCAAGAAACCACAGACTGAGATCCACGGACGGACTGACACCAGGCTGACAAAATCTATCTGTATTTTCCAGCCAAACTGCCGAGGATTTTAATCCACACTGCGACAATCACAGATCAACAGCCAACTTATATCACAACCACACCCCAAAAGAGGATCCCTCGCGCTAAACACCACAATGTCAGTATTCAAATGAGAAATCTGAAATCTGCCTGATTCTTCGCTTCGCAGATCGGAATCAGCAGAATTTCAGCTCAGGTTCCTTCCACCAGGATTAAAAATCGAGAACGGATAACCGAATGCGCAATGCGGATTTAGGATTTCGCAGCAACTGGAAATTCAGATTACAGACTGCTTGAGCCACAGAGTCCGAAGCGTAAAGCCGTGCGCCATGGCGCAGCTGCTCCACCGCGGACGGCACACACTGCACTCGCGATACAGTACTGTGCATAGTGCGCACTGCGTACTGCATAGTGCATACAGCATCGATGCACTTCCGGCCATAATTATAATTAAGTATTGTATTAATTTTATGTGCACTGTGAAGGTGTGAAGTACTTACATGTACTTGTACTGCAGTACTTGTACTACAAAGACTGCTGACTTACAGAATTTACAATAATAATTTTTAATTTAATAATAAGTCGTGATTTGCTTGATTTGATTAATTGGAATGTTATTACAAGTGGACACGTGGAAATTCGGCGCGGAAACGCGGCATCCCTCCTGAGGACGGCACCAGCCTCGCCTAATTTTGATTAAAATAATGTCTTCTGTGATTCAGCGCCTGTTTCCTCTGTCTGTTGATGCTGTAGTAAAGAAGAAAATCTCGATCTACTACTAAAGATCGAAAAAACAGAAATTTGTACGATAATGATATAATGGGGGGATAAGCAGAAAAGTGCCGGTGTCCTTTCCGGCGCTGCGCAGTGCGCATTATCAAAAGTATTTTAATCTCAATTCCGCTTGCGAACATTAGCGAGTATCGTATCGTATACTTCGTATAGATATCTATACGTAGGTGGTTGTGTACTTATGATTAAAATTTCAAGACTACAATATCGCAATTTGCGTACAATAACTACAATTCCTCCATGATTTCGTGGAGGAATTATGGAAACGCGTGCAATTATCATTGCAATTCATTGTCAGCTGAGAAAAGTTGTTATTAGCGGACTTGTGATTAATTATATAAACAGCACCCGTATGTGTTGCACAGTCTGAACTCTGAAAACTTTGTTTACTTACGAACAAGTTGAACGCAGCGTACAAGTACAAGCACGCCACGTACGTATAAATTTATAATTAACGATAAAATTTAGTTATTAGATGAGATGTACTATAAATATATAATATGTAACTGTGTATACGTATAGAATAATTATAAATATTACAAAATAATTATAAACCGCTAGTAATAACTAATAACTAGCGAGGTGGGACCCTGAGCATATATCTTATACAGGTACAACGCATGTACAGCTGAATTGTATTGTACAATAAAACGTTGACGCGGGCTATAGCTGGATCAGGTGTTTTCCTCCAAATTTAAACACAGAGTATATCTATATATATAGATATAGCGTTTCGCGTTGTCAGGAGTTTGTCGTGCACCTGTCCGCTGCACAATCGCAAGAGGCCTGCTGATATTCCTGTCACAACAACATTCAACAACTCCTGTTGATTGCGACAGAGTAAACAAATTTCTGCTGATTGACTAGTTATAACGCGCGGCATGTACCCATCTCACGATCAGATATCTGTAACGCTGCGCTTCTCTTTATAATCGACATGCACCAAACTTCCGGTCGCCATTCAATTCCCACCCGTACACATTAAGTAGTAAGTACTGTGGAGCTACAGAATATACTGCAGAATTTTATATGCGGATAGAATGTAATATTTTGCGGCGCCATTTTTCCGGAAATAAACCTGTGTTTGTGCACGTACTGATGTACTGTATAATACTGTATACGTGCATATCCAACGAGATAAACTGGATGACATTGCATCGTTTTGACGTCAGTTTTCTTGCACTGATCTTATTTTGCAGTTATTATACGGGTATACAAGTTAGTAGTGAAGTTACTTAATATTCTGCTGAAAGGCAAAAATAATAGAATATATTTTTGCCATTATAAAAGAAAATAATAGAATATATTTTTGCCATTCTTCCCCAGTTCTTCTATATTGCCATTATAAAAGAACTTGGGAAGAGATTACGTTCTCATTCAGGAGAAGCCCGCTCGCACGAATTTCTTCGACAACGTCTGTCTATAGAGATACAGCGTGGTAACGCGGTTTCTGTTTTGGGCACGGTGGAGAAAGCGGAAATGTTTAACGAGTTGTTGTTTTTGTAACTGCTTCTTTAACACGTGTTTAAGTGATGGTTTGTAATAAAGAAGGAGTGAGATAGAATATTGTCAGATACAAATACTAAGCAGTTAATAATGGTTCCATTCTGAGATACTACGATAGTACGATCACCATCCTATGATTATAACAATTCTGGATGCGTATTGATGACTACGGATAACGTCCTTATTTAGGCGGTTGTGACCGGAAGTGAGAATTCCTTAATAATTCCAGTTTCCATGCGTCGTGAGGATTGAGATTGATGCCATTTGTCTGTCCGTGGAGATGCCGGTAATACTTCCGTATAATATGTACAATACTTGGATAGTACACAATTAACATTAAATTTATTATTTTGAGTACGGCTAGAAAGTGTCGTACCCTCGTACCATACGGCGGCGTACGCCATCAAAGATTATTAATTTGTATGAAAATGTAATCATATTTAACAGTAATTTATGGAATGATACAGCGCCGCTTTATTGTTCTTACAACTTGCAAGTGCTGTACTGCAGCCCAATACCTGTACCTCGTATCTACTTATAGTGGATTTCGGTATACGGAATTCTAAGTTGCTTTATTAAATAAACTTTATAAAGTATCGGTTTTAGTGGCGATATACTTACTTGTTTTACTTCCAAATAAACTAATTTTGATATTATTATTTCACTAACAATAAGTAATATTAAACAAAATTAACGTACAGAACTGAGCACTTGTACCGTTGTACGCACGCCGTCGCACGGTCAAATTCATACGCTACGATATGGCAGCCAATGGCCGGGCAGTAAACAGCTGTTTGCTGTGGAGTGGGCGGCGACTGCAGTGTAACAAAAAATACAGTTAATTTCTGTAAAATCCGAAATGCGGCGGCAGTGCGTGCCGTCTGTATGGCAGATTCCAGTTTGGAACTGCATTGCTGTAATAGTCAACTGTTGATTGTTTTCCTGACACGGGAAGGCGCAGCATCGACGCAGCGGACTGTAACCAGCATTCTGCGTGGGAAGCGTGTCCCTGTCCGTATCCGTATCGCTCCCAGTACCGGCACAACGGCGATCGATACGCGTCTGTCTATTCCTGTTCCTGCTCTTCTGTCATGACGTACCAGCCCGACTCGGTCAACTCCTCCAACGCCAAACCCACCTACTACAGCGAGCGCACCGAGGTCCGCGAGTCCACCGAACTGCCGCGCGTGCACGCCTACAAGGCCAACTTCCCCTTCGACGCCATGGGGGCGACGCGCGTCAGCACGGCCGAGGATCCCGATCAGTCGGAGAAGACGCGCATCCACAGCCTGTACAGCGGGCCCCTGCTGGACGTGCCGCCGCCCCTGGGCGTGTACCTGCGCGGGCTGGGCGTGCTGTGGCACGCGCTGAACGCCTACAAGGACCTGCTGCTGGACGTGGCGCAGTCGCTGTTCCTGCTCTTCCTGCAGCACCCCGCCCTCGGCGTCTTCTGCACCGTGCTCGGAGTGTTCGTTCTCACGCCGTTGGGGGTCTTTCTCGGGTTCAGCCTCGTCAGCGCCGTCAGTGTGGCCGTCACGGCCTTGATTGTCGAAGGTGAGCAAAGCACTGTTGTAAATTATTACGGGAATTTCCCTTCTTCCTGCCACTTGCATTTCATTGTCGATTTTTTTCTACTATTATTTTCCTGCAGTTTTTTTCTGCATTTTTCTTATATTTCTGCCATTTGTTTCTTTATTTTTGGAAATTATTTTATGGGAATTTATGCAGTGAATTTTCCCTTTTTTAAAGTATTTAATATTATCTTAGTTTTGGTCTTGTGGAATTAGGAATGTATTTTTTAATTTTAATTTGGCAATTTGTTTTGGATAATGCGGCTGTTTTGACTTTCTTTCCCCGTCATTCTTCCCCGGAATCCCCACCATTTGCGAATCGTTGTGAGTGTATGGGATTTTCCCTTTCATTTTAAAATTTTTTTATTCAGTTTATTTAGTTTATATTTATGAATTTCTCTGACGTAGTTGTCCACTTTTTCCTGTAATAATAATTTTCCACATTTTGTGAATCGTTTTGGCTCTGAAGGATTTTCCGTACACTTTGTAGAAATTATTTGTGGTTTGTAGAAATTGGTCTGCGTATTTGTAGAGCGGATGATCAATTTTTTACGTGTAATTATTTTGGGAATTTTTGGTTGAATTGTTGAATGTTTTTTCATTAGAAATGAATGTGTTTTTTTATGGCGTTGAATGTGTCCTCGTAGGCCTGTTGGTGGCGGGCGGCGTGTTGGCCCTGTTCTTCGCGGTGCCGACGGGCTTCGTGGTGGGCCTGGGCGCCGCCTCGGCCGCCGCCGCCGCCTGGATGGCCCTCAACTGGCTGGTGAAGATGCTGCGCGGCCGCGAGATCCTCGAGGAAGTGCTGCCGGCACGCTACCGCGCCGGCCCGCCCTCCCAGACGAGCCCCTCCACCACGACGACGCAGGTGCAGTAGCCGAGCAGAGAATTATTCTTTAATCGCCCCGGGCACATCCAGTCTTCGCTGCGCAGTGCATTAACAAGTCGGTATACACGACGACCGCTCATCTGTTCGTGCTAATCTCTCTTTATTAATCAAGCAGCTGCGGGCGCTGTTCTGTGCTATAATGCTGGCTGCCTGCCAGAAGGAATCTCTAATTAACCAGCCAATTTCGACCCGGCTTGTGTTGTTCATTTTTAACTTATTCCGCTTTGCCACTGCGATTTTATTTTACGCGTTCCATGACTGGCTGTGTTGTGTTTGTATTGGTTAATACGTTTTTAGCAGACTGTTTGTCAACTTCTCATACACACCCATTCACGATTAATATGGATTTTACTTGATGCTAGAACGTGGTTGTTGTTGATTAAAATAAATTGTACCGGTGATGGATTCGATTATTCGACAATATTAAAAAGACAGGATAACGTAATCAATCTTTTGGCACTGGCAGATTAATCGTGGTATTAGCTCAGTCATGTTTACTGATTTGTATTCTGTGATCGCTTATTGATAAAGATACGAAAATTAATAATTATGATCATGCTATAATTCATTGATACTCGTATTTATACGATAAACTTGTATTCCATTCACTAAAGTTCTAAACTTTTCGCTTTCTGGAACTACAGATACGCGTACAGAGATGCTATTTCCACCGTTTTATTTTCGTTCTGTACGAAATGTGCAAATAAGAAAAGAATTCAGAAGATTATATTGTCGACGGAGATTTGCAGGAAACGGCAGTAAGTGCTTATTGCTGCAATCTGATCCGCATTACTGTTAACGATAAATTTTAACCGGCATTATTATTTTGTCCGTACTGTATGCTACGAATATGTACAGATAGTCCAGTTTTTCTTAGTTTTAGCACTGACTTTAAATAAACACATCAGTTATCTATCTATCGGACGAATAAAAGACAAAAAAACATGTTCACTACAGAGGCGTCGATAAAGCATAGAAACAGCGGGTGAAAACCGAAAGAACACCAATGACTGCCGAAAACATCCAAAGTAAGAAACAGGTGTCAAGGAAACGAGTAGAAAGAGGTGAAGCGGCGATACTGTGTCGCCGTCGCAGTACTGTCAGCTGTACGATGCGGAGATGTGGAGAATCACAAGAGGAGCGTGTGCGCAGAAGCAGGCGCCGTCCTTTTAATTTGCTCACAGTGCCTCTTTCACGGCGATCGGCGGCCGGAGCGCGTGGAGGGCGGCGAGGGGAAGCCGTAGCCGTTGCCCGAGGAGGCGTAGGGGCCCAGGCCCATGCCATAGGATCCCATGCCCATCGGGCCCATCCCCATGCCCAGGGAGCCCATGCCCATGCCCATCTCCATCCCGAACATGCTGCCCCACTCGTCGCGCATCCCCGGCTCACCCTGCACCATCTGCCACACGCAACACAATCAATATTATTCCCAAAAGACTGCCAATCATCTACAATCACTGTATTACTGCCTATAATTAATGAGTATTATTATTACGCGTATTATTAATTACCCACAGAAGAAGATAGTACTGTACCTTGCGCAGGTAGTCGGTGTTGAGGATAATGTCCTTCTCCACGCTGGACGCGGCGTCCATCACGCTCTGCACATGCGACAACTGCGCCGACACAACAACAACACACTGTCACGCTTGTATCAGTTGATTGACTTATCCTTATGAACATGCTGCAATACTGTTAATTTTGTTCCGTCTCAAATGACCGATTTCTTACCGAAGTCTGCAGCGACTCAAAGGCCTGTTCCGGCAGCATGACCAGGGCCTTCTTGCGGAACACCACGATCTTCCGGCCCATGTCGATGCGGCCCAGGAAATCGCTGTAGGTATACTGCCGGAAAAAACAATAATACCAAAAATATTGATAAATAAGCTACTCAAACGACACAACGGTTTGTTTATCAAGCATTTTGTCAGTTAATTGGCGACACTGACCATGTCCAGGAGGAAGGATTCCAGCAGCTCCGGCTGCGTGATCTGCAGTTTGTGCATCAGCACCTGCAGCTCCATGTTCTCGAACACCTGTTCAACGTCCAGGAAATAATCTCCGAATCCCGCAATTAAATTAAGCCGAAACATCAGTCAATCACTCACCCCGGCATGCTTGATCAACTCCTTGACGCGGTAGCGCTTCAAGCACTGCTGCACCAAACCCATGTTCCCGTCCTGCAACACAACAGACAAATTTATTTTGAATTTCAACAGCTTGACGCTCACTTTTTTCCAGCGCAAAAAAAAATCCCCAGCATCACGACTACAAAGTCCAGTTAACAGACAGCAACCGTTGATGCTTGGATGCTGTTTTCTTCGATTACAGCAAGATCAAACGAGTATAATTCCGAAAAAAGGCTGCAAGTTATTGCTTACACTAAAGCGATTAACTCACACCACTGACGTACCTGGTTGAAAACCGCCGCATGTTGGTGGGCGATATTCTGCAGCGCGACGGGATCGAAGGTGTCGGCCAGGAAGGCGTCGTGCAGCGCCTGATACGCAGCCACCGCTTTCTGCAAAAGAATGAAAATCAGAAAATGGACACAAATACCAACTTTGTTAGATTGGATTCGATTGTCGACATACCTTGGTATGGTTCTCCATGTAGTTAGCCACCGTCTTGGGCAGACCCGTCCCCTGCAAAACAACCTAGTCAGACACAGGCACAGAGAAGGACCAAAGATCACCTCCGTTCTCAGGAACAGCGCAAAATGAACAAGGTGCAACTGACCCGGTACTTGGCGAGGAGGACGAGCAGCAGGTACTTCTTGTAGGCCTCGGTGACGGTGGCGTGCATGGCCGTCGCGGCGCCCGGCATGTAGAAGATCTGCCCCCCAGAAAACACAGCTCTTCCTACATCAAGAACGAGACAAGTAAGAGTGTAAGACATACTGCCCTACCGTCTGGATGTTGCGCAGGGCGGAGATGAAGAAGTTGTTGGCCGACAGGATCTGCGCGGCGCTGTAGAAGTACGCCACGCACGACTGCACGTCAGACATTTTCTAAACAAACACACAATCATTCAGTTAACATTAACAGGCTGGAAAATCGACATTACCAACGTCTCACATTTGGCTAAACATTTTTCTCGAAACCAAAACAGACTTAAAGAATTTGAAATGATTTAACATCAACTGTTTCAATTTCTACTGATGTAATTTCAGAATTGAGGTTGCCAATGATCCAAATCAAAGCCAACTGAATGAAATACAATGTAAAAAACTGTTGAAAATCACAGTGCATCAGCAAATACAGTATTAAGTGATTTCAATAAAGTTTCTTGATTTATAACAGAAAAAAACTCGGGAAAATTTGTAGTGTATGCCATAGCATTAAAGATTCATTTGGTTGTATTTCACTTGAAATTAACATGAAAAACGGCTTAAAACTTGAACTGTTTACTGTTTACAAAATGCGACTAGACTGACCTGCGAGGAAATATCGTTGATCTCCGTTTCCAGCAGCTCCAGGGCGCTCTTCACACTGTTACTGGCCAGGGACAACTGCACACACAAACACCACTGTTAAACCAACAAATGTACGACGCATCCAATAACAACAATCGGGATTTTTCTGATGGTGTCAGGTCCATCAAGAGTTCAAGACGAAGTAAAAACACGAGAAAATCCCAAGAAGCCAGAGCCAATGTGCAGCAAACGCTGCACTACCATAGATATCAAATTGCTCATAATTGAGTCCTAATTTACCTGGAGAAAGAGCGGATGGATTTCGGTGAGTTGGTGGGGATTGTCCTGGATGAGCTTGATGACCGCCAGGAAGAGATCGAGACCCGCGTAGGCGGCGTTGTCGCGCAGCAGACGCTCGGCCAGCTGCTTCATCAGCAGACAGACGACGTGGCTGTCCAGGGCAGGCGCCAGCTTCCCCTGGGCCGTCAGGTGCTGCTCGAGGAGGTGGCGGATCTGCAGCAGGAGACTGTCGACGCTGGCCTGCCCCAGCCCCGTTTTGGCCGCCCTACAACACACGCAGATTATGCATGATGGAGCTGTTTCGATAACTGACAGTCTGACACTGAGCCATCGTACAGGACAACGGCCACGGGCGACGGGTGGTGGCGCGCATCCACGCGCTGCATGGCGTTGTTCAGCTCGTTGACGGGGAACTTGCGCAGCTGCTGGACAAACTCCGCGAAATGCCCGCGCAGCTCCTCGTGGGGCTTGGCGCCCTGCTCGGCCTTCAGCAGCAGGCTCACCACGTCCTCCGCGCTCTGCATCCTCACGATCTAATTACTAACGGCGATACAAGTTCAACTTAATGATTACAGTATTTTTTTAGTTGGTCAAAACATCGACTATTCCCTGTGGAAAAGAGAAAACACACACGGAAAGAGTACAAATCGATCTAAACGATGAGATACGCAGTGTGCCATTTTGTTTGGTTTGAAATGTGAATAAGAACGAAGATTCACGTTTAAACTTGCAGCAGTGGCGTAACCACCTGAGGCGTTCTTTCAAGCCTGCAGATGTGTTGTGGTGAGCGGGGGGAATGTGTACAAACAGCGGTTCGGCTCGGCAGTCGCTAATTAGCTGTTGCCTTTTCGGTCGATGGCCTGAAAGTTTGCAGACAGACTTGTTCACTTCGAGCAAAGTTCGAACGGTCGCAGGTTTGAACAGTTCCAAGTGGATACAAATGATCGAATCCGCATGGTTTGCTGTTTCACGGTGATTTTTCTCTAATTTTATCATTGTAATCTTATTCCGTAGCCGTTGGCCGGTCAGTCCACGTGACAAGTGTCATCGGCGCAGTGACGCCTGGTCAGAATGGAGGAGAATGAGCTGCACGAGAACGACGAGTTGGCTTTACCCGAAGACGAAGAAATGGCCACGTCGGGTTCCGACTCCGCATCCAGCTCGGACGCGTCTTCCAGCCAGTCTGCCGTCGAAAGCAGTTCCAGCATAGACCAAGAGCAACTGGAAGCCGAGACAAATAACCACGTCGACGCTGTCCAGCCCGAGAAACCCGCGTCCCCCGCGACAGCGACCCCCGAGTCCGCCGTGGTCGTCAGCAACGGCCCGTCGACGCTCGACGGGGATGCCGGGCCCGAGGACGACGAGGATGACGACGTGCAGATCCTGGATGATGTGTCTGTCGGCGCGACCACCGGGGCCAGCAGCGCCAGCGCCCCGCCGCGTCGCTCGCGCCGCAAGAACTTCGGCAATCGCTACGAGGAGGCCATTCTCAAGGAGAAGGAGGACGGCACGCAGGCCCCCACGCGCACCCGCGCCGAAGTTCTTGGGTAAGCCATTTTTCCCGTTATGAACTTATGTGCAATTGAAAGACAGTGATTCAGATTTTTCAAAATGAAACAAACCAAAGAAATGAAATAATTAACTCTGCCGTTGATCGATCGAACACGAAATTAAGATATTGTTATTGTCATTCATCATTATTGTGTGAGAAATCTCTAGTTGTATCGTTTATCTATTTATTTTGGAAAAATAATTAATATAATTATCTACATACTCGTAGTTTGTCTTTTTTGCGATAAAACAGCTGGAATAGAGGAGAATATTTGTCAAGTGAGGAAAACATTTTTGAAAATTGAATACTGAATAATAATAAGCCCAATATTCCAGAAAATATAATGAATGTTAGAAACTAAACCAGTAAATAATTTTGTAATTAATCAGTCAAATCACCCGGAATAATCTGTAGTGTGTGAAAAGTGGTTAAAATAGATGGAAATATTTTTAAAAACAGTAAAACGATTCATAATAACTGGAATATTACGATGGCTTTTTAATACTGTGTGACATCTGATAGAAGGGAAATCGGAGGACTGGGAGCCGGACGCGGACACGGACGAGGACGACGCGGACTTCCGGCCGGACGCGGCGCGGCTGAATGGCTTGACCAGCCAGTCGGAGCACGGCAGCGCCTCCTCCAGCTCCGAGGGCGACTCCTCCTCGGCCTCGGGCTCCGACGCCGAGGACGAGACGGTGTCGGCGCCCCGCGACCACCACCATCACCACCACAAGAGCAAGGACCCCCTGAACGCGCTGGCGGAGCAGAAGCAGTCGCTGGACGCGCTGCTGGACGAGATCGCGCGCAGCGGCAAGCTGGAGGACGTGAAGATCTGCTCCATCTGTCTGTGGGACGAGACGGACACGGAGAAGGACGCCGTGGTGCAGTGCGACGCCTGCGGGGTGCCGGTGCACGAGGCCTGCTACGGGGTGTTGGGCCAGGAGCTGGAGGAGGCGCACGCGGGCGAGGGCGACGGGCAGAGCAGCACCGAGACCATGCCCTGGTTCTGCGATCCCTGCCGCTACGGCGAGCGCCTGCCGCGCTGCATCGCCTGTCCTAACCTCTACGGCGCCTTCAAACAGACTATCAAGGTGACAGTGATTTATTCTGATATTACTTTTGCGGTTTCTGCGCAGATTTCTTTGCAGCTGTGAAACTGCAGTCATTGATGCTAAAATGTCGTTTCGTTTTGTTGGCAACTTACACACAAATTTTCTTTTTCTTCAAGGCTCGACTGATCGATTTATTTGCTTTCTTTGGAATTTCAAGTAGCATTTAACTTACGAGAATGACTCTCTTTTTACTAAAATAATTTTCTTCGAGTTATTTGTGTATTTTATCTATATTTTATTTTATGATTGGTTTCTTAATTATTGATTTTTTCGTTTCTTGACCGCTGCTATTCGTTTTTAATGTTTGGATTAATCGTTTGTTTAATTATAGTATTTCTTATTTGTGTTTTATTTATTTTCTTGTGTATCCGAATTTACATAATTTTATTCTTTCGTTATTTTGTCGGGTATATATTTAAAAAATTAATTTTTAGAAATATGTATCGGGTTATTTAGCTCTTGATTTTCATCATTTTAAAAGATATTCTGCTGTATGAGGAAAATTTTCAAAAATTACTCCTTACTAGGGAAGTTGACTTAATAACACACGCATTTATTTGGTTGTTTGATTTAGGTTAACAATTGGCTTATTACGAGTTGTAGTAAAATGATTGATTATTTTGAAATAACAATTGAAAATGACTGAATGGTGTTGATTAGGGTGACTGGATCCACAGTGCCTGCGCGCGCTACATCCGCGAGATCTACTTTGACGACGAGGAGCGGTTCTGCGACGCGGTGCTGACGGAGCTGCCGTACGTGCGGTGGGGCGACCGGCCGTGCATCATCTGCGACGACGTGTACGCCAAGAACGCCGGCGTGACGATCAACTGCGAGACGGGCATGTGCCGCAAGTACCTGCACGCCACCTGCGCCATGATGGTGGGCACGGCGGCCGAGCTGGAGCCGGAGATGGGCTACCCGCTGGCCGTCTACTGTCCCGACCACTGCCCCAAGGAGGACCGCTCCAGCAACCGCCGCTGCTTCCTGGCCTCGCTGGGCCTGCAGCGCAAGCACGAGATGAGTCTGCAGGCCCTCACCGAGGAGGAGCGCGCGCGGCTGGACGCCGCCGAGCGCAAGCAGCGCGACAGCTACATCCTGCGGCGCCGCGCCCGCCGCCCCGAGTCCGGCACCGAGTCCAGCGCGCGGCCGCTGCACTCCGCCTTCTGGCTCCTCATGAAGGGACACGAGCGCGCCGACGCCCTAGGGTCAGTGGATAAGCAACAGGTTTCTCTAGAAATTAATACACAGGCGAAGTTTCCTATAATATTCAAGTTTTTAAATTAGTGGACCAGTTTGTTTGTTTTAAAATGATCGCTAGGCTAATTTTCTATAAATACAGTAGTCTACTGGATTAATTTTTCTGCAATAATGATCCTAGTAGTTTGTATTTTTTGAAATTAATTAGCTTAATAACGCTTGTTTACTCCCTTCTCCGCCTAGCAGGAGATACCATCTTGTGAGCGATTTAATTGTGATTTTGTGAATGGAATACGTTAACAGTGATGAACGGTGTTATGAACGAAAATTTCGTGCATTTCCGTTGGATTCTATCTGACAAATATTATTACTCAAGTTTTTAGACAAGTTTTTTCGTCGTACAGTTTGCTATTTAAGAAATTATAAAATACGTGTTATGCTTATTCTGTAAAGCTAGATAAAGAATGCGAACCAGTACTTTATTGTAGGTACATTATGCGCTGTGCACTTCCCGTTGATTAGGGAATAATTAAATTTTCCTATTACAGTACCAGCATATAGAAAAATAATCCTTGACATAGTCGCCTTTTTTCTTAACGTATTAAATGCAACATTATGAATATAATTATCACTTTTCTCTTCCGCTTATATACCGTAGCAGTTTCCCTCTGCAGCCATGTCACGCGGACAATTTTTCTTCACCGCGGGCAATGTAACTGCTTTTTTTTCACGGATGGACTGTCTCTCTAAAATTTCATTTTACCAGTCTGCCAAGGCCTTGCCTGTTTCATGAATCATACCTTTGTTTTTTTTTAATTTGCTTCGGGGTTTGGAAAGCGTAACGGTTTAAATGTTTTTTCGAATATCCTTTATTTTCATTGCAGAATGACCCGGCTTTAGAGGACAAAAAAGTATCTTATACGCTAAAATTATGGCAATTTCTGGCAGTTAACTTGGCTTTCATAGGAATGATGAATTACGTTATTCCATTGTGGCCAAGACAGACCAACAGCACAACCTAAAAGAAATATGATTATTGTATAATTCCCTGAAATTGTTCTAATTATCCGATTTTGGCTAGACTTTGCAGGAGAGACGAGTTTAGATTTGCTCTTCGTTTCCGCTACAGTATGGAAAATATCAGTACGAATTCGATGCAAAATTCAGTAAAATTACAGCCGTAATTTACTGCAGGCGATTCACCAAAATTATAATTTCACCAAAACAGTAATTTTCTCGATCATTTAACAGTAGGAAGGAAATATGTTAAATCCTCGTTCGTTTTGAAGGCAGCTTACGTGCGGCAGGTGTATAATTAGCTGTGTACGACTGCTCACAACGCTCAAACGGCGGTGCCTTATTATCGATTGATTTTTCTCGATTATTCTGCATGCACACGGCACTGAACTGTATTCCTTTCCGGTGCACTCATCCAGAAATCGTCGCTGTGTATATTCCTTAAGTTGTGCTATAATTGTCTGAATTGTTTTTCCCTATCTCACTCTGTTTCTTCCCTGCCGGTATAACCGTTGAATTATAGTGCTCCAAAGTCTCAATAAAGCCGCAAGTGTTAAGTAATTGATTGGAGTGTTGTGATTGGTGCATAGGTGGGACGCGAAGCCCGTGGTGAACTCCAATCCGTTGGCCGACAACCTGCGCTCCTCCCGACCGGACTTCCGGCCGGAGTTCGTGGCGTACGTGTTCAAGCGCGAGAAGCAGATGTCGGAGTGTCTGGAGCGCATGGAGGCGGCGCAGGAGACGCGGCGGGAGGTGCTGCGCCAGCGCGGCAAGTTCGACCCGACGACGGGACGCGCGGCGCACAAGCGCTACACGCTGGAGCTGCAGTACGAGCGGGAGGGGCTTGCTGAAGCTGCTGACGCCCTTCCTGCCCTTCATGGACGACGGCAGCACGGCGCCGCCGGTCGGCAACGGGAAGAAGGCGGGGTCGGCGCGCGGCAAGAAGAAGTCGGAGGACCGCGGCGGCGAGCTGGAGCCGGGCGTGGCGCGGCGCGAGCTGGAGCCCAAGTGCAAGATCTGCGCCAGCTCCAGCTTCCCGCAACGGATGGTGCAGTGCGACGACTGCAAGGAGCGCTTCCACCTCAAGTGCCTCGATCCCCCGCTCACCACCATGCCCAACAAACGCACCGGTCCGTATTAATAATAACAAAATTCAGGATAAAAATTTAACGGTAATATTGATAATATTAAATATAATGTGTTTGATTCAACAGGAGTGAAATGGTTGTGCTCGGATTGTGCGCCGTCCTCGGAGGATTCGGAGGAAGAGGGTGAGGCGGGCGCGGAAGGCGAGCCGGGCGGCGAGGACTCCGGCATCAGCGGGCGGAAGAAGCGGCGTCTGCAGGGCAAGAACCCCGCCCTGGAGCAGCGCCTGCAGTCGGCGGCGGCGGAGGCCGGGCAGCCGCCGGCCAAGCGCCGCAAGGTCTCCTCGGCCGGGAAGAAGGCGGCCAGGAAGGCGGAGATGACGGCGGACGCGGCCGGGACGCCGTCGGCGGCCAGCGGCGAGCCGCAGCCGGGGGTGGCGCCGCGGACGCCGGGCCGGAAGCAGCGCGTGGAGGAGCCGCGGACGGGGCGCTGCTGCAAGTGCCAACAGATGGGCGACGGTCGCGACGCCGTGGAGTGCGATCGCTGCCGGCAGTGGTTCCACTTCAAGACCTGCTTGGATCCGCCGCGTCAGTGCTTCTTTCCGCAGTTAATAATTTATAAGAAAAACAATTATTATTATTCTTTGCAGTGGCGAAATGTCCCCGCACGCGCTTCTACGGGTGGCTGTGCGAGGACTGCAGCAGTCCCGACAACAAGAGCGACGCCGAGGAGCCCGTCGTGCTGGCCGCGGCCACTTAATTGACCGTCGAATGGAGCTAAAAAGCCGCGATGCTCCAGCGGGCTTCTGTCCAAAGAGCATCTGTGCTGGAACTGGATCGTGGCTGGACGGACGCAGCGGCTGTTTGTTTTGCGTATGGATTGATAATTGTTGTCTTTTCGTCTGCTTTTCTCCATCTCATCGGGCTTGTCATGATTGGTTGGCTGGTAGAGTGTAATCATCGTGATTCCTTGTGTAGGGCCTTATTTCTTTATTTAATCCTAATTTGTCAGCGTATTCTAACCGAGCAGTGTTTTCCGCAGTAATGCTATTCCACATAAAGCACAAGACAATTTTGCAGGGTCCACCCAAAATCGGATAACCACTCGTAGATTAATTTCAGGGAATTGTACAAGAATTATATTTCTTTTATGATGTGCTGTTGGTTGGTCTTGACTCTTGGTCCCTTGGTCACAATGGATTAGGGTAATTCATCATTCCGGTGGAAGCTGTGAGAGCCAAGTTGACTGCCAAAATTGTCATATATGTAATTGGATGTACATTGTACGGCTGCGGTAAATGCGGTCAACTGTTCCCTGCAGCCGGGTCAGTCTGCAAAGAAAATGACGGCCATCCAAAAAATGAACACTTACAGTACCAGTTAGAGCTACGCTTTCCAAACCCTGCGGCAAATTAAAAAACAATGAGTGTATGATTCATGAAACAGGCATGGCCTTGGCAGCCTCAGCCGGGTAGAGTGAAATCTAAGAGAGACAGTTGATCCGCGAGAAAAAGCGGCTACACTGCCCGCGGTGAAGAGAAAATGTCCGCGTGACATTGCTGCAGCGGGAAATTTTCCAATGATACTGAAGGGCCTTACAGTTGCTGCGGTACAGTACTTGTATATAAGCGAAAGAGAAAAGCGATGATTGTATTGGGAAAAATTGGCAGTGTTGTGTTGTTTTCTTTGAGCTTTCCGTCTTTTCTGGAAAAGACGGTAGCCATAAGTGAACGCGCTGGCGCTATCACATCTGTACTTGTCGATAAGGTGACCTTCGCACTGTTTCCACTGTTCCACTGCAGCATGCGTCCCCTGCTCGTCCTCACCCTCCTGCTGCTGGCCGCCTGCTCGGGCCCCGTGGCTGGCCAATGTCCGGCTAGCTGTGCCGGGCAAATTCCCTGTAGTCCAAAGTGCGAGCGATTCTGTATGAGCTACTGCGCCCGGGCCCGGAGTCCCTCGCCGTCCGCTCATGCTGCGCAGGCGGCCCACCGTGGGCCACGGGCATAACATGTGCTTCTACACAGGCCAGCCCGTGCTTCTCGCCTTACTGCGTCAGCGCTACCGTTGCCCTGTCGTCAGCCGATCCAATTAGGCAACTACACCTTACCGCTCTGCATTTAAATACCGGCCTGTCCATCAACTGACACAGATACATCTACAGAGTACTGTCTGATTTTTGCTGGACGGGTTTACAATAATTCTTACATGACAGTATCAATACATTTTTAACTAGTTGAATCTTGTCTAAGCGGTTGACCGCGTTGTAACTACGTCTTCTGACCAGATTGCCATAATACATGTTAAGTTAAGTTAAGTTAAGTTTAATCGTTTAACGTCCGCACACAGTCTGGGTAAGACCCAATCCGAGGCAGCAGACTCGTCATAATTAAAATAGAGCAAACATCGAATAATGCTAGGCAAACAAATTAACAAGCGCTCAAATTTGTAACAACTGCACATGATCAGTGTGGTAAAACTTTTTAAGCGACTTTACTGTTTTCCAATCAACAATATTTAAAGCCGTTTTAAATTTACTCAAACTCCCATAAGCTTCTGCCGGCATGCGTAGGTCATTCCATATCCTAGCCATCCGATAGGCGAAAGATTTGTCCGACGGGGGAAGTGTTAGACCACAAAACGTTGATCCGGTGGGGATTATCGGGCATGGGTGTTCAGCCATCCTCTGCCAATGACGCGTCGCACCTGCAACACCACAACGCGCAGTAACATCCTTGCAGAATAATTTATCTCCGTAGGGGATAATGTTGTACATGTATTACGCATAAATCACACATTGTCGGAAGCTGTTTCTCAGTGTGACCTTTAGTTTCTCTTCTTATTCCTTCGTGGTGCATGAACGTACGAGACGGTCTATATGCAACCGATCAATTTTGATAGCCATTAGCCGTCAAAATAACACAAAATGCCAGCGCGGTCACATTACTTCTCTGTCAAATACCGTATTTTTCGAATTAGAAGCCCTGGGCTTCTAAATTTTCAAAGGTGCCTGGGGAGAGGCTTATACAGCAGAGGAGGCTTATATTGTGGAGGAGGCTTTTAAATTTTCAAAGCCTTTAAACAAGTGTAATTGCTGTACACCGTATATAGAGAGAGGCTTCTAATACGGAGGAGGCTACTAAATTTTCGAACTAAGGTGCAGGGGGAGGCTTATACAGTAGAGGAGGCTTCAATTTTGGAGGAGGCTTTAAATTCGAAAAATACGGTACTTAACTTTAAAGAGCACTGAATAGACGATCGGATGTAAATAAATCGATCTTGCCATCCGGCCACATTCCGTGTTTGCTCGATTCTGCTGATTCGAAGTCGTGACCCGGCATGCTCTTAATTCGACGATCCACCCAGCGCAAAATTTGACATCCAAACGGCTGGAAAGGGGCCTGTGCACTTAACCCCCACAGGGCCTACTTATGACCATTTGCCCCAGTGCGGAGGCCTCCATTCGGAGGCCTCCTTTTATTCGGTAAAAGGTTACAGAAAATGCCCCTCGGAAGGCCTCCACGGGCCATTTGGAGGTGTACGGTTGGGCCTCCCGGGTGCATATAGGGGCCTCTAGACGAGGGCGGTGACAGCCTACTACAGCCCAGCTTTTGCGTACGGGATTAGCTCGTTCGTACTGTTTTTATTAAGATTCACCAAATACCGTAATAAGGACAATACCATTGAGCCTTGCGCCAACAAAATTTCCATTCAGTTTAAAATTAAATAAAATTTATAAAACCAACAAACACCACCATACTCCATGACTAAACAAAAGGATAATTACCTTATTTAAGTTTTCAAAGCTAAACCAGACATGTCGTTAATAAACAAGAGTTCATTTAATTAAAAATCGAGGCTTGAGTGTCCAATATCCATTCGGAAGATATGTGTTTAATAAGCGGATGCCGGCTCTGGGTGGAGATAGACTTTATCAAACGGCCAAATGGGAATACAATTAATGCACCTGACACTCACTCCGTGCGCACCTGCAACCAGAAAATTTTTCGAATAATTCTTGTGTGTTTAAAATTTTAAGAAATAAAAATGCGATTACGTAAATGCGCTCGTCTCGGTATTTGTATTACTACGCTGCCAAAATGACAAAAATAGCTTACCGCGGATGACCGCGATGGTTTTGGGAATCTTGACGGCGTAGCCGACGCTGGACACGCTCTGTACTCTGTAGGCTAGGTCGCCACATGAAAGTCACTGCCTGCCGAGAAAAAAATAACCGCTGCAATTTCAAATTTATTAAATTTTTTTGAAAATAAATTATGATCCAGTACTTAACCAACATGATGACATAAAATTCATATCTACCAAAAAATTATAGTAAATTAAATAATAAAACAACCAAATACAACCATATATACAACCAAATTAATAAATAAACAGATAAATTACAGTAATTTCAAATATGATAATAAGCAGGCATCGAATATCCTTCAAATAATTGAATTTAAAATGAATTAATATTGTACCGGTGTATCTGCTTTTGAGAGAAAGAATCTGGCCGTCGGAGAACCGGAAGAGTATGCCCTTCTAGTGAGTGGGCTCGGCGCCGACGGCGTTGTCCGATGCAAGCGCTCTAAATGTCCAACTAGACCAGCGTCTACGAGGCCGTTACGTCCGCGGGCGCGGTAGTCGTTGCTCACTTACAGATCCACAGCTTCTCTCCGTCGCACTGCCAAATTAATGATAAATTAGGAGAAATTTAAATCAGGTCATTAATGAATAGTGATCGGCACCCAGAAAAATTGTAAAATTATTAATTCAACAACTTATTTACACTGTATTTGAATTTTGATAAAAATCTATATTTTTATTAATTACAGTACGCTCTACCTGAGCGTCAGCGATGAGCCTTGAACGCATACGTCCCACTACTGGTGAATGATTTGAGCGTTGAGGTTCCCTTTGGCCTTGATTTCCCCTAGCATCACAGGGTACGCCTGCAAAATTAAAAAGCAACAGAAAATAAAAATCTGAGGAAAAATCGAAAAAATAAAAAGTAAAATCAACGATGACAGACAAAACCAAACAACCCAACCGAATAATTTATAAACTGCACATGTGCTCATCAACGAAATTATTAAGTGAAAAGATTATTCTTTACTCAGTGAAAATAAAGTCGTACCCGACGTACCGTAAACACCGTTGCTGCAGCACTTGGGAACCCACGAAGATCTGCGACTGCGACTGACAATGAGGAGTTTTTAGGGCGATCTCGAAATAAGCGCTGGCTAAGCCTGGCCTCCAGAGTACAAGATATAGGCTTCCAGGGTTATAGGTTTCGAAGGAGTAAGGACACAAGACGCCAAGGTAGTCCATCCTCAGTTGCAGTAACTCAAGTGTTTTATTATTACTGTTACTGTGTTACAATTACAAGGGATAAGTATCGCTGCATTATGCATGACGGCAAAACGTATCAAACAAAGGGATTCAAGCATCCCTCTGCCAACAAGGACAATTAATAGTTAACTAATTGTGGTGTCTTGTAACTGTAATAACAATTAAATCAGAATAACAATCATTTATGATTTATCCACAAGGACAAGTTCTTTTTCAAATAGAATTGACAAAGTGAAAAAGACAAACTGCAGCAGTGCAGCTCTGCTGCCGTTGCTGACTACTCTGTGCAAGTTATACATGCCATTGATGGTAACTGCAGCTCCGCCTCCAAACGCGGGAAAAGGTTCTACTACCGCGGCCGGCAGTGTGAATTTACTCCAGTTCTCTTAAGAACAACTCTAACGTAAAATTTTATATTCTTTCGATCGTACAATCGTACTCTTTTTCTGAGCGTTTTTTAATTACAGTAATTACAAAAAAATTCTTTTTGCATTATATAATACTGTTAGAAAATAATAATAGTAATAATAATAGTAATTATCAAATTAGCGCTTGCATCCATGAACAGTTGCTAATATGTAGTAATGTCCTTAATAATTATTATTATTAATTAATGCTTATTAAATTTGCCATTTATCTAATAATGTTTAGTATTACTGATATTGTTTTTCGCATTCTTTATCAATATTTGTTTTTTTGTTATTTATTTTATCATTTTTCAATAATATAAGCGTTAATAAAATTTAAATATTAAAATGGTGGAAAACTGAAGAAACCACTAAACAATATGCGTCATTGTCCAGTTAGTTTTTTTAGGAAACTTAGGACAATATTGGCGATCGTTGCGCTAGTTGGTAAAATACAAAAATAGAAGTATCTAACTAACAATAAAACCTAGAAATTATCGCGTGTGTTCAATTCTGCACTAAATTACTAGCTAGCATGATAGCATCCGGTGGATAAAATGGTCCAGTAACGTATGCATCATGATTAAATCACCCTTGGACCCTTGGTTACAATAAACATGGATAATCCAGCCTTGTAGAAGGCGGTGTCACAGTAGGCACTATGTGGTTTAATGACAGGCCCTAATAGTCAGTCCGGGAGTGCCATCCGGAAGGCACCGGGAACGCCACCATGGCACCTTTGGGAGGCCCATAACCAACAGCCATTTTGCTGGCATCCGGCGGCGCCTTCCAGAGGCCTCAAAGTTGGGGGGCTCCCAGATGCCATCTTTTTGCCTACTTTATGACCTCCTGAAGGCCATTTTGTACCTTGCCCTTTAGAGGTCAGTGGGTGGTCATAAATTTTGCACTGGGCAGCCGGACGCTGACGGATTCGGGCAACCGCAAAAACGCAGTGCGTCAACCCATTATATAGACATATACAGTTATTATACACGCATATACTATATTTGTATACTTATATGTACCAGTTCCACGCATCTCCTGCAGATAAGCAACAGGCATGATTGTCTCGCTTATACGAGTATCTTATAAGCGAGACAATCACCTGTTAAAGTGTGTCGTCAACGGTAAACGAATTAACCAACCCAACAAACGGCCGGCAACGATCGCTGCCAATGATTTCATGTCAGCTGCACGCATTTTCCCGACAGCCTCTAGCCCCTTTGAATTCCTAATGCTGTTGGCCAGGGTTACCCACTTCAACAAGGGAATGCACACCAGCTAATGGAATTAAGGAATGCCTGTTAGCTATAGGTTGACTTTTGTATTGCTTGTTTTTCCACTAAATAAGGGGCCCATCGCTAATGAGGTCGAGCTGAGTACGGAATTTGTACCCAGGAACAACTCCGCTGGCGACTTTCCGGTTGTTGCATGCGGCGCGCCTCGGTATCTCCAGAGGAACTGCCCAGGTGCTTCGGACAGATTCTTCCGGTCAGACATGAGTTTCTCAACACCGTCCTTGATGGTCTGGACATACCGCTCCGCCTGTCCATTCGATTGTGGGTGTCCCGGTGGTGTCCTGAGATGCTTTATCCCGTGTTCCGCACAGAAGTTTGCCAACTCCTGTGAGTAAACTGGGTGCCGTTGTCCGTAACGATTTCGGTACAAGCGCCGTACCGACTGAACAGGTTGCGCAAAGTTTCCAATACGCCATTGGATGTAGCGTGTTTCATTTGCGCCACTTCCGGCCATTTAGACATGGCATCGACCACCGGCAGCAGCATCGTGCCGTGGTATGGGCCGGCAAAATCCATGTGCAGCCTCATGCATGGGTTTTCGGGCACTTCCCACTGCGAGAGCGGTGCCTGGGCAGTTTCCTTAGCGCGTTCGGAGCAGATCCGGCACTCGCGAGACATCTGCTCGACGATGTCTTTATCCATCTGCGGCCACCAGCAATGGGCGCGTGCCTCGCCTTTCATCTTACCGGCTCCCATTGGGGGGGGGGGCATCAGCACACCGATGGGGGCCGGGAGAGCGGGAGTGATTCGTGGAAACAGTGTATGCGCCGCGGAACGTGTACGATTAATTACAGCAAGCAGTTGCCTCTTGCGCGGGGACTGAGTTGGAATTATAGTTTTCTTCGTGCCGGTCGTATTCCCGGTTTTATTGTGGTGTGTGTGTTGTAGTACAAAGGCTTTGCAAAAGCGTTTTTCGGTCTTTGGAGACGATGTTGGAATGTGAAAAAATTTGAAAAATGATGAAGAAGTATTAATACTGTAATCATTTAATGCTCGAAAACTTTTGGAGAAATAAACTTATGCAAAACTAAATCAGAATTATTTTTAAAATTCTTGCCGGATGTTTACACTTTACAGTTTACTGTCTTCTTGCTGGCTGTTTGTTCAGTATTCCTCCCGGCTGTTTAAATATTAAATAATTCAAGAAGGAAGTAGTATTAATTTTTGGGATTGCCGACGAAATTTTGGCCATTTTATGCGGCGTACAAAATCTACGATTAATAATTAATTACAGCAGATAGACGACGGATCGGGTCGTAGGAAATTTTTCTGAATTTCGATGAAAAAAGAATCCACACAAGTTACAAGTTTGAACGTTATTACTGTGCTCACACGATTCGTCCATTTACGCTTTGGCCGTCCTACTTATGACGGAATGGAGACTCGCCTTCTCCACGGTGGTTGGCTGAGCAGCAGAATGTCGATCGATTATTGGCTGGTCATGAGAAGGGAAAACGGTGATTGGTGCCCAGCGTGCTAGCTTAATCGCTGCCGCTTAATCGAGTCCGAACTGCAGACAACAAAAAGTCAGCGACCGAAACGTGAGCTCACTGTGCAGTGTGCTGGCAGACTAGAATTTTCGCTATTTACAAATTTTACTTTTTTAGTTTTCAGATGATCAACTTTTACGTTCTTCTCTCGCATGAACATCATTTATAGTGCGTAAGACATCAGTGCATATTTTTTTAGAACGACTAGAACAGAATCTCACGAAATAATTAGGATTCGCTAGCTGCGTGTGATATCACTGTTGAATTTCTCTGCTTCTCCAGCTGCGGGTTCTTCGGATTTGGTTCTTCCTTGTTGATCGTAATTTGCATGCTGTCTTTGTAAATCGCTTACTCCTTGAGCGGGCTGTATAACGTGTGACTCCCATGCAGACTGTGCTGTTGTCTGTTGAGCAGGGAGAACCCAACGTGTAAGGATCGACGGCACTATCATTGCGAACAGGGAACTGCGTGTTGACGTCGTGAATTTGGTTTCTTGATTGTATTCTCACCCTGTCCGCGATGGCCCAGCAAGCGCGAGTTCGATTCGGTGCGGGAGATGTGGGAGGCCATGCTCGCCGGGCGCGGTGCTGCCGTCGCCCAGTCCCAGCAAGCGCTTCGCCAAACTATCCCATCCAGAAGCAGAAACAGACCAGGAGCCCGCACTGCTGCCCGTGTCCGCGGTGGCCTCCTACACGTCCCGCTTCCACTTCACGCCGCAGCGGGGATTGTGGCAGACGCCTGCCGCGGCGGCCAGTGTCGGCCGTGGCGAGCCACGACGGGATGACGGGCGCCAGTCGCCAACGGAATCCATACAGGTCAGATGAACGTGACGCACTGCTGACTAACAGCTAACAGGGTTGTCGAGGATTGAGCACAGTAATCAGTATCCCTGCTTCTTTCCATCGCAGCAAAAAAATAACCACTATTAAAAATAATTGAATATTATTACTAATTAATTGGATAAAATACAGGATCTATTGAATAACACTAATATGATAAATAATATTAATAGTGATATTAAAAATAAATAAGAGTGTAATTAATGAGAATAACATTGTTATTATGATTGTTAATGATTAGATTGACGTGGAGTCGGCCGTGGAGGTGGAGGCGCGCGAGGGGAAGAGCCCGGCCCCCCAGCGCAGCCAGCAGTCGACGCCACGGACACCGAGCTCGCCGCTGAAGGGCAGTCCGCCAGTGGCGGCGGCCGCCGGAAGTGCTCGATGGAGTGCGTCTCGTGCTGCGGAGGAAGAAACCTCCAGTGGAGCGGACGCGGAGACTGCAGCGGAAGAAGAGTTGGTGGCTGACGTCCTCCCGTCACCGGAAACGACGGACGACGAGTCGACCGGCGCGGACGAAGATCAGCCGTCGCTGCCGGTCCCACTGCCCGCCACTCACCCTGTCCAGCATCACGACGTGCTGGTAAAATAAAAAATACCATACAATCAGTGCATTAATTATTGATACATTAAAACAAGTGATACGAATAAAATAATAACATATAATACTAATGTGAATAATAAGTGAATAATACAAGTACAAGTGCTAATTGAATTACGGCCGGAAATGACTTTGACTGTCTACCGCTCCCATATCTGTCTGTTTGTCGTGAAGACTGACACTGCGGCTGGCGCATCGGCGTCGTCACCCGGGATGAGTGAGCGCGGAATCGATCTGCATGTGCTGGACGAGGAGGCAGTGCGAGTGCGCGGTGTGCTGGTTGGCAGCAGTCACGCGTCTCCAACAACAGCTTGCCGCCCTCATCCGCCGACGCTGATCAGCCGGTACGTTTCGTAGTCCTTCATTTATCTGTAGTTGTGCAAGAATATTGTACAGCTATACTTACGGTAATAGTACTTTACCAGTTTAATACCGGTACGTGTGTCGAGGCTTGAAACCTTCCGTATTAATTTTCTCGTGCTTTTAATCAAATCAGTCGAGAATTTTAAAGGATTTGCAATGAAGATCTTGACTTTTAACAAATTTTATTATTTCTATAGTTTTAAATGGGCAAATTGACCAAATTCAATGCCGATCGATTGAAAATAAAGTAATATAGAACAACTGCTGCAAATAACGATAACATTAACAGCCAGTCCGTAATTCATAACAATTTACCATTTCCTTGTTTACTTTTGCAACGAAAGCTGGGAAATAAATAATTAAACAAATGTATTTTAAATGCAATTTTTATTAAATATTTCAGATGGAAAGTAGAAGTTAGAAGTGGTTGAATGGAATTCCTAACGTGCATGTTATAGTATAGAGTGCATGCGTGTAGTGGTGTGTTGAATGGCGGTGTGATTGCGTTGTAAACGTTGTTATTCAACGCTGCCTGCACACGGTAGTGCTGCGCTCAGCGCTCTTGCCCGCGACAACAAAGGGATGCCGGTATGCGTAGTGTTGTGATGAGCTTGGCTTTCTGCCGACACTGACACCTTCCTAATGCGCTACATCTGAATGCGCTGGCATCAGTGCATTCCGCGCCTATGGTAGCGGCACTCTTCGACAGCCGTTTGGCCATACGTTCATCTTGCTTGACTATCACTGTGCTTTTCTCCCTAACATTAGGCCAGCATCCCCACTGTTCCCGCTCGCCGTCCCCCATCCGCTCCCGCTCGCCGGACATTCCCCGCTGGACCTCAGCCAGGCGCTGGACGATCCCCATCCCGTCGGGAATGTGAAGGACGTCGCGGAGAGCAGTCCGTTGCTCATGGGGTTGCGCCAACACATCACCGTACGTCCGATCTGTTCATTAGCGGCGCTGGTCAGCGTTTGACGCTGTTTTTACACAGGATCTGGAAGCGGAGGCCGAGTACCAGGAGACGGTGGCGGACCAGATCCGCCGCACCATCAGCGCCGCGCAGAAGGGCTCCGCGCAGACCTCCACCGACCGCTCCATCATCAGTGCGCGCGTCGAGGCCGAGCGCACGCTCCTCATAGCCGGTCAGTCTCCCACACTTGTCTTTCTCCTGTCCTTATCATCTTTTGATTTTTATTCTTAATTCCTACAATATTTTCCAAATAATTTACGGACTATTTTGCAGTTGTTCTTGTTTTAAGTATATGGAGTTTCCTTTTACGGTATTTGTTCAAGTAAACACAGTTGCACAGATAATTCATAGAGCGTTTTTAGGAAAAATCTCTTTTACTTTGTAACATCTGCGCATTTTGTAAAAGTTTTTAATTTAGGACGACGTTGGAAATAATTCATGGAATATTCTTGTTCTTTTTACGATGAAAATAGCTTCAGTTGCGTGTCGTTGTTAGCGCGCAAACGGAAAGGCTGTCTGGCGCAGGCGCGCCGCATCCAGCGCGCCATCGACCAGCTGCGCAGTGCCGGCAGTGATCCGTTGACCATCCAGCCGCTGCAGGATCCCAGCTACAGCGCGGCGCTGACCTTCCGCGGCTTCCAACTGGACGTCAGCAGTGACTTTCTGGCCGATCTCAAAGCCGACACCAGTGCGTGCTTCCCTGCCAACAAATCTGTCCAGATGAGTGTTGTTTGTAAATGATTTTGTTTATTTATCGGGATCCAGCTGCTGAGTACTTCGTGGTGATCGTGCTGATGCTGCTGGAGCAGGTGCACGCCACCGAGGCCCTGCCGCTGTCCGAGTTCGACGCGCGCGGCCGTTTGTTGTTATCCAATTTGATCCAGTTCGTCGACGTGCAGTGCGGCTTCATGCTGGAAGTGGAGGCCACGCTCATCGTGAGTGTTACGTTGTTTTGTATTTCCCCTTGAAAAAAACTAATTAATGTTAATTTGATTAAATTAAATTGAATTCAAGTATGTAAAATTGAAATTAAATACTACGGAAATTAAAATGAATCCAAGCAAAAATTAAAATAAAGATCTAATTAAAATGAAGATCTATCTGAGATAAAATAAAAATTAAATTGCTTCGCGACGGAAATTAAATTAATTCATTTAGGAATTCAGTTGAATTAGAATGCAGCTTTAATTTCGTTTGAATAAATAATGGCGTTTATGGCGTTAAAATAAAAGAAGCCTTGCATGTGCAGCGCGTCGGTCGCCAGCACGCCCCCCTCCATCCGGCGGCGTCCGCTCCGTCGTCCCATTCCACGCCGACGCACGGCGGGAATTTCCTCAAGCGCGTGATGGCCGCCCTACCCAAATCCGCCAACAAACACGCCGACGCTTCCGCCGGAAGTCACAGCGCTGTCGGCTTCCGGGCGTCCGTTAATCCCGCCTCCAGCGAGCTAGCTAATGTCATGAGTCTGGGCAGCGTCACTCTCAACGTGGACAACTACAACCGGAAACGGCACGTCCTGTCCGAGGTAGCGTTGACCGCATTTGGAAAGTATTTCAGAAATTATTTTAAAATGATCTTTATTGAAACAAATTCTTTATTGAAACAAATACAAAAAAGAAATTTTCTCAGATATTCTGTAGGTTTCTGAAGAATGTCTCAATTTCATAAAAAATTTGGTTAAATGCTTGTAATTGATGATATTCTTGTGGATGGCTGGTAGGCGTTGTTGGTGAAGGAGTGCGGCGTCGTGCTGGACACGGAGGTGATGCTGGATCTGGAGATTAACGTGCCGCTGGCCGCTTTCCTGGTAAAACTGAAAGTGCGCTGCAGTAATGCGTTGACTAATGGTTAACTGGTCGCTGCAGACGTTCTACTGCTTCCACGATCCCGGCTCGCAGACGGAGTGGATTCGGCGCTGGTGCGTGCTGCGCGGCTCCACGCTGCTCATGTGGCGCTACCCGGACGACGTCGACAAGGGCGTAAGTGGCCGCTGTAAACCGTCTTCATAATAATTTACCAAACATTTGTAAACATTTATTGTGTAATTTTCGGCATTTATTTTCTGGTTTGCTTTACATTAAAACAGTCTTTGGAATAATTAATTTACATGTAATATTTTTGAAAAACTGGTAAATTTTTGGTCTTCATTTGTAGATTTTTTCTTCAGACGTAACGCAAGTTGGAAAACATGTTTTGCAAATTGTGAAGGTGTAGAGTGTAGCATTGTTTTGGCGGGCAGGTGAACCCGTTGTCGAAGCTGGAGGTGCGCGACGCCCTGGAGGGCAGTCTGCGGCGCGCCAACAGCCAGGAATGCGCCCGGCCGCACTGCTTCCTCCTGCGCTCTGAACGGGCGGTTTTTGCGGCAGCGCCGCTCGATACAACTCCCGCCGCGACAGCCGGCATGCAGACGCGTCAACCCATCTTGGAGTAAGTTAGGTTGCTGTCGTCTGCTGACAATTGCAGCTGCTGTCGGTTAATTTCAGTCGTTTAAGCAGTTATCAGACGTATGGCGTGTACGTTTTTGTAAATAAATTTAATTAATTATCTTAGATATTTTGTGGCGGCGGATGACAAGGCGCAGCTGGCGGTATGCCTGCGGCAGTTGGGTGCCGCGCGGACCGCTCTGCAACACTGGCGATTGACCTGTGATGCGGCAGGCGATGTGGTGTCGGTGTAGTGGCTCTGTGGTTGGTCGGGTGTATCCACGCAGCCGCAACTGGAGAGGAAGGATGGATGGACGAATGTTTTTGGTGGTTAATGCGTTTGTTAGCGTCCTGCTTCTGGACTTCTGGCTGTGGATGATGTTGATGGCCGTTTATTTAGTTTTGACGCTACCGGCCGAGTTGCACTCAACAACCCGGGAGTACTTTATGGATCGACGTTTGTCTACGATCGCCGAAGCTCAGTGTTTGTCTTGTGCTTAACAAAGCAGCGTAGCCACTAACGAAGCCCTGGTAACAATAAATAAAGCTGCCCATGATAATCTTATGGCATCCATGCTAAAAAACTTATGATTGACCACTGGGTCTCACGAAATCGAGTTGGAAAATGGTCACAAATACAAGCACTTTGATACTCTCGATTTCCCATACTTTGAGCATTTTTTTGTTATGTAGGCTACGTAGCAAGGATAAAAATATAAAAGTCTGGATACGCATAATTACTTAATAGGTCAAATTTTAATGGTGCATCCCATGGTGCAGTTTGCCAAACAAACATGCTGTCAGTGGCGATACACTACATGGAAAATTTCCAGGTGCTTATTAATTCTATCATGGCCCCTTGATATTTTATCATCATTCGCGGTCGTGTAACAGACAAGCACGAGGAGATCACGAGTGAGCTTTATTGTACAAATAAAGGGGGAACAATAGCAGGAAAGCAAGAACAAAGCACTGATGGCTAAACTAGCAAGTTGATGCCAGGAAGGTTCTTGAGCGTCTGATGGCGTGAAAGAAGCAACTGGCGGCAAGCACGTGCTGTGTGCCATCAGCTGTGTGATGATGCGCAGACTGGACTCTATCCAACGCGAGCGTATGAACGCTGAGTCATACTGCGAGAGGAACGAGAGCAAGTGTGGCTCAGCGTGTATGCGCTGCGTATATCCGCTTCAGCGGGTGAGTGCAGTGCAGCAGCACACGTACGTACAAGCGAGAGAGGCGATAACGGCAAGCAATGGGTGCAAGTACGTCCTGTGTGGACCGTACGCACCAGGCGCAGTCGTACGCCTCTGACAGTCGTAAGCCACTATCCATCCGTGCTCGGCTTGTTATCTCTATATTTATTTACTTATTTTTATTCATACAAGCTTACCGTTCAAAACGTATTTTTCCTGGGTTATTATGGATAAATCAACGCGTGGTCGGGTTAAGTCAAGTTTAGTCTTGAAAAATTCCTAATTTTCCTTCTGACGTTTGATCTTTTTAAAAAGGCTGTGGTCAGAAATTAAACATTTCGAATTGTTCTTAAGTATCGAAAATGAAAAGTACAGTGACTTCCCTGACTTCTAAGAGTACTGGTATTATATTCTTACGTGCAGAACAAATAACAGATACTGTTAACACGGAGCTAGGGGGGATCCATAAATTACGTACGCAGCGAACCAGGGAGGGACGGGTCCAAAAAACGTGACAAGCTGTGACGGCCCCGGCGAACCCAAGGGGAGGGGTGGTCAGCTTCATGTGTTACGATTGAGCGAACCAGGGGGTAGGGGTCAAGCAAACGTGACGGACCGCTACGAAGGGGGAGGGAGGGGTGAAAAAACCGTGGTTCTCTGCGTACGTAATTTATGGATGCCCCCCAGTAGCAGTTACTGTAGTGTAAAATTTACATTTAATATCAGTTAATCAAGTAAGGACGTACTTAATTAAAAGTTAGTCGTACTGTATTAAAGTAATCTTTCCTAAGTCCTGTACGAACGTGCCGAAGGCGGGAGGCTATCTTGTATTATGTATTGTTGTCTGTGCTACGTGAATACTATAATTGGTCGAATAAGAGAAGTGGTTCAATAATAAAATATATATTGGTTCAAAAATAAAATCGATTATTGGTTCAATAATAGAATGTTAATGATTTTAAGGAACGCTTGCACACTATAATTCACGTCAGCATCGCTTTCGTAAAATTAATAATCATAGATCGATTGCTATTCTGCATTTGTGCGTGAGTCTCTCCAAAATTCCCCAATGTACAGTATGTAATATCTATATAAATAGTTCAATAGTTTCGTCTCGGTAGCAGGTAGCCCATAAACCTGCTGTGTTTTTCATACACAGCATGGGAATTTAAACCTGGCCGAACACAACACACGCTCATATGCAAAGTAAATATACACGTACTGCTAGAAATTGCTTAATTTTAAGGATTGGAGGAAGTTCTCAGGCGATTAATTATCAGCGCCGACCCACTACTAATTACATGTATCTGTATTTCTGTACTCGTACTACAGACTTTGGTAATACGTATCTGCAGTTCTATCAGTCTACTACGTGATCTTTGTGGTTTGTCCACAGGTAAGTATTGAGTGTATGCCTTTCGTGTAACAAATACCACTTTTTTCATCAGTTTGCGGTCATCTTGATCAGATGCCGACATCGACATGATTGTTGCGCACAGTGATCTGATTCTCATGACAGTCGATGTCTATAGCATTTATTGTACAGTAACACAAGCACAGCGATCACGCGCAATTTCGACAAAAAATGTCCGCAAATTTTATGATACGATCATTCAGTATGCGTCCAATAAACACAGGTGGATCACTGTGGTATCTTTTGCACCGCCTTCGTCAAGACTCAAGAGCATAAAATATGTCTGACGTGCACGAAGAGCACACGTCACGCTTTTCCAATTCCACAACCCCAATACCATTTCGCAGTGGTACTGGCGCTCGCGCTCGTGCAATAATGTGGTTCGCAACCACCGCTAGTATAAATTTAATAATATAATATTATACAGGATGATATTGTAATTACTAAGTGCTGTACATAATTATGTAAGTATTGCGCAAGTACGACGTACTGATACTTAAGTAATCTACCCTAATCCTGCACTTTAGGGAAATTTGTACAGTGCCACCAGATGTTACCAGTGCACGCACGATCCATTTCTGCAGCGTAACGAGTGCATTCGCGATTCTCATACACGGCATGCATTGTCGCACTACGCATACCGTATAAATTTCCTTTAGGTACAGGGTTACAAGTACAGTGTACAGTACATATCTTATACAAAAGGTTTAAATACATCGTATCAAACACACCGTGCGTTAAAGCCCGAAAAACCGGTGGTGTTGCCGATGTTGCAGTTGCTTAGAGCCAGTTGAATTATAATTTGTGTGTTACACATCATAAGTATCTCGAGAAAAGCGGAAAAAATTATCTGTTTCCTTCCGTGCCCAATTCAAATCTCCATCTCCCTGCAATCTTTTGTTACTCGTAACAATTACTTGTATATATTTATTTATATTTATATTGTATACATATGAATAACTATATTTATATATATTACTGTTTATATTATTGCATTCTATTCAGATTCCGCATTGATATTATTCTGTTGCGAGCGAGCTACAATGTGTGTGCGCAAATGGAGGATTAAAGTGTGGTCAAGGTGCAGCTGGTGTTTACTAGTGTTGCTACTGCTGCTACAATGGCACTGCTCGGCGGGATGTCCGCCACCATCTGCAAAGTCAAAGGCGGGACCGGATTGTGAGTAGTATTCACTACGTACAGTACTCGTATTTACTATTCGTATCTTCCTACCCATACAATCTTACCGTCCAGAGCGTAATTTCCGTGGGCCACTAAATAAGCGTAATTGTTACACAAGCTTTGAGTTACTAAATAACCGTAATTCCCGTGGGGGATGGAGAAATCAGCTCGTGGTCGGTGTCTGAGTGAAGCTTACAATAATTGTTGTTAGTCTTAAAAAGGCTTTAATTTTTAATTCGACCGTACTGGTAGAAACGATTTGTGCTAGTCGTTTTATGATTTCATGCAGTCATTATTATGCAGCTCAATGATTATGTACTGAAATAACTGAAGGCAACGAGATCGTTCAGTAACGGCGAATGCATGGTGGAGAAATACGAGGTTTGAAATACTTGGTTTGGTTTAATTTACAATACTTGACTTACATCTCCTAGAAGGATGATTTTATTTTATTTTATAACGTCTTCCTGAAAGCGTAATTTAAATACAGTATGACGTTTTCTTGTACTAAGACTTCTACAGGAGAATTTTACAACAGAGCAGTACGAGTACGAGTACATGTAGTACATTAATACTAGTACTACGAGTGCACAATAATATTGTGCAGAAGTGGCGTCTTACTTGATTAATTTTTATTCGTGATTTACAGCCATTGAAGATTTGTGGACCTCCATTGTCAAGTGACATAGCCACGCGTGCGGTGGCCATGCCAGGCTGTTTTAACGTAAATCTTTGAAATTCATGACTGCATTAAATTTTATATAGTCTTGAAAATGCAGAATAACACACAGTATTAGGCAAAATAAATTCGTTTTTGTTTTTCTTTCAGGGTTATGCACTGTTAGCCTGTACGGCTAGCATAGCCGCCTATGGAGGATTTGTCATAGGCTGCTATGTTAACCGCAGGGGCTCCTACCGCATTACCCTGAAGAAGAAACAGAGAAGCATTTATTTTCTCTAATGCTGTGTATTATTCTGCATTTTTCAAGACTATACATAAAAATTTAATGCAGGAATGAACAAAGTCATGAATTTTCAAAGATTTACGTTAAAATAGCCTGTGGCATGGGCCACCGCACGACGGTTACGTTGTCACTTGACAACTGTACTAAATGCAATGGCTGTAAAATCACGAATAAAATCAAGACGTCACTTCTGCACAATATTATTGTGCACTCGTACTACCAGTCCACCACTGCTCTTAAAGCAATCATAATATTACGGTAATGATTTTCTTTAAATTCTAGTAATAATTTGTAGAGTACATATAGTTATGCCGCTGCCATATCATGAAAGTTAGCAAATAACTAAACTGACAATAATGTCTTGTGGCGGATAGTAAACGACATGCTGGTGGAGGCCTGGCAAAGTAACCGACAGGACGACCGCATCACCCTGGCGCGACTGGCCCCGAGCCCGGACGTAGCGGACAGCGTGACGTACCGGCCGCGACTGGGGAAGAATGTGACCTTTAACTGCAGCGTGCCGGCCGACGTCGACTGGCGCGACGTGTCTTGGCTGCACCAGGACCGGACCGTCTACGAAGCCGGCCGACCAGTGGAAACCAGTCAAGACACCACGGGACAGTCGTACAACTTCACCCGCGTCAACAGCACCCTCTTCTTCTCCGTCCTCAACGTCAGCACCTGCGTCGGCGGCGCCGTCCTCTGCGTCGCCACCCCCTCCGTCCCCTCCAACTACTCGCCCCGCCCCCGCGTCTTGCAGCGCTACCAGCTGCTGCCGCTGATTACGCGCAGCAGCGACGTCTTCGCCGCGCCCAACGCTAGTTACATCACCGCCAGCGAAGGCGACGATGTCATGGTGCCGTGCTGGATTCGGCTGCCCCTCCCGGAGGCCATCCTGCGCAACATGCGCAACCACTTCATGGTGCGCCATAACGGCCGCATCGTCCGCGGCCCCCCGGAGGCCCCCTACGGGCCCCTCTTGCCGGCCAGCGTCCCCTCCAACCCCTGCCGGACCCCATAATCCTGTCCAACCGCAAAGAACGACCAGCGGACAGCCCCGGACAGGTGCCGCTGTATATAGGCTATTTCGCGGCCGTCAAGCTGGCCGACCGCGGCGCGGTGGAGTGCTGGTTCCGGCCGCACCCTGGACTGCATGAGTGGATTGTGCACACGACGGCGCTGTTGGTTTTTCCCAAAAATGACACTAACACATAACAATGCCGCCACTATATTTACGCCTCCTACCGGGCGGTTCAATTTCCATTATAATTATTTCACTGTGGCTGCAAATGTAAAATCTTCATTATATAGATACGTACTTACAGTTTTTCTTGCAACTGCATGAATTTTAAGAAATCCAAATAAATTACTACTCCAGCTCCGGGTCATGTTATGGTGAAAATGCGGTAATTGTGCAGCATCTTGATTATGAACTTATAACGCATCATTTCTCTTATACCTATACGTATTACATTACTGAAGTACAGTAGTAATCCATAACTGTATTCTACCTAGTAAGTAGCACCTACAGAGTACTACCTACTCTACTCGCACGGGCAGAGAAGTGAGACACCATGGGGTTAACGGGATGGCTGACGGCTTTAATTCTAAATTGTCATTTTGCACAAAGCAGCCGCTGTAAAGATCTGAGACCGCTCTGTTAGATGGCAGAAAGACCGACATGATAAGATTGCAGGGTTATGAAACAGGAAATTTTTAAGTGGCTACTTAAACGGCGTAACGGTGGAAGCAGAAGCGCCACATGAGCAGCGTGGAGCCGCGCAGCACGCACCAGCGCCGGATCCACTCCGTCTGCGAGCCGGGATCGTGGAAGCAGTAGAAGGTCTGCAGCGATCAGTTAACCATTAGTCAACGCATTACTGCAGCGCACTTTCAGTTTTACCAGGAAAGCGGCCAGCGGCACGTTAATCTCCAGATCCAGCATCACCTCCGTGTCCAGCACGACACCGCACTCCTTCACCAACAACGCCTACCATCCATCCACAAGTTAGCATACATTATAAACATTTTACGGAATTTTTTTTTAACTGAGACATTCTTCAGAAACCCACAGAATATTCAAGAAAATTTCTTTTGTGATTATTTGGCATTCCGCTTAAATGTTTTTCAAATCAAAACAATTCTGAAAATAATTTCTAAACTATTTCATCCGTGTTTATTAGTTTTTTCTATCAAAAAATTATAAAAGTAATGCCTACAATATGTTTTCCGTAATTATTCGAGTTCGTTCGATTTGTTTCTACAAAGATAATTTTCAGAATAATTACATAAATATTTTCAAAATGCGGTCAACGCTACCTCGGACAGGACGTGTCGTTTCCGGTTGTAGTTGTCCACGTTGAGAGTGACGCTGCCCAGACTCATGACATTAGCTAATTCGCTGGAAGCGGGATTAACGGACGCCCGGAAGCCGACAGCGCTGTGACTTCCGGCGGAAGCGTCGGCGTGTTTGGTGGCCGATTTGGGTAGGGCGGCCATCACGCGCTTGAGGAAATTCCCGCCATGCGTCGGCGTGGAATGGGACGACGGAGCGGACGCCGCCGGATGGAGGGGGGCGTGCTGGCGACCGACGCGCTGCACAAGCAACACTTGATTTATTTTAATTCAAATGCCATCTTTATTCGAACGAAATTAAAGCTGCATTCTAATTCAACTGAATTCCTAAATGAATTAATTTAATTTCCGTCGCGATGCAATTTAATTTTTATTTTATCGCAGATACAGTAGATCTTCATTTTAATTCAATTTAATTTTTACTTGGATTCATTTTAATTTCCGTAGTATTTAATTTAAATTTTACATACTTAATTCAATTTAATTTAATTAAATTAACATTAGTTAGTTTTTTTCAAGGGGAAATACAAAACAACGTAACACTCACGATGAGCGTGGCCTCCACTTCCAGCAGGAAGCCGCACTGCACGTCGACGAACTGGATGAAATTGCCTAACAACAAACGGCCGCGCGCGTCGAACTCGGAGAGCGGCAGGGCCTCGGTGGCGTGCACCTGCTCCAGCAGCATCACCACGATCACCACGAAGTACTCCGCAGCTGCACACCGATAAATAAACAGAATTATTTACAAAAAACACTCATCTGGACAGATTTGTTGGCAGGGAAGCACGCACTGCTGTCGGCTTTGAGATCGGCCAGAAAATCACTGCTGACGTCCAGCTGGAAGCCGCGGAAGGTCAGCGCGGCGCTGTAGCTGGGATCCTGCAGCGGCTGGATGGTCAACGGATCAGCGCCGGCGCTGCGCAACTGCTCGATGGCGCGCTGGATGCGACGCGCCTGCGCCAGACAGCCTTTCCGTTTGCGCGCTAACAACGACACCCAATTGAAAATATTTTCATTATAAAATGAACAAAAATGTCCAGAATATTCCAGCAATTATTTCAAACGTCGTCCTGAATTCAAAAATTTAAAACATGCAGAGATTTAAGAAAGCAAATGAGTTTCTCGAAAAAGTACTCAATAAATGATCACAGCGATCGTCTTTATTTTAAAGAAAGAAAACTCCATAAACGTCAAAAAAACAATTACGACATAGTCCAAAAATTATTATGAAAATATTCTAAGAATAAGAGGAAAAATTAGCGCTGAAGACTGACCGGCGACGAGGAGCGTGCGTTCGGCCTCGACGCGCGCACTGATGATGGAGCGGTCGGTGGAGGTCTGCGCGGAGCCCTTCTGCGCGGCGCTGATGGTGCGGCGGATCTGGTCCGCCACCGTCTCCTGGTACTCGGCCTCCGCTTCCAGATCCTGTGTAAAAACAGCGTCAAACGCTGACCAGCGCCGCTAATGAACAGATCGGACGTACGGTGATGTGTTGGCGCAACCCCATGAGCAACGGACTGCTCTCCGCGACGTCCTTCACATTCCCGACGGGATGGGGATCGTCCAGCGCCTGGCTGAGGTCCAGCGGGGGAATGTCCGGCGAGCGGGAGCGGATGGGGGACGGCGCGAAAGCGGGAACAGTGGGGATGCTGGCCTAATGTTAGGGAGAAAAGCACAGTGATAGTCAAGCAAGATGAACGTATGGCCAAACGGCTGTCGAAGAGTGCCGCTACCATAGGCGCGGAATGCACTGATGCCAGCGCATTCAGATGTAGCGCATTAGGAAGGTGTCAGTGTCGGCAGAAAGCCAAGCTCATCACAACACTACGCATACCGGCATCCCTTTGTTGTCGCGGGCAAGAGCGCTGAGCGCAGCACTACCGTGTGCAGGCAGCGTTGAATAACAACGTTTACAACGCAATCACACCGCCATTCAACACACCACTACACGCATGCACTCTATACTATAACATGCACGTTAGGAATTCCATTCAACCACTTCTAACTTCTACTTTCCATCTGAAATATTTAATAAAAACTGCATTTAAAATACATTTGTTTAATTATTTATTTCCCAGCTTTCGTTGCAAAAGTAAACAAGGAAATGGTAAATTGTTATGAATTACGGACTGGCTGTTAATGTTATCGTTATTTGCAGCAGTTGTTCTATATTACTTTATTTTCAATCGATCGGCATTGAATTTGGTCAATTTGCCCATTTAAAACTATAGAAATAATAAAATTTGTTAAAAGTCAAGATCTTCATTGCAAATCCCTTTAAAATTCTCGACTGATTTGATTAAAAGCACGAGAAAATTAATACGGAAGGTTTCAAGCCTCGACACACGTACCGGTATTAAACTGGTAAAGTACTATTACCGTAAGTATAGCTGTACAATATTCTTGCACAACTACAGATAAATGAAGGGACTACGAAACGTACCGGCTGATCAGCGTCGGCGGATGAGGGCGGCAAGCTGTTGTTGGAGACGCGTGACTGCTCGCCAACCAGCACACCGCGCACTCGCACTGCCTCCTCGTCCAGCACATGCAGATCGATTCCGCGCTCACTCATCCCGGGTGACGACGCCGATGCGCCAGCCGCAGTGTCAGTCTTCACGACAAACAGACAGATATGGGAGCGGTAGACAGTCAAAGTCATTTCCGGCCGTAATTCAATTAGCACTTGTACCATATTATTCACTTACATTATTCACTCATTAGTATTATATGTTATTATTTTATTCGTATCACTTGTTTTAATGTATCAATAATTAATGCACTGATTGTATGGTATTTTTTTATTTTACCAGCACGTCGTGATGCTGGACAGGGTGAGTGGCGGGCAGTGGGACCGGCAGCGACGGCTGATCTTCGTCCGCGCCGGTCGACTCGTCGTCCGTCGTTTCCGGTGACGGGAGGACGTCAGCCACCAACTCTTCTTCCGCTGCAGTCTCCGCGTCCGCTCCACTGGAGGTTTCTTCCTCCGCAGCACGAGACGCACTCCATCGAGCACTTCCGGCGGCCGCCGCCACTGGCGGACTGCCCTTCAGCGGCGAGCTCGGTGTCCGTGGCGTCGACTGCTGGCTGCGCTGGGGGGCCGGGCTCTTCCCCTCGCGCGCCTCCACCTCCACGGCCGACTCCACTTCAATCTATAATATACATAATATTATATAATAATCATTAACAATCACAATAACGATCTCATTCTTATTAATGACACTCTTGTTAACTATTAATAATCATTCTTCAAATTTTAGTATTATATATATTTTATCTAACGAATAAGTAATAATATTCAATTATTTTTCATAGTGGTTATGTTTCCCTGCGATTGAAAGAAGCACAGAATGATACACAGATCCTGATTACTGTGCTGAATATCCGACTACCCTGTTAGCTGTGAGTCAGTAGTGCGTCACGTTCAACTGACCTGTATGGATTGCGTTGGCGACTGGCGCCGTCCTCCCGTCGTGGCTGGACGCGGGCGACACTGGTCGCTGCGGCAGGCGTCTGCCACAATCCCCGCTGCGGTGTGAAGTGGAAGCGCGACGTGTAGGAGGCCACCGCGGACACGGGCAGCAGTGCGGGCTCCTGGTCTGTTTCTGCTTCTGGATGGGATAGTTTGGCGAAGCGCTTGCTGGGACTGGGCGACGGCAGCACCGCGCCCGGCGAGCACGCTTTGGCCTCCCACATCTCCCGCACCGAATCGAACTCGCGCTTGCGCTGGGCCATCGCGGACAGGGTGAGAATACAATCAAGAAACCAAATTCACGACGTCAACACGCACTTCCCTGTTCACAATGATCAGGCTGTCGATCGTTACTGTATTTAGCCGTTCGTGAGGCTTTCACTGTTGAGCAGCACACTCTGCACCGAAATCACAAGTTTAATGTACAGATAATAATAATATACAGATATACAAGGTTAATATACAGATCGATGTCATCGATCAATGTGTTAGCGATTAAAAAAAAAAAACAAATACGAAGATCGTGCAGATTACATCAACAACAAATGCGAGGAACCCGCAGGAAATCTGCAAAAATCAAAATGGCACGTTGACAGCTCCAGTATTCTTACTGTATATCCAATTATCCATACGCAGCTACCGAATATGCATAAGCGATAATCTTTTTCAATCTTCTCCCACCACTCTAAGGATAACTAGTGGTGGTTGATAACCACATCATTGCACCGAGCGGGAGTGATACTCACCGACAACTGTTTACACTGAAAGTTGAATGCGGCTGAAGGACATCTTTGAGCGCATTAAGAAAGTCAACATGCAGATACTTAGTGTTGATGGTATCGGTTTTTTCAAATTTGCTCTCCGAACTGTAGATCTGTTTTGAAGTTATTCATTGTTGAAGTCTTTTTTAGCGACCAGACGTTGAAGTCCTGCTAAGCGGGTTGTCTGCTCTTGGTGTAATAATAATAATAATAATAATAGGTGAATTGTAAACAGCAGATATGTTTTTGGAACACTTTATTCAGATATGTAATAATAGATATATACTTAATTTTATTCCGCTGTCATTTTATGAACAAATCCGTCGTAAACTAAACACAGATTGACACAGATCACTCTGTGTCAAAATTCCACATAGTAAGTATGCGGAAAAATTAAAAACGAAAGTACGATATTACATGTACGTACTGAAATTCAGAGACCTACAGCATGGTCTGTGTATAATAGTCCGCATTCTGGTTCGAAATCCCTAAAATCCAAGCGTGCTGGGTTGCTACGCGGTGTATGGGGTCTTTAGTATACGCTCTGTATACTGAAGTCCGTATTTACTATTCTTGTTCGAACCGACAGTGTATCAGTATACAGAGCGTATACTAAAGACCCAATACACCGCGTAGCAACCCAGCACGCTTGGATTTTAGGGATTTCGAACCAGAATACGGACTATTATACACAGACCATGCCTACAGAGACGGCTACCAAGTACCAACTTCTTTGCACCAGACAACTGTTTGGTTGGAGCATTTTGTTAAAGATAAAGATAATTAACAATTCTTCTCTGGTTAACTTCGCCAATGCCACTGGAAAATGGTATTGGATTGTGAAATTGGAAAAGTGTTACGTACGCTTTTTTTGGTTTTTGTCTCTGCTGTGGAAATGTATGCTCTGCTATGGAGCGTGCATCGCTTGACGATCAGTTAATTGCAGCACCTCGCGCTTCGCGCTCGGTGCAAATAATTATGCAGCACTGCATAATACTGCAGCAGTATTATGCAGTGCTGCACTGATGCCTTGCGCAATATAAATGCCATTCATGCGCCAGAAAATGTATAAGCTGATAATCCGGCAAAAAAACAATTCCAATCTACCAACACTGCACAGCGTCAGCCGTCAGGAATGAGTACGAGTATTAACGGGTTATCTCACTTATCTGTTATCATTCGGGCGCAGATCAGAAATGTTCTGATCTGCGCCCGAATGGCAACCGCCGTAGACGTTGTTTCGCACGTCACCAATTACAGGGATTACACAGTGCACCAAAATGGGAACTACGCATACGCTACGTATCACGTAAAGATTGGCGCATGGTAGGCGCACTGTAATACTGGGGAGTGGGGACACTAACTGACCGCAGATTTTACCGAGCACACTACTCTTTTTTATCAGGCATGTGTCTTTCGCTTTGTAGACCTTGGTTTTCTGTTAATTTTCATGTGCCACCCGTATTTGCAGACAGCACGGTTTGCAAACGCGCCCTAATTAAAAATTACAGTAGGAGTACGCGTTGCTATGGAGCAGCCACGACTTCCCGGCTACTCGAAGGCTACTGAGTCCAACCGCCCTCGGGCGGCGTGGCGGCGCAGATCAGAATTCTGATCTCAGGAATGATCTGAGCTGTTCATGAGGATCGTCCGATTAAATCATGATTGGCTTACCCATTGAACGCTAACGGTGGGCGTTAACCATATTTGTGCACCGAGCGAGCGCTAATTCCACTGAAAAATGGTACTCGTACTGGAAAATATTTGGAACTGGAAAAGCGTAACGGATTACGGACAAAATTTTATCATTGGAGATTTGACGAAGTCTTCAAAGCTTATTGCAGCACCTTGTAGACAAAAAATTCAATGTGGCTTCGTGCTCCGTAGTCCGTAGTCGTACCACGTAGCAGGCGTTGCAAAGCATTATTATTATACTTGTCAGTTGACGCTGTAATTATATTCAAATGCCTGTTGACCTTGCAGTTCGAAGAAAGTCTTCTGAAGGGCAAGTACTCTGTACTTGCTCGCGTTTACCAGAACGCCTGAGAACGGTCGGAAACACGAATCTTGACTGTTATGATGGCGGATTTGTTGCGTATTACATAATACAGAAACACTGTACAGTACATAACTAATCGACAAGAGTAGTGCGGTAGCGTGTCCGACCATTTCGGCATGGGGACATTTCGGCATGAGGACATTTCGGCATGCCGCTATTTTTGCAAAAGTTTAGTTACTGTGCTTAGCTTGCTTAAAGTCCGCTGGGTGCGCACCGTCTGCTGCGTTTAATTTAATGTGCTATTTTGCAAAAACAACTTTTATGTAACATTTCCTAGCTTTGCGAAAATTCAAACATCTAATCCGCTAAGCGTAATTATTCTGTTAAAATTATTTAGTATAATCATGGCTGAAATAACATTCTCCGTTACTAATCGCAAGAAGAAAGTGTTATGCTACAAAGGTAACGAGTATATACAGCACTGGAAGACCGGCGATGACAAGAGTGGCGAGTGTGTTAGCTGGAGGTGCCGAAGTAAAGACAGCTACGGCGCCCAACTTCGTTACAGCACCAGTGAAAACGTCGCTGTTGAGAAAGCGCAACATTCGCATGCACCGGATGTAATCAAGGTTATCGCGAAATCTACGAGAGAAATCATCAAAGCCCGCGCGGCCAGTACCATGGAACGCCCACGACAAATTATCAGCCAGGTCCAGAATGGAGTTTCTGTCATTGCTGCAGTTAAAATGCCAAGCTACAATGCCCTTGCACGCTGCGTTCGACGAGAAAGAAAAGTAGCGGGAATGCCGACAACACAAGTGAAGCGTTGGGTGACATTGACATTGGTTATTTCCACAAACCTACAGACCGTGGCCACCCCATATTTATTGCTGATACTGGTGCCAAAGATTCGTATCGGATTATTGTGCTTGGAACAGAAGAAAGCATCCAGCACCTGGGAAAGGCAGAAGTGTTAATGAGTGATGGGACGTTTAGCATTTCGCCACCGCTGTTCACCCAGCTGTACACAATTCACGCTGACGTTTTGGCGCTACTGTTCCCTTAGTGTACGGTCTATTGCCAAACAAATCGGAAGTTTGTTACCGACGTTTCTTCCATATTGTTCACGATGCCGTTGTTGCGAAACTGGGCTTAGAAGGGGTCAGCCCCAAGTGGATGGTAATGGATTTTGAGCAAGCCGCTATTATTGCTTTTCGGACGGTGTTTCCAGGATGGCGCTTGCGAGGTGAACAAATTTTTTAAAGATGAAATTAATTAACAAAATCTATAAATAAACGTCTGTTTTTGGATTCTTGGAGTACCTTGCTTTAACAGAATTGAAATAATATTTGTAGTAGTTAACTTATAACGCAAATAAATTTAATGTAAAATATTTTTGTTAATAAAAGCAGTCATTTTATAAAATATGTTATAAATACGTAAATTTATGTTGTACATACACACGAGATTGAATTGTAATTCTCATAATTCTAGATTGTTTTTCTGGTTTTCAGTATGTAGTTTTTTTTAATTCTTTTGTTTGCCATTGCGTTTCATTTGTAATGCTATTTTTTAAATTGCAGGATGCAATTTTCATTTCGGTCAAAGCATCCACCGGAAGTTGGTTGATCTCGGCCACGGCACATCATACGCAACGGACGCAGCATTTAGCTTGGCCTGCCGGAAGATACTGGCTCTCGCGTTTGTTCCTACTGCGGATGTGACTGAACTGTTTGAAGAAATGGTCTTTGCGGCAGATTTTCCATTTCCGGCAGACAACCCGTTTCTGCATTACTTGAGGAACACATATGTGGGCCGTAAAGTACTGACGCCAAATGGATTTAAATTCAAAAAACCATTGTTCCCGGTGGAGTTTTGGAACTGCGTGGATAGACTGAGCGGTGACGTCCATCGAACAACTAACCGACTGGAAGCGTGGCATCATGCTATCGAAGATACCATCAATCGAGACCATCCAGGAATATATGACTTCGTGGATTTGATTCGCTTAGAGGTCTCCCACCAAGAAACGAACACCGCCGATCGAATGGCCGGTACGTCTGGCCCTAAGCCACGGCGTAAGTACGCCGAGTTGACCAAGCGGTTGAAAAGCGTGCTTGGCCAGTACGATATAATGGGGCATTCGGATTTTTTGCGTTCTATTGCGTTAAACCTGGAAATCCTTTTGAGCCGTTAAATACAGCTACGGTAAATGCAGCAAATCATAAGTTTTTCATACATTTTTTGTTGGCCTTAAATAGCGTCAAACGCATTCTCCACTGTTTTAGTGCAGGTATATTCAGTGTTCACGGTACTTGCTGTATGTGTTCGTACGGATGTTTGTAAAGTCGTTCAAGTGTAGATTTGTGTTCATTACTTAATGTTTGTGCTTGACTTACGTGGTACTTGTGTGTACATTACCGTATTATCGCATACTTGTTTTTTTAGAAACTGTTCAATTTAGTTTTGCTGCGTTATCATTCGCTGTCTCTAAATGTGCCATTCATTGTTTCTGGATGTATTGTAAACTTCCTTCTAGTTTTGTTTTGTTTATTTATTTTGTTTAGCGTCACAACCGTTTGTCAGTCTTAACTCAATAACAATACTTAAATATGGTATTCCGAAATGTTTATATACCGAACGATGTACTGTAGGTAGGACTATTGCTTCTGAAATTATAGTAATAGACTAATAGTACCTAAAATTAAAGTAATTGTGACAAAGTAACCGTATGCCGAAATCTAGTATGCCAAAATTTAAAAGCAAATAGTATATGCCGAAATGTCACCATGCCGAAATTTCTTTATGCCGAAATGTCTTATGCCGAAATGTCACAATGCCGAAATATCTTTATGCCGAAATGTCTTATGCCGATATGTCCTATGCCGAAGTGTCCCTATGCCGAAATGGTGGCGCACCGTGCGGTAGGACTACAGACAGTTGCAAGCAAACGTATCCCCCTCGGGCTTTCATTTGTATTCTTACATAGTTGGCATGACTCGCCAGTCGCCACTACCGCTACGCTATGTAGAGTCACAGACTTCGTATTCAACTGCGCAGTGCTTGTAATTGTTCGATTTCGGTGTTGCACACGTTTATTTAAGAAATTCTCAAATTTTAGCATAGGAAGATGCAGTTACTCCTTATCGTACTGTTAACAGTATCTTTATCTACTGTTGACAGTCGACCCGTCATCCCACCATACGTTGCAGGACCAAATGGGGAACCGATTCCCGTGGGAAATTTCAATGACCTTTGGCAACATCTCCAGTATCATAATTTCTATGGGCCACATAGATCGAATTATTATCCTGGATTCTATGGAGACTTAGACCCCTATAAAAAACCATATGAATATCCTACTAATCCTCCTGATCCACAGGAGGAGAGGAATAAGTTTATAATTCCCTTATGTATTATGGCGGTGGTGATCTTTGTGGCCTTACTGGTGGGATTATTTTTTTATTTACGTAAAAGAAACCGATTGTGCTTTAAAAAGAATGTTATCGAATCGGCACTCCCGGATTTGACTGAGACGGAATGTTTTGCAACAGCTCCTCCAATGGAAGACAGCGATAGCGAGTCCCCGCCCCCTACATACGGTGTCCTTTTTCCATCCCATAAAGTGCGTGTGACCGACTTACTGTATAATTGGTGGCTATACTGTAGCCTATAATCTTTATTTATCATGCCGGTCTACGCCTCCTGTTCCACCCGGATAGCCAATGACTTAAGTCGAAAATCAACAGGAACTTGAGTGTTACAAATTTCACACGAATATGTATTCGTATTCCAATTGAGGCGCTGTTACAATTCTGTCTACTTATCAATTATGTAAATATTTCAATACTATGATTATTTGAGAGCATTTGGCTATGATCTGTTGCGATAGCTGAATAATTTCGTACGATACAGTACTTCATGCTTTACTACAATAAAAAACGCAGTTACTGAAGCTTCATTTTTCCAGAAATTAACTCGATCAGCGTCTAGAAAGATAAAATAAACCAGAAACTGAATTAATCGAAAATTAGCGGTATGCAACAACAACGGTGAAATGTGTACTAGCCAGCCGCCCGCCCACGGCGTCCGTGACAATACCGATCCATAGGCCGCGGGACACGGACACGGCACTGCCAAGAAACAAAACTAGCCAGCTACAAATCAAATGACAACAGCGCAACCAGCCCAAGCGCCCTTCACCGGGCCTCCGCGGACACCGAGCCGAAACGCCTGCCACCGCGCCAACCCAAACCCTCTTTTTCCTAGCAGCTCGCCACTGATCTCGTCCCCTTGACGATGCATGTATTCACTGTACAGATTAAACAAACATAAAAGGAAGAAGACGCTCGAGTGAAGACCTGCGCCGGACGTCTGTCTGTCAGACACTGTCTAAGCAGAACAGAATGCAGCACGCAGCGCGGAGAAGGATTCGGTCGACAGTCCGCTTACACGCCGTTCCACCCGTACAACGCCGACCAGCCACAGCCAAAACGATGAAATGCTATAACTACGCCCCACCATCCCATCCTGCAGCAGCAGTATCCCAGCCCGAATTCCGTCCCGACCCGTTCCCGTTCACACACCCAGACCCGACAAGTCAGAGCAGCTCGTACTGCCGTAAATGCATCCTCTGGATAATGTCGCGGCAGTCGTTGAAGACACGCCGAATGTTCTCCGTGTCCACGGCCGTTGTGAAGTGTGGATAGCAGAAGTGCTTCCCGTCGTTCGATGCCGTGCTGATCCTCTGAAAGCGTTCAACAATAATTACCACAAAATCTAACTGCCACAATTATTGCACACCAAAGTACAAAAGTACTGAAAATTAGTTAACCAAATTATCAACAATTAATCAAAGAAAATATGATGGCGGCTGCACGCTAAATCGCGATACTAAGTTGTTGGAATACTTGTTAGGTTTAGTATGCATGTATTCGGAGGATTCAGATTTTGACAATATCGGTAGAGCCTCTTGGAATTTTTTCTTAAAAAATGTAAGGATCCATCACAGGGTATGTTTATTGTTCTGGTTAATTACTTGCTGTATCGTTTTAACAAACTGTTTCATTGTGTATTATTTGAGCTATTTTTAATTCTTGTCTGTCCTGGGCGCAATCGATTACAAGGATAACACGAAGACGCGTTCAAATTGAATTTTACAGTAGTTAGTAGTACAACCAACATAGACTTAATTACATAATTCGTATTACGGTAATCATACAATAAACAAACGAAAACAACGTCACAAGTCCCAATTGCCGACAACAATATTTTTTAAAAGTTGGAAATTTAAACTTTACTGCAGAAAGGCATACGAAACAAATACAAAGTCTAAAAAAGTTGAATTAAATGGTGGCATACTGAGTCCAAAATGGTTTCATAAAGATGGTATAAGAAGCCAAAGTTGGTAAATTGTGGTATGCAGAGCCTTCACCATAATAGAAATTACAACCGTAGTAAATAGCTAAAATGTCTCATATTAATTAGCCATATACTATTAAAAAAATATTAAGTGAACAAAAATGAGAAATATCAGTAACAGCACTACTAGTACTCGATCGATCGTACCAGAAATTCATCGCGGATGAAATACTTGGCACGTACGACTTCCGGATGTTCTCCGGGCTCGGCTTTCGCTATAAAAACAGAATACAAAAAACTGAGGACCACACAACGAGCCAGCGGAACGATCCAAGCGGACTGACCATCGGGCGGCGTGACGTAGCGGCCGAACTCGGGGAAGTAGAGCTCCAGCTTGGAGCGGCCAGCCAGGATCTTCTCCTGCAGCTGGTCCATCTTGTTCAGAAACAGAATCACCGATATCGTCCGCAGCCACCTGCAATGCACAACCAACGCTGCATTCTTCCTCATTTTTCTTAATGAAGTGAAATGCACAGGCTTCGTCGATTATTATTCAGCACTTTTGTTAATTCAATCTTATTATTTTTAACAGAAATGACGTAACATTTTGTTTTAACTATCAAGTAATATTTTCGCTAGTTTACAGTTAGTCCATTTGTGATAATCAACGTTAATATTATGTTATTATTGTTGCTCATTAACCGATAAACAGTTGCACAGTTTTATCGAGCTACCAATGAACCTTTTTGTCTATAAATTAACAGCAGCACAATTTCTGATACATAAAATAAATTAATATGTATTCTTGTTGTTGATTATTCTATCATAATTTTCCAAATACGTAAGTAATATTTACCGCTGTTCGTTATAATTGAATAATCTGCTTAATTAGTTCTGACTATTTTCTTCAGCTTCATGCTGCGCCGTGAACAAAGGAGTGAATGGCACTGTGACTGACCGGTTGTTCCATATGCTCTTGAAGAGGTCGAGAGATTCCTTGAGGCGGTTGGTGGTGATGTCCTCCATGAGGACCATGTCGTAGCTACTGGAGGACGTCACGTAGATGATGGCGGTGACGTCGTTGAAGCACTGGATCCACTTGCGCCGCTCATCCCGCTGACCGCCCACGTCGAACATACTACACGCACACATACAGTAAAGACGCACCGTTACTTTCCCATCACGTCAACTCAAGTTATAATTCCTTCATGTATTACTACTGCTCTTGTGCTGGTCAATTTATACAAACACTACATTTAACAAACTCGTGAGGTCTTGGTCGGGAAATAATTCAGCAAAAATTAGATAAAGGAACGATTTTATGACACTTAACCCCGCTTTATAATGATGGCGTTGGCACGATGAATAACTGTACAAATTAGGATTCGGAATAAATTGAATGAAAAATATGAAAATAAATTAGAAAAACAATTATTGTCAGTATAATTCACATGAATACGTTTCAATTAAATAACAACGAATGTAATTCTGACTTCTGACTACGACAGCACTCACTGGAAGTTCACTCTGTCCACGGTGAATTTGGTTTCGAAAATGCCGGAAGTCTGAACGCGAGCGCGAAGGATATCCTGCAGGCGGACAAACCAACACACGTCACAATGCCGCTGACAATTAGCATTTACCATTGCCCGGGGACGGGTACGTACTTGCTCGGAAGGTGAGTAATCTGGACGACGAACCGATCCAATCTTATCCAGGAAGCTGCAACGACACACCGCCACATTATCCCACCTGCGGGCATTAAGGTAAGTAAGACGATCTGATCGTTGACTGACTATTTGGCACAGTCGATCAGCTGGTATTCGTTGTTGCGCTCGAAGCAGCGCTGCACGCCCTCGTCCGCCCACAGCGCCTCCGCGTTGTCCCAGAACTCCTACGGAATCACGTTGGCTCAGGTGTCACTAACATGTCTCGCCAAGGCAAGACAACGACTCAAACGACTCACTTCGGGATACGTGAAATTCTCCACGTTGGCGATGCTCTGCATGTAGTCGACGCGCGGCTTGTTCTCCGGCCGCTCCAGCGCAATCGGCGGCACCAGGATCGACATGGACCCCGTTATCACCTGCAATCACACCCAGACACCACTTAATTATTCCTGCCACACACTTCCATCTGGCAACTAAAGAATGCCATCGTTCCTGATGCCAATCAGCACAACATTCCACCCGTGCTTACCAATCCCATATTCTCATACGTATCCTCATCGTATCGCGCAAACCAACAGCGCGAAATACCAGCGTAACTACCTTCAAATCAACGCCTTATAACAACGCCCTGAATAACTGCAAATTCTCTCGATGGATAAGGAGAAACCTTGCGCCCGCGGTTAAATGGCTAAAATCAATTAAATTAAATTAAATTACGTTACGCAGCGCAGCCCTGACTGAGCTACATCCCTGCCTACGGCGACACCGTGCGCCCACGGAAATTCAACATGCTCCCGTCGGCGAGCGGAATAATTAGTGGACTACATTTAATTACAAGGCGTCCTGTGCCGTGCCGCTTCGCAAGCACATGGCAGCCGTTTCCATCGCGGCACACCAGCGCACGGGTAACGGGCAAGGCTCCAATCTAGTTCAACAGCACGCGCACGGCTGCGAATTGCGGAGCGGGACCGCCGCTCGTCCAGCTGCTGCAGGCTGCAGCACGGCCGGAAGCATGAAGCATCGTAAGTCGTAACCAGCCCACAGATAAGATAAGCCGCATCGTAAAATCACCACACACTGACACAGCCACACGGCTGGCAGCGTGTGTGGCCGCACACTCCCCTCGAACGACAGCTCCTGCTCTACTCCGGCCAATCCCTCATTTCTCACAATACACACGGACGGCGGGACGGTCAGTGTCAGCTGGTGAAACCAACAATACTACGCTCTAGAATCAACTGAAACCTTGCACATTTCCAGCTTCTAATCAGATCATTTCATTCATTTCAACATAAAACCGGGAAAGATTTGCAACGAAATATTTAGTTTTACAGTTGTTATTCAATTACAATTTAATTTATTCAATTACAATTTTAAGGGCAACAATTTTAATAAAATACAATGAACTAATTAATAACAACTGAAAAATACAAATACCATTATATCATTATTAGTAATCAATCAACTATTACGATTTCTTGAATTTCTTGGCTCACAACAGAAAAAATATTGGGACAATCAATTTTAAAAATGCATTTTCTTATTGTAAAACTACCACTTCATTTTAAAACAATTTTATTCCAAGTCGTTTAAAAAACCCAAAGCCGTTCGACTTTCAACCTTAAAACCGCAGTCATTTCCGCTGCGGCGATACCCCCAGAAAACCGCCTACAACATCAGCTCCACTCACCACAATAGAATCCTTAATATTCTTCATAATCTCCGCCGTCTTCTGCCGCTTTTCCCTGCAAAATCAAGCCAGCCATGAGCGTCTGCAGTAGCAACGCAGCGCGCAGGAGCGAGCTCACTCTTCATTGAAGCCCGCCACGTGCAGGATCCGCATCTGCTTCACAATGGTGCTCTTCCCCGACTCACCCGCTCCTACAACAGGCAAAATTTATTCACAAACCTAAAACTGCCAGAAACATAACAAGATAATCGCAGTCCAGCATTTAAACCGAATTTCAACAAGTCCCAGTACGAAACAGCAACAATCAGTCACAACCGTACGCAACAGGTTGTATCCCTGTACCCGCTGACGGTGTACTACGGGTGCGTACAGGCAGGCGATGGCGCGCGCCTCGCACGCCAGCAATTTTGCTTCCAGCACATTCAAACCGACGACCATCCCCGCGGACTCGTCAACAAACCGTTACAAACGGCAGAAACCCCCTGCAAACAGCCCCTTACCGAGGAGGAGGAGGCGGTGGGTGGCGCGATAGAGCTGCTTGTCGCGCTGCAGCTGCTGGTCGATCTTCTTGTTGGTCTCGCGCTGCAGACGTTCATCTTCGGGGTCGGTTTTGCTTCGCGAATTACTGAAGCATCCCATGCTGAGCAACATTCACCGCACACTCACGGCCACAATATCAAGCAGCGACGGGCCGGGCCTCAGTGGATCATCCTGGCCGGGGAAGGAAGAGAACAGATCAAGATTCAAGAGCGAGTGCTGCGACGACGGCCAAGCCTGCATTCGGGTACAGGCACGTTCTAACATGCGCGACACCAAATTACACTGACAGATCGCGTCCTTCTCAACGTGGCCAGCGCAGTGCGGCCGGGCGGGCAACTGACAATTATCTCCCAACAATCTGCCCCGTTTTATCCACCGTCTTCCATGCGCACGGAGAAATCAGGCGGACGACGAGCTGATCACACCGCTCTCGCGATCATTTGACGGATTTTTCGTAAATCAACACAAAACAATCCGAGAGCCCAGAAATGAATGAGCGAGTGACAGTGCGCACAGGCAGGCAGGCAGCTAACCTACAGGGAACTGACGACCGCGCGCCACGATTCCCACTGCAGGCCCTGCGCTCCGTTTCGCTACTCGGCGCGTGCCTCGCAACGGCCTGTACAGTTATCTGCTCGCCTTACTGGGGCTTCACCACTTCCTACCGGAATGCACGGGGGATGCGCACAGTTTACATAGTGCAATGATTTATTCTGTGGACGGCGGAATCGAGCGGAAGTTGGGCTCGATATTTGGGAGGCCTAATGAGTGAGTAATCAGGATTGTCCGGTGCGCAGCATTTGGAATACTTTATACTTCACCGTACGTTCTTCACTGTCTTAAAATGCACTGTTTTTAATGATTATCGACAGTTTGTTAACATAATAACTGCCAAGAAACCGATCTAGTCTTTTACTTCCAGTTGCAGCATAACTGCTGTCATAATATGATACTGTGATCAATTATTTCAGTTCAATTTCAATAATTAATAATTAACCTTGCATTTAGTTTTGGTTAAACCTGAACAACGAAAAATAGGCAATTAAATTATTAACGGCAAATTAAATAAAAACCAAACGTTATAAATTCTCCGTAGCCGGTGAATTCCGCTTCCGATTAAAAATAAATTCGTCAAAATAGAAACAGGCTTTGGCCGTAAGCAGTACTAACAAAATAGCAGTTAAAATGGGCGAGAAGCGCTGACCAGTGAGCACTGTAACACGAACACTCTGACAAATTGAGCGAGCACGAAGAAGACGTCGATGCGGATCATGCGGTTAGCCTAGTCGATAATCAGCAATTTATCCTTTGGTGACTTCGTGGATGGCGTGCGCCAGGTAGGCCACGTTCTTGGACGTCACGCCGGCCATCGATATCCGGCCGTCCTTCGTCAGGTAGATGGAGAACTCCTTCGTCAGGCGCTCAACCTGTAAATCAAATAATGATCAATTAAAATATCAACCAATGTAACGACTTCAATTTTATTTAATTTATTTTAATAAGTTCCTGACCGTGAAATAAACTGATGAAAATTATATAAATTAACGAATGCATTTATTTATAAATTCAACAGTAAGTAACCCAACCAAAAGGTCACTGCTGATTGTAGTTACCTGGGGCGGCGTGAGGCCGGTGAAGCAGAACATGCCAATCTGGTCGGTGATGTGGCGCCAGTCACGCGTGGAGCCCTCCTTCTTCAGATTCGCGGCCAGCAGCTCGCGCATCTGGATGATGCGCTCGGCCATCCCCTTGACGTCCTTCAGCCTACAAGCACCTTCCCGCTCAACGCCAACCGTCACCACAAGAACAAATTCGGCACTCTCACCACTGCGACGCCAGGTCCGGCGTGTTGAGGATGGTGGAGGCGATGCGCGCGCCGTGCACCGGCGGGTTGGAGTACATGGGCCGGATGAGGATCTTCAGCTGGCTCTCCACGGCCCTGGCCTCCTCCGCACTGCTGCACAGCACCGTGAAGGCGCCCACGCGCTCCCCGTACAGGCCCATGTTCTTGGCGAAGGACTGCGCCAGCACCACCTGGTGCCCGTCCGACACGAACTGCCGGACGGCCTGCGCGTCTGTAACACTCCAAACTGCATTTATTTGTACCGTGTTTGACCACTTTCGCTCTCACCGCGATCCGTGTCGCCGCTGGCGAAGCCCTGGTAAGCCATGTCGAAGTACACGAACAAATTGCGCGCCTACAACACCATTTAATTAGTTTTTATTTTTCCTACCCATACATCAAGCTTCAAGCAATATTCAATAACAAAAAAGAAATATTACTGAATATTTTACTGGTATTTTTATTTATTTTTATTAATATTCACCAACACATCAAGCAGTATTTTTAAGTATTTACAAACAAGAAATATTATTTACCTTGATAATCTTGGACATCTCGGCCCACTGCTCCGGTTTGGGATCGACACCGGTCTGTTACAGAAAAAACGAACGTCTCGTCCAGTGTTTTCACACGACTTCCGGTTCAGTGCATCTTACCGGATTGTGCGCACAGGCGTGCAGAAGAACGATGGACTGCTGCGGGATTTTCTGGAAAAATCAATTACAAACATTTTACCACCGTCTGACAAAAAACTGCAGGGATTTTTCGTAAGCGCGCTCACCGCTAAGTCTTGCAGAGCGCCGACATGGTCGAATCCGCAGGTCTTGGGATCGTAGTAGCGGTACTGCTTCACTTGCAGTCCGGCGTGCCTAACAACGCAAACAGTCAAGAATAAACATCCAATTGACAAGCGCTGATTAACCAACACCATCGCTGACAACATTTAACGGCGATGCATCGTACCGAAATATGGGCGTGTGGTTGCCCCAAGAGGGCGTCGGCAGGTACACCTCCTTGTTGCCTTTAAAGTGCTTCTCCTAAACCGCGCATCAACAACACCGTTAATAACGCCGTAGTCAAGCAACGCCACCGGTTATCTTAGAAAAAAAATTGTCAAAATTAATCAAAAAAATTCCCTTTACCAGAAACGCGGCGCCCACCCGCAGCGCCCCGGTCCCCGAGATGGCCTGCACCGTGACATTCTACAAGCAAAACGGACTTATATCCACTGCAAATACTGGCAACGAGTAGCGTACCAGTTTGTCCTTGATAACGTGGCTGTCGGGTCCGAAGGCCAGTTTGGCCGCGGCAGCGTTAAATTCCGCCAAACCCGCGATGGGCGCGTACTCCTTGTCCAGTCCCTGCTTGTGCAGCGTCTCCTCCGCCTGCCAACGCACAAAACACACACCCACACTCAGGCAACACGCACCGACCGCTAACTCAGCGTCTGTACCTTCTTGACGGAGGGCAGGATGAAGGGCTTGTTGTTGTCGTCGCGGTAGGCGCCCACGCCGAGATTCATCTTCTTGGGGTTGCTGTCGCGCTTGAAGGCCTCGGTGACGCCCAGGATGGGGTCGGGCGGGCCCAGCTCCACGTGCGCCCACCAGCGGCCCGGGTGGGCGCTGGCACTGGCGGACGTCGAGGGATTCTGATTGGTTTCCTTCGTGTTAGCGGAGGCCTGTCCGAAACACAACCACATCTGACACTGCTAGTCAGGACACACTTTCATCCTTGCTCATCGGAACATTTTCGCTAATTTTGGTTGTGCCCAACTGTCGACTCACCTCGGCGGAGGACGCGGCGCGGGCGGCGCTGGCCAGACTGCGCGCGGCCACCAGCCTGCAGCCCGCCGCCTGCATCTCCAGGCACCCCAGCCCCAGGCGCGGCAAATGCACGGCGCCCCACGAAACGGCCATCACACCGACAACAGCAATTGCAAGCAATTCAAGATCAATTCACGATGCTGCACTCCAACGGGCCTGCAACAATCCCAACGCAATCAACACCAGCCGCAGGCGCACTACTCGACACAACACCGTTTCAAAATCCAGCGATGTGATTGACAGCTGAAACTCGAAGACACTGCGTAGAAAGCTAAACAGCCACACAGCATCCACGACTTGACTGCGTGCTCTTATCGCTCAATCACGTCTAATCATGAATGATTATCGCAGTGATTATGCAGTAGCTACCTGACTTAGGAGTAGGCAATATTCACAATCCCACCGCACAGTCCATCCAAAATACTCAAATGCACAATTGAAAATCACAAGCAGATTTCAGATTTCTCAATGATTACCTCGAATATGTTTTCAAAAAATTTGTACCGATACCGTCGATACGAGTACGCAATTGAAATGATCTGCGTGCACGCATCGAGCGATAGCCAGGCAATTCATTTCCGCCATACGTGCGACCTGGGGCGGCTGCACGTTCCGCTCGGGGGAATGCGGCAGTTTTGCGACAGCCTGTGCAGGATGACTGCGGGCCGAACAGGCGATTCCAGTTTTTTTTCAATAACTTTAATCTTCCTTATCACACAATCTTTCATAATTTTTTTTCCCATGACAAATAAGAAATCTTAAAAACAAATGAATCATAATGCAAATGATGGACTAATTGCTACGCAGTACGTGCCACGCATACGCAGCGTAAACCATACGCAGACTGAACGTACGGCGTAGAGCGCATCAGCACTGGAAAATCACCACTGCTTTACATATCGCGCTGCACCGTGGGGAATTGCCAAACATTCGCATGTGTTTCGCAGTTTCTTTATATCGCGCTTCACACCTGCTTGATTGCTCACAGTTATTAATCATTTCCAGTTTTATCCCCATCTAAAATTCCTTTCGAATTGAGTTGTCAGTTGTGGATCTGAGATTTTTAACAAGTATTCTGCATAGTACAGTAAGTAGATGGAAGCAGCAGTTGTGCGCTGAGTTTCGCCGCGGATAAACTGATAGCCTGTGCCCTGTGGGCTTGTATACGATTGACAACACTACTTTGTGGATGATTTCCACTGAGCTTACCGTTGTTGTAGCCTTCATTCCGTTTTATAAAATTGAGCGGATCTGCGTTAATCGGCGGAGAATTACTGGATATTGAGTTGCGGCGCGCATTGCGAGCGCTGATCAAACTTGTGCTGATCGATCGAAAATGACGTCGTTCGTGAAAACACAGCTGACCAACTACCTCGCCAAGTACGTACCGTCCAGCGTCGTTCCGTTCAGTGGCGTAACGCTGACGAAATGTTGTGTGCAGGTTCATCAAGAACTTCGAGCGGGACCAGCTCAAATTGAGCGTGACGAAAGGACGGTGCGTATGGGACATGTATACGGTGATTATTGATTTGACGGTGTGTGTTGCAACGCGCTGTTTTAACTGCAGTTTCGAGCTGACGGATCTGGACTTTGACGAGGACCTGCTGACCAACCTGATGGAGCTGCCCACCTGGCTCAAGGTGGACCGCATCTCCTGCAATCGCCTCTACGTCAAGGTACAAACCAAATCGATACCAAACATGCTTAATTAAAGAAAACCAATAAAGAAATTTTGATGTATTTTTTCCAGTTTTTTAGAAATTAACAGGCTTAGTTTGTAAGTGGTTTATAGCACTTATTAAGAGTAATGAAAATGCAAGTAAAGTAACGTAACTGTTTTCTTCGTCGATAAGAAGCTACGCACCGCGGAGATATTGTTGAAGAAATAATAACCAACAATATCCAAAAATAGAAATAATATATTGATTAAAGTGTTTTTTGCCGTTGAATATTGTTTGTTTTATGATCAATAAATGCTATTATTTTGTGATGGTTTGTTGACGGTGTGTTGGCGTTTGTTTGGGTGTAGATTGGTTGGCGGAAGATCCAGTCGCTTCCCTTGCACATCGTACGTCCGGCGCATGACTGCGTTAATTTGTAGAAATGTGGGTGTTACAATGTGTTGTGCTGGACAGCACCTGGACGAAGTGACGGTGCAAATGGCCACCTGTCCGGAGCTGCGCACCCCCACGCCGCCCGTCTCCGTCTTCAGCATGCCCGACATGCCCGAGTACGTTATCCAATTTATTTCCACTTACAATTTACTAAAAAAACATATTTTTTTCTTAATTGTCTTCACAATTTATTCAACGTACAACTTACTTACAATTGTTTTAATATTTTTCCAAATTACTTTAAATTTATCACAGAATACATTTTAAATTTTTCTTTGATTTTATTTCCAATATGTCCAACCATCTGTACTTTCCGATTTAGGTATTCTGCTGAAGATGTATTTTTTTCAGATTTTCTTTTCAATTTTTTCACCTGATAGCTGTTGTTAATTTATTTTTAATGGTGATTTGTTGATTGGCGTGTTGCAGGATGAAGTACCGGCTGCCGCACAAGATCCTGGACGGCGCCATCATCACGATGAACAAACTGCGCATCTCCTTCGTCACGCAGCTGATGAAGGCGGAAATCGAGGTCCCTGGACTGTTCTGATTTCTTTTTGGTTATTTTATTTCATTTCGGTATGTTTGCTGTGCAGTTGCTGCAGCTGCGCACCTACCCGTCGACGCCCGAGTGGCAGCAGACCGACAACATCGCCAAGAGCCGCGTCAAGAACCAGGACCTGGACGAGACGCTCATCTTCCGCCAGCTGGACTTTGACTCCATGAAGTGCGAGCTGGCCAGCACCGGCGACAACGAGAACCAGTCGCAGCCCATCGCGCTCATCACCAGCGATGACAATGTCCGCATCATCATGAAACGCCGCCTCTCCGGTAGGTTTATTCCAAAATAACACATAAAAAACGTTTTAAATAATTCAGATCGAAAAACAATTTTTTTCTAGCTACATAAGTGGGGTTGGAAAATAAGTTTTTCCAACAAACACAACTTTTTCCAACTTACTGTACGTTTTCTTTCATATTTTTCAAACTTAGTTTCAGTTTTTTAAAAGTATTCTTCAATTTTAGTCTAAATTTTGATACATTTTTCTCAGTTTTATTTGCAGTAAATTTAATTCGTCGTTGGATTGACCTTTTTTGTCTAAATTTGTTTGAAATGTTTAGATGTAATTTGTTGCTGGTTTGACCTTTTCTTGTGGCTTTACAGATGCCGCTGTTCTGGCTGTGAAAATCGGTGGGTGTTTTTCTGGCAGCCGTTGACGGAGCCGGTACTTAATTGAGTGCGAATTGTAGATAATATTCTGGAGAAAATCCAGCTGAAACTCAGCGAGACGGAGATGAAATCCGCGGTGGAATTCGTGCGCGACATCATGGCGCTGATCGAGGCGTCCACGGCGCAGACGCGCATCCTCAAAGCGCAGAACAAATACGTCGCCAAGCAGAAATCCTCCAAAACGGTACGATATGTATTGCGCTGAATGCCATTTACAGTAAATTCCATGCAATTTGTATTTGATCTCCATTTAATTTCTGTTTAACTCCCGTTTTGCTCTGTTTTAATTGCAAGCTAACTGCAGTGTAACTGCCAATTAATTGTAGCCTACAGTTTAATTTCCAATTAATTTCAACTGTAATTTCCATTGAATTGTGATTAATGTTTCATTTAGTAATAGAATGTGAGAGATATGCTTGTGACGTGTAGATGGACGAGTTCATGAAGAAGCACGTGGGGGAGGAGTACAACGCGCAGACGGAGAAGCGGCCGCACTTCAAGGACGCCAAGGCGCGCTACTTCATGCGCAACACCATCTGGGAGAGCTCGCAGCACCTGCTCTTCAAGACCATCGACCTGCTCATCATCCACGACAACGCCATGCCCGAGTCCTTCCCCGAGTACAGGCAGTACAAGCGCTACGCCGGCGCCTCCATGACGTTCCACATCGAGAACCTCCGGGCCGGTACGCCAGCGCTAATCCGCTGGAGAAAATTCTTATTAGTATCTGCGTATCGTTTACTTTAGTTGCCTGTATCTGTATTGATGAACAAATTGAAAAATTGTTTAGAATTTATTGATCCATATTTGTAATTTTATTATTATTAATTTATTCTGATCATACGAATATTTCATGAGAGAAACACATGTATTGTCTTGTAGATGTGTATCCATTCCACTTGGTGTCGGAGAGCGCCAACAGCTGGATGGCGCGCCAGCACATGGTGCCGGGCAGCGAGGTGTGGCGCTCGGCGCTGCTCAGCGGATACCGCCGCGAGCTCGGTCAGTCTTTGTCTTCCCGTCAGAAGAACAAATTTTGCTTTGACTGCAATTTATAGTTTTTTTGGGGATTTTATATATACTGTAATATCCTTGGTATTTTACGTATGTTTTTATCCATGGGCAGCCAGCGTCAACAGCAGTCTGTTCGAGGAGGACGTCAAGCACCTGATGTCGTCGACGGTAAAAGAGCGGTACTGGCGTTTCATAGTTTGCCTCGAACATGATTGTGACCGGTTGCGATATGCAGATTGTGGTGGGCATCGGCGACATGACCATCTACCCGCTGATCACGGCCAAGGACGTGCAGTGCGGCAACCGCCCGCAGGAGCTGCCCTTCCTCAGCTTCCAGAAGACCGAGTTCGGCCTCCCCAGCAGCATCCCCGCCATCGAGCTGTGCCGCACGCAGTACTACTACGCCAAGCAGGTCCAGTGGCCCGGTAAGCCGTTAGCGTTGCCATAATGAAAATAGCTTTTATTTTGTCGTCATTGAATATACGTATATTTGTGCTGATTTTATTCCGTTATTGTGCGCAGTGCCCAAAGCCAGCTTGTTCGTGTCGGTGTCGCCGATGCGCATCGCCTTGGACGCCAAGACCGTCGACTGGATGACGCTCATGTCGCTGCACGTCGCCTTCGACTTGATCAAGAAACTGCGCAGTCTCGAGCTCTTTGTAAGCTCTGTGCAATTGAATCCCAATTGATCCTCATTCCGTTGGGTTGTTGCAGATGGTGGGCAGTCCCGAGCCGTCGACGGTGAAGACGCTGCTGCGCGTCGAAGCCTACTTCCCCCGGGTGCGTCCCGTTCATTTGGTTTCCAATTTGATTTGTATTTCACTGTTTTATGTTTTCCCTATTTGGTTATGTAGATTTTCTTCCCGAAGTCCTTCGAGAGCGAGGAGGGCCGTCGCTCGGGGATCCAGCTGCAGATCGCCTCGCTGGTGGTGTCCAACACCTCGGTGGGCCAGAGCAAGACGGTGGAGGAGGCGCTGCCGGCCATTCTGCAGACCAATCTCTACGCGCACCCCTCCTTCCCGCCCAACATGCCGGCCGACTGGTCGCTGCCCGACCTGGTGCAGCACATCCGCTCCTTCTACCAGGACCCCGCGCGCCGTCCCTCCATGATGTTCATCCAGGCCACGGTTAGCCACACAAGCATGCACTAGCATACTCAGCATTTACTCGCAATTATTTTCACAAACAGAATTCCTTTCCTAACTGTTAAATTATTTTCTTTAATCAAAAACAAGATTAAATTGTCATTAATATCCGTGTCCTTTTTCCGGCAGGATTTGTGGGCGGGGGCGGTGACGGAGGAGCTGGGCAGCAGCGTGCCGATCCCCTTCGTGGACGCCGTGCCGGTGCAGATGTGGCTGGTGCCGGGCAACTTCAACGTGTCGCAGCAGCGCAAACTGGTGTGGGGCGCCGCCGTCGTCTGCGTGGACGCGCCCACCCTCCGCGTCCAACTCAACGACTACATCCTCAAGCTGCTCAAGCAGGTCTCCGAGGGCCTGGTGCGGCTGGGCGACGTCGGCGCCGAGCACATGGTCAGCCCCGTTGCAACTAGTATTTGAGTGAATAATTGCTAATAAATCTGCTGGATTGCAGGCGATGCTGCCGCAGCTGGGCTGCCCGGATCTGGGCCTGTGTCTGCTGATGCAGCAGGAGAACGTCGAGGTCTCCGTCGTCCTGCAGTCGCAGTACGGACAGGCCATCAGCGCCGGTAAATTTAACCAAATTGTATCTTAATTAGCAGAATTAATTTATAATTAAAATACATTCAAATAGATTTGAATTTCTTAATGCATTACAAATTCCTCTTGATGTTGTGCAGGGGAAGCGCTGAACATCTCCAACTTGAGCATCGCCAAGGAGACGGCGGCGACGATGGCGGAGAGCGGGTCGTTGCGCTCGCTGTCGCTGTCGCAGCACCGCGACAGCATCGACTCGACCACTTCGGCCAGCGATGTCAACATCCCGGCGTCGGCGGCGGCGCTGAGCGCGCAGCAGTCGGCGGTGCAGATGGCGCGCGACAACCCCGTCGGGGTCAGTCCCCTGACAACGATCACCAGCAGCGCCTCTATCGACAGCGCCGCCACCAACCGCACCAACAACACCCAACCCGCCTCCCTCGATAACAACGCGCCCTGGTGGAAGCAAGGTCAGCTAAGAAAAGCAGGAAAATATTCATTTAATCTAAGAGAAAGCCATCAATGCACAACAGCTAAGAAGCAGCTGAATAAGAATGTTGGCTGTTGTGTGTGTGCAGCCAAGTACTTCCGGGAGTCGGACAACGAGTCGGAGGACGTGTTCAGCGAGGTGAGCAACCTGGAGAGCGCCAGCGAGACGGGCTCGGCTTATGATTCGGACGAGGAGAGCGCGGCCGGCTCCATCACGGGCGGCAGCGTCGTTACGGATGATTCCGCCTGGGAGAGCGAGCTGGATTTGACCGAGGCCGAGCGCTTCAACTGGAAGGCCCTCGCCAACGCCCGCAAGACCCTCCCGCTGCCCGACGTCCCAGTAAACAACAATACAACAATTAAAAAATAATAATATGTACAATTTTTTTATATACATACAACTTTTTCTAGACGTACAACTAGGTATGTACAACTTATGTACATACTACATTTTCTACTCTAGACGTAATAATTATGTGCAGCTTTTATAGGCCTTGCTTTCGATTTGTTTAGTGGATTAACTGAACAAAAAAACGATATTATTGTAGACGTCCTTGTTCGTGGCCACGCTGAAGTCGCTGCAGACCTACTTGATGATTTCGCACGGGCACGTGCTGGCCAAACTGCGACTGGGACAGGTCAGTACAATGGGCGTTTAACTGCTGGAAAGTACGATGCGAACTGAGTTGTTTCTGAAAACAGATCGTTACGGCGGAAAGTCGCGATGTGGCGCTGCGGGAAGTGCCCAGTGTCCCGCTGCCCGGTAAGCCAACAGGCAACAACCCATGCTATCAACCACTGAAATTTATTTTATTAGTCAAAAGGAAACAGATTCTAGGAATAAAAATTAATGTGTTCGAAATAAATTAACATCATAATTTACACATCGAGAATACAGTCGAAAAACTATTTGAAAGATAAAATTAATGGAAAAAAAGCTGAATTTAGAAAATCGAAAAAGAAATTTCCAGTTCCTTGAAAATAAATGATCCTTCGGATTAAAAGAAAAAACTGACGAAAACAAAATTATCAAAAAGCTTTTCAACAAAATAAAATGCTGTTATTTGGCTAAATAAAAATAAATCGAAATAAATAAAGAATACCAGAGAAAAAACCTGTTAAAAATGTGAAATGCAATAAAATGGAAGAAAATAATATTTGTTAATTGCTTTGCCGTTTGTAAACAAAATGAAAATGTAATGTGATGTAAAATTGAAAAAAAAGAGGATAATCTAATGAGATGAATAAAATATTCTGAAACATATTTCACTGCGTTAACAGAAGCGGATCTGGACGTGAGTCGGCCAGAGTACCTGGACAGCCTGCTGCTGCGCTTCGAGCGCGGCAAGTACGCGCTGCACGGCGACGCGCCGGGCATCACGGCGGTGTGCCGCGGCCTGGACGTCCCCGTCCAAGGGAAGACCTTCCGCCGGCTGATGGCGCTGCTGGACGAGGTGCAGAAGGCCGCCGCCGCCCAGCCGTCGGCCCCGGCCGCGCCCCCTGGCCGCCGCCGACGCGGAGGGCGCGGTGTGCAGCGAGGAGCAGTACATCCTGAAGGGCGTGCCCATGATCAACATCCGCCTGATGAACATCCACTGCCGGCTGAAGGACGTCATCCAGCAGCTGGCGCCCGTGGCGGGCGACGGCACGGCGACGGGCGGGGACGCCGTCAAGGATCTGTCGCTGAAGTTGACCGGGATCAGTGTGCAGTCCAACGCCGATGGACAGATTTGCGTCAGCGCCGCGCACGATGAAGGTCAGCTGAGAAACTGGTTTTTCTAATTTTATGAACAAGAAAAATATAAATACATACAGCTAGTTTTAAATTTTGTGAATTGTTTTTGTAATAACAGGAACAGTACTATACTATTAATAATCAGTTTGATATACGAGCACTAACAGAAAATTTTCCAATTTTTTTAGTTGCTTAATTTTTTAAAAATAACAAAAATTCTAAAATAAAACAGGAATGTTAACAAACTAAAATAATAAGGAAACAGAAAGTAAAAATAGAAATCACGATGATATGATTTGCTGTTTTTTTTTATTGTCTGTTTTGATAACGTGTGAATTGGAATGATAAGAAAATGCAGCACAATGTAATAATGTTAGGGAATATAAATAAAAATGGGCGAATTTTAATTAAAAACATTTGTAATATTAATAATAATAAAGGAATTAATTTTTTCAAAGAAAGTTACCATAAGAAAATGTTAAGAAAATGGGAAAAATAAACGGATGAAACGGCGTATCTTTGTATTTAATTTTTCACTGAATAATTGTGAAAAAATGTGGTTAATTAATTGCAGAAGCGGCCGAGGACGAGGAGATGTTGGGCCTGTCGCCGGGGCTGATCAAGCGGCAGCTGACGGCGCTGAAGGAGCGGCAGGCGCGGCTGGAGCAGCGCATCCGCGACCTGCACGCCCGCCTGCCGGCCGCGAAGGATGCCGGCGAACATGAACGTCAGTAGCGAGGTTTGGCCAGTTATCTTGCTTACATTAAGCAGCCGCTGACGTGGTTCGTTTCCTGTTTTTTTTGCGTGCAGCTCTTCTGTTTTTACCAACCAGGTTGGTGTGTGTTTCTGTTAAATTCTTTTTTGTTGGCGTTTAACCAGTGCAGTTGTGGCAGCTGCTGGACAACCTGAGAAAAAGCGGAATTATTCGGTAAAATTGTCTTTGAAAGAATGGTTCCGCATAAGGCATAATCAATTGTATTATTACGTATTAATTTTGGTTGTACTACCCTAACCCTAGCATTTTTGTGTTGTGGTCGTTTCTTTCGTTCTCAAAGTTCCTGGATGAATGAATGCCCATGTGTAACCTGGACTGCGAGATAAATGTGTGTTTTTCAAAAGAAATGTAATCAATTTTCCAGCCTAAAGAATAAAGATGCAGTGCGGAACGAACAGACGAACGTGATTCATATCCCGCACTTTTCTTAATCGTCTCTTATTGCTAATTAGCAGTACCCATTGATATTTCTTATTCTTAACATTCTGTACTTATTTGAACTAACTCGAAGTACTGTACATGAGGCTTCTTCTTAATGCTTTCGTTTGTAATTAGTACAGTACTACAGTATTACCTCAGTATTAACTAACACTACATTTATGTATGTAGTCTTAATTACAGTATTTTTTAAAATAAATTTCTAAACGAATATTTAAATTATTACGGTACCGTATGTAGTTATTATTTTGTTAGAACTTAGAACCGCTCATTCTTCGTATTATTGCTAATTACGGTAGTAGTAGTCATTATTAGTGTATTAGTTAGTACTAAACAGAATCTGGTATGGATTTGATCAAGCCTTGCGAATTGCAATGCGTTGAAGAATGCTGTCGGCCGGGATGGTTGTCCGTTAATAAAATTGCCGCATACATACTCATAATTTTACGGCGTACGACAGAGCTGTACAATGTACATGTACAATACACTGTACTGTAGCATTACTTGCATACATCGGTTATCTCACTAGCTCCACCGTCCGCTCACAGCATTCAACAGCAAAGCCGCCGGACCAGGCCAGCCGCCATCAGCGCAATGCAGCGCAGATCACGGTGTCAAGAGGCAGGTGACCTTTGCATATATGCCAGGAATGCAGCGGCACGGTGATTTAATGTGGTTTGGCCGGCTGACGCGTTGCAAACTTGCAACTATGCCGCAGTGATGCGGTATGGCCGGTTTCCCAACGGCCGCTCCTGCTGGCCAAGGCCTGCAGTTACTCAGTCGCTATCTATTATTATATACACCGCACACAGTACGTACCCAGGCCAGGGATTAGCCAACGGCCAGCGTACCGACCGGCCTGTCCGTCCGGGGCCGCGGCAGTCTCGGTTCGGTAGTGGTCGGCTGACGGACTGCATGTGCGACAGCCCAATACGCAGCCGCAGCTGTAGTGTACATCTGTGTGCGTATAGCTATCTGCGGACTGCGTCGTTTAATACGCAGTGAAGAAGTGGAATTGATCGGCAGTGAACGGTTTGCCCGTTGCCAGCGTTGTCCGAGCTGCACCACAACGCCAGCTGAACCGACGGTTAACGTTACGCCCGCATTAACCTGCACCGAATAACTCACAAGGGACGACGCCGCTGCGTGGTCACTGGTGAGCCGTGCTGACTGTGCAGCATTACAACCATTTGAGCGAGTGCGGATGACTGGTGGTTACCACAACGAAATGACGACGTCCAGCGCTAGAATTCTCCGGCGTTAATTAGCCATAGATCGATCGATGTAATTATTCTACTTAATTCCGCATATCGCCCTGTACGTGCTGCAGTATTGCATGTGTTCGTGTGAACCGGGTTTATAATGATCACCGACTGACAAAGTTATATGACGGCCAGGAATCGGATCAAGAAAACGTCATAGGAAATCGGAATTAATATTAACACGGTGGTCAGTAATTATTGCTATGCTGCTGCAAGGCCCTCCTCTTGGCACGCTTAGATGGCGCTGCATCATAACGCGAGTATACCGGCATCCGAATGCGCTGCAGCCCGAGGGCGCTCCAGAGTCCCGAGCATGATGCCGAGCGTTATATGCAGCCCGGTTATAATCGCCAGGGAATCCTCCGCACCGGGACAGCGCGTCGGCACATGCACCGACCCGGCGGCCGTTCCCTTATGCAAGTCCCCCCGGCGGCCGTTAGCGTCCCGGCGCACCGGCCGCTGGCTGTCCCCCGGCCCCGGCCATGGCCGCTGCGCTGCTCCCGTCTTATTACCCAACGGCCCCTTCCGATCCGACCGACGCGACACCTCCACACGGTGCACGGCCGGCGCACGTCCCGAGCGGCCGCTAACCGTCTCGCGGCAACAGCTGCAGCGTCGCCGCCCTGCCCTGCAGCTGCCCCTCGGACGCCTGCTCCTTCTGCTCTGGATGGTGTCGGCGTGCCGCGCTTCCGTCTGGATCGCTACGGATGAAGGTACAGCTGTACGGAATTTACAGACGTGTCAGTTGCATAATCATAAGCACTGCAAAATCGCATGCCCATGCACAGACTGACCGCTGTACATGTGTGCATGGCGTAACTGTATCTGTACGTCATGTTACGTTGATTAGCACGCACACGATCATGACCTTTCCGTTTACAGCCACCAACCGCCGCCACACCGACATGCACGTGGAGCCGCGTGAGCACTTTTGCGTCCAGCGCTGCCAGACTTCCTGCCACGAACGCTTACGTATGTAAATGTACGTAGACAGGCAGACTCGACATGAACAGAAAATTATTACCGATCGTGAGACATATGTACAGATGCACTTTTGCAGATATACGAGTTTAGGGATTACCTTCATAATTATCCAAGACTATGTATTCATGCAGCAATATTCTATCCATGCAACGCTTATATATATTTCAAGTAGCGCAGTGGTAAACTTGTAACTAACTAACGGATCGTTGCAGCGACGGTAGCGTGTCGGTGGCGCTGCCGGCACCGCTGCAAGAGCCTCTCGCGGCCGCACCCCAACGGCCACATGCACAACGCCCTGGAAGTGCAGCCGCCGCCTATGGCCGGCAACGGCCGCCCCGCGGCGGCCGGCTGGCATCCCCTCCCGACGACTCCCGCTGTAACACCGGCGACCACTCCCAAATGGACGCCGGCCACGCCCGCCCCGCAGCTCTACACTCCCCAGCACATCCTCCCCTTCCTCAACCTCCACCACGCCGCCCCGATCCCGCCGTTACCGGCCACTGCCCCGCCCAGCCCCGTCCTCGCGCCATTCCAGGCGGCGAGCCCTTCCGCTGCCGTTGCGCCACTTCCGGCGTCTCCCCCGGCGGTCTTCAGCGCCACCGCCGCCCCGGAGGCCTTCATCGTCGACCGGCACCTGCAGCCGCAGGCCGACACCTGGCAACCCTTGCCGGCGGCGGTTGGCCGACCCACCGAACCCGATGACCTTTTAATGCAGGCCTCCAACGCCGTGGAACGTCCCGACACCGGCCCGGTGGTGGTCGAGGGTGTCGGCACGCCCTTCGTCACCAACACGATCCCGGCGCCGTTTCCCCACGGCGCGGACGTGGGCGGGGCCTCCGCCGGCATCATCCAGCCCACCGACCCGCCGTTCGTCTTCCTCCCGTTCCACCCCGACCCCGCCTACTTCCACCCCGCCTCCGGGGTGGTGGCCCACCCGCTGGACCCTCCCGACGCCTTCCTCCCTCCGCGCCACGACCCCGCCGCCCACACGCTGCTCGTGGCGCCGCCCACCTCTCCGTCCGTGACCGCGCCGGCGTCGGCGGCCTTCCCGGGCCCGGTGTCGCGCGGCAGTCCCTCCCGCGGCACCGGCCACGGCTTCTCCGGACTGAACGCCGTCAGTGCGCTGCTCTCCGTCATCCACGACCTCCACCACGCCGCCACCCACCACCAGCCACACCCCGCGGGGCCCGACGCGCCGGTGACCTTTATGGCGCCGGCGCCGGCCTTCCCGCTGGCGGATCCCGAGAGCCACAACTTCGTCGACACCGCCCACTCACCGCTGCATTTCCCGGCCGTCCTGCACCCGCCCGTGTGGCAGTGACAAGCGGAAGCACCACACCGAATTATCCTAGCAAATTTATTGATTTATGCTGGATTAAATGGTGTAATTATTACGCATTATTTCTATCGATAATTTTCAGATATCATGAAAAAGTTCTTATAATTTCTTTCATGTTTTTTTACTGTACGTTTATGCTGTGTTTTTCTTATTTTAAATTGATTATTTTTTATTCAGTCCTATACATAGCCCTATACATATTCAATCCTATACTCTGTACATGCAATCAATCCTTATTCAGTCCTATACATATTCAATACTTGTGTTTTTAATTTTGTATTGAATGCTTTTATTTCTTCTTATGTTTTTCTATCGATTTTTTTAAATATTTATTAATAATTATATACCGGTAATTTCTGTATTCTTTTTTTTATTTAACCCGCTGATCGTCCGGATAAAATGAATAAAAAGCATCTGGTACAGAAATTAGCTGAAAAACACGATAACACAGAGAGGAAAACAGGAAAAACGCATCGCATGGTGAATCAAAGCTTCTTCTTGGCGCTGGGCGACTGCTGCGGCGACCGCGACTGCACCGGGGATTTCTTTGGTGATTTATCTACGAAGAGAAGCCAATCATGTCAAAAACAGTTAGGTTTAAAGTGCCAGTAAACGGACGTACTGATGGCGCGCAGCGTGGACTCGGGCAGCCAGTCGTAGTCCACGTCGCCGCTGCGCGACGTCCCGCTCTCCACCTGACTGCCGCTGCCGGCCGCGCTCACGCTGGCCTTCACCGCCTTCTTCACGCCGCCAAAGCGCTTCTTCTGCAACATCACCACATTACTATCACCATACAGAATCATTCAGCCATCCAATAAGCATATTTACAAATAAGCCTTAAACTGGTGTTGGATAAATAAAAAAATGAACCATTCCAAAATCATTACTAATTCACTAATATACAACACATCATTCTGAAATTATCACAAAAGGAGGCCTCGATCAATCACCACAAAATATTACAAAATACAAATACAGAAATTATTTCACAATCCTTACTGAAGAAATTGTTTTCAGTTACTTATTATAATAAATTAACTACTCAACCAAATTACAAGAAAGTAAGGATTTACCAAATTATTCTACTCGTACTAACATATAAGTGCTGAACAGATTATTATAGAATGGTCATTCATAAGCTGAAAATAAAATAATTAGTTGAAAAAATTAAGAAAAAATCATTAATCTCAAACGTTGTACGAAATCAGCATTATTGCGGAATAATTGCTCAACAAACATGCTTGACAAAATTAATGGAAAATAATCAGTGAATAAATTGTTATAACAGTGAAGTGTCGTCAAGTGAATAGGGTACACCTACCGAACGGGCGCTGGTGTACTGGTATCCGAGCAGGCCCAGCAGCGAGACGACCGCCGCCAACATGATGTACAGGAAGAACCTGCAGACGCCGACGCATAAATAATAATCATAAATAAAATAAAAATAATAAATAAAATAATTTCAATTATGCCCACAAATGTGGGAGGCGAACAAGAGCGTCTTACGTCTGGCTGTCGAGGCCCTCGTCGAGTTCGACGACCTGGATGGTGTCGTTGTAGACGGCGCTGACGAAGAGCTTGTCGGCGGCGTCGTGGTAGTGCAGGTTGATGTTGAGCGTGAAGGGGCGCGCGGCGAAGGCCTCGTGCAGGTAGAAGCCGTAGTCGAAGGTGGCCTCCTGCTGGGCGGGCACGTGGCGACTGAAGCGGACGGCGGTGAAGTTGGTGATGATGTAGGAGTAGTCCATGGGGTAGCGCAGCGACGCGTCCAGGTAGTCCACCATCATGTCCGCCGCGCCGCGGTTGCGGAAGCCGATCAGCAGCCGCACCGGCTTGTTCGTCGGGATTTCTAACCAAACGCCAAATCATGCACTCAAAGAAGCACCACAGAAATATTCGCTGAATTTATTATTATGCACAATTAATAACCGCCCGAAATGGCGATAATAATCATTCCCAAATATCCAATAAAAATTCTTATACATTGGTACAGTCGGTTTTTTTTTAACAAAACAATAATAAACCAAATCACGATATTTAATCGCAGATAAAAAAAAATTCTGCAATTACTCCAGTAACTTTTTTGGTAGTAACAATTTCTGCAGACCGGGCTGAGAATAAATAAAAGAATCAATCTGTTACTTATTTTATCAAGTAATAGTAGTAATTTAAATTGCGCTGCTTTCTGCTTTTTGCCTTTTTCCACAATAAAAATTTAAAAAATTACAAAAAAACAATTTTCTTCTTAAAATAATGAAAATATCAATCGCACTGGTTCTAAATCATCAGAAATTCATAATCACTAAAATTATCATCGGCCTAAGAATAAGACCTGGTAATAAAATGAATAAAATCCTTTTAAAAATAAATTAAGTCAATCTAAATGCCAGTAAATACACTGCTTGCTGTTTCTTGAAAACAAACAATTCCATTGATTACCAGTCTCATTGCCTGTGATCACGAAAATTAATTTATTTACATGATCATATGGAAAGCAAAAATGATAAATGATTTAAAAAACCACAAACTGCAAGAATTATCTGCAATTAAATGGCCAAAATTGAAAAATTGTGAGTTATAGTGCGCACCTTTGGAATTGAGGGGATAAGTGAAGTACACCGTGGTGTCGGCGTCCGGGGAGCCCGTGACGAGGTTGGTGGCGGCTTCTTCGGTCGGGGCATCACCCTGCGGAGCAGCGAATCATTAACTCTACCAGCAGGCACGCATCCGCAATCTGCGTACTCCAGCTGCAGAAATCAAAAATGCTCAGTATTTACCGTGCTGCTGCCCGCCTCCTTGACGATCTCGCTGGCCGTCTTGAACTGCTGCTGCTGCTCCTCCGTCTCCACGATGATGTCGTCCTCGGCGCGGGCCCCCTGCAGGCAGCCTGCGCAGAAGACGAGCGCCGCCAGGAAGACGGCGATAATCCCGCGATGCAACATGTTCAATCACGCTCCGATCAAATGCAAGTTCTGCAACACTGAATCACTCCGCTCGCACGCAAATCCCTCCGCACACCGATGCAACAATCAAATCCCAATCACAACAAAATCCGACTTCTAAAAAGATCAGTCACAAGTAACATACACCGCTGGAAACGAAACTTGGTGTGTTTTGGTTTTGACTTTTGCGGCAAAATCTTCCCGATGCGCATTGCAAATCAACAGCACTGTATTTTCCACCGGTTGCACCGCTCTGTGCTGTGCGTGCCAACGGGACACGCTGCTGGCATTTCACAGCCACGTCGGATGCAGCAAATCGCCACAGTGCCTTGAGAGGGCGCTGCTGCAGCTGCACGTATGCGCAGGTGTACGGGGAACCGACAAGAGCGCCACCTGGTATCACTGAACATCGCAGGAGGTGGAGCTACTACGCTACGAGTACGCACACACGTACAGCCTCGTATGAGAGCAAGTTGGCCGCCACACTGCCGCCTCGTAGCGTTTGCCGATAACTATGGACTGCTGCCGCCCGCAGCGGTACGGCAGGCATTTGTCAGATGGAATTAAAAATTACTTAATAATTATGATCTGAGTTTAATTAAGCAGTTTAAATCGTCAGAGCTACAGTTCCATGCTTATTTGGAATAATATTCAAAGTACCGAGAATAGCAGAGATCGTTTTAGTAAAAAAGTAAATTACGTGGGTAACGCTGGGCGCGGCGAATACCTACCTAGTACCTAGCTCACGGCGGCGCGTGGTCATTGAAAATATTATGCAAGTCTTTGGGAATGTGCGGGCGCGAATGTTGTATCACTTGTATGTGCGCGAATTTGGCACCATGCACCGTTGTACCCGGTCATTTGCGTGATGCGCCACCGATAATACGGCCTACCTGGTGCCGGTAAGATTATTATTTTTATCAGTAGGAATAGAAGTAAGTACTTGACCGCAGTTGAACGGTACTAACCCAGTAATTACCATCGGCACACACACACACTAACTAACTACGTCCAATAAACTCAATAATATCGAATAGGCAGCTCTTCCAGCTGCGCCTCAACCAAAATGCGTCACCGCTCCGCAGATGCACTGTGGAGCTACCGGAGCGTATGGCGCCCGGCCGGAAGACCAGAAGGAGAGGGTAGGGCTCGCGCGGCGGGAATGGTATAGTGGTCCCGACCGGTGACCCTTCCGTTGAAAGGCAAGGGATTGATTCCCTGTCCTAGGTCTCCACCGGAAGCGGCAGCGGTCGGTCAACCGCGACCAACCGGTACGGTCGCACGCGCCAGACGATGTCGCCGGGCGCAAAGCAGTTCACAGGTACGCTGCTGCAGAGCGTGGCGTAGCTTATCAGCAACACGAGCTTGATCTGGGCTGGCACTCAGTCACGAAAGAACCGATCGTATCTGCAAACAGATACGATTTTGCCGGTAAGCGGAAAATTCGCTATACTGTTCTGCTGTAAACGTTGTGAAGAGTTTCTTGGCCGGCAGCAGACAGGCAGGCAAGTAAAAGGCAGGGCGGTACTGCACTCCACAAGCAGGCCATTATTTCCCACCGATGCCCATCAGCGTCCTGCGGGACACTAAGTACGTTGCGTACGGGCGCTTGACCAACTGCATGCGACGCGCCTTTATTTTTTGCGCATACTTTGCTACTAAAAATCGAAGAAGAACTCGGAAGCCGAAGCAAAATATCATCTTACCAGCAGAATTAGGAAACTTAAACCATTCTACCATACCGAGAGAACTGAGAAAATTAATAATTATTTGTCAATTTTGACCAGCGCTGTTGAAATGTGCACTGTATAACCGCCGGCCGCGCAGTTTACCTGAACACATCACACATGTGAGTCTGTGACAAGAAAAGTGCAATACTACATAGGTCCTCGTACGGTCGCTTAAAGTCTGTGGTGTAGATACTTCCTACAAATACTCTGAGGGAAATTAAAAGCGAGAATCGACGTTGAGTTATTTTGTATTGACTTGCTATTTAGTAACGACGCAGCGTCAAAACTTTACCATTTCCAGCTTGTAAAAAGGATGATTGATAATTTATATGTACATTGTACGACTTTAATTACATCGCGCATTACAAAAGTAACAAGAAAAACAATCACTGACATCATTGCCGTTCAGCTAATTTAAAGACAAAATACACATCTTCCTTCTCAACCGACTTATACTTGTATACAGCGATTCTTTGTACGACTGATACGAGTATATAGCGATACCGGCGTTGTGAGTTGACAATCTGCAGATGCGCAATTACGTGGTTATTTAACGGTCAACGTGCAAGCCAAGTCACACTGCGCCCGTCGGTGCCTTCGCCCGTCAGACGGCCGCCTCTGTGGTCGTTGGAGGACAGGGCACACTGCATACCCTCCCCTCCAACTCCTGATCCTCGTCGGCACTCGGCAGTACGGGCTGCCGATGACGCATGGAAGCCGCGTCGTATGCATCTGTTGCTCGCGGAAACCACTCTCCGGCGTAAATGCCTGTATAATCCGGATGACACCGCACGGATGCAACATTTATGGCCCGGCCCTGGGACGCCTCCCACGGGCCCGGAATGATGCGACCGTACGGCCCCATCGATCGAGCCGATAAAAATGTTTAATCAATATACGAGACGGTCGCAGCGGATTTCATGGTTGCATATATATATGTAACGGGCAGATTGCGCGGCCCGTCGGCCGTATTACACAACGCCGCACCTACAGTATATTCCACATCAGCCAGCCGCAAGTATGAGGCTGGATCCCTAATTACAGGCCTTTTCTTCAGTGCAGTGCAGTGGTAAGGAAACCGACTGTACCCGCAACAAGATACGACCATATAATTACCGGCGAGCAGCTAGCGTTACCAACTATGGCCGACCAGTTTCCGCGTACTTGCGATCATCCCTGAGCTGCAGCAGCAGCGACCGGAGCACCGGAAGTATGGCACATATGCTGATTTGGCTGATCGGTACATTTTTCGGCCCGGCCCGTTAGGAACAACGGGAAGTTGCGGGCCCGACCCTTCTTGGATTTCGTTAACTGAACTGATCAGACGCATCAGAGGGCAGATCTACTGTACACTGGTGCTCGAGAAGGTCGCGCAAGGCGCTTTTTCTTACACCGTTTTAGCATGGAAATTTAGTGTGATAATGCTGCGCGTGTATTGTATACCAACTCCTGAGAAGCAGCATGAACTTGATGGTTTATTTTATATAGTGTATAGGTATTAAATGCTTCTGTACATTATATCTATATGCAGAATGAGCTGTACAATACAACATACCGTAATTATCGAATTTGTGGCTCCCCCCGCAATAAGAGCCCCCCCTGAAATAAGCCCCCCTCCCCGATCCTGTTTGAGAAATAACGCCACCCCCCGAAATTACGCCCCAGGGGCCGTTATTAAATGTCAAGCGCTGCAAAATCATAAGTACACCGCAAATTTCTTCCTAACAATTATTGTAATTTGATGGGCAAATAGTAAACGGACATCAGCATAATATTGTGTTTGTTGAGAAACAGTTGCTTAGGTAAGAATAAGCTCCAAAATGTGTGTTCGCAAGGTCGTGTAGTTGGATAAACCGGTAACTATTGCGTTCAGTTCACTAGAACAGAATGCACAGTTGTTTGAAAATAATATAATGCCCCCTTCCAAAATATGCCGTTTGAAAAATAATGCCACCCCCCGAAATTACGCCCCCTCCCCGAAATAAGCCCCCCTCCGCCATATCCTTCGAACTATTTGCACCCCAGGGCCACAAATTCGATAATTACGGTAGTAACCTTAAAAGGGTTTTCTAACGCGCCCCATTTTAATTTATACATACACACCGTTGGTGTTGCAAGGCACAGTATATTACATGGACCGTGCACAATCTTTTTGTTAGTTTGTTAATATTAATAATGCAAAAAGCACAACCATTAATATATATAGTAGTTAATAATTTGTAGGAAGATACTATCAGTATCAGCTATTAACACTGGTATGATTTCCAGTGGCTGGAATGCGCATGTCAGATGTACTTATTTCAATAGCGTGATAACAATATCAAGATCTAATTACGGTTAAACGAAAATGCGCAGAAAGTGATTAGAGTCGCTTTCATACACGCCCCTATCTCGAAATTCGTATGACTGTACGAGTGATTACCTTCGCGCTGCTCTGTACTCCTGCAGAAATCTCATTCCTCTTTGGCTGCATTAAAATGTCACGAGGACCTCATAGCTAGACGCTTTAAAGGAAGAAATTTTAGGGACTTCCGGTGCGTGACGCAGGTGCCACCGCCCGGTGTGGCAACGTAATTCCTCACATTCTGGGAGGCTTCGCGAAGGTACATGTGCGAATGTATAAGTATGCTTCTTATGTATAAGTATCTGTACTTATCTGTACTTAGTAACTTACTTATGTATACGAGTATGATTTTTGTGTTACGTTGTAGTCAAGTTGCGCAGACATGAAAACTTAATGTGGTTCTATTCGCCTACTAGTATAGCCTGTATTCCAGGGGACTACCGTAGCCAAACATCTACGCTGTGCTCTGCTCCCGTTACGGTACACACGCCGTGCGAATCTGTATTTATTTATTGGATTAACACAGCTTAGCCAGTAGTCTCGGTACTGTACGAGTGAGTAAGTATAAAGATGCGGGCGTTGAGACAAATGTCGTCCTGTGCGGAGGGAGGAGCGTAAGCGTCTTCCTTCCTGCTCCCGGATATATATCCAGATCCCCTGGGATGCTTTGCAGGGAACGTGCTGCTACATCCGGGATAACACTGTAATATCAATAACGGCCGCTGTTGTACACCACGCTGATATGTCCGTCATGATATGGCTGGACGCTCGAAGCCAACCAACGGGAAAATGCAACGGCCGCCCAGCAAGTTGCTTATGTTGCATCGCCTCCGCCATTATATATGTCGCTGACAAGCAATGTGCCGGTGGATATATGGCGTATGCTGTCGGCTAATCTCTTTATTATTCGGCATGTTTTTCCTTCATAACTTTTTTCTTACTGCCTTTCACGTAGTAATGGGAATAACGCTGTCAGATCATGATAATTTAAAGCGGAGGGAAATCACGCACTTCCGGCGCTCGAAAACTTTCACTTTCGTGCACCCCCAAACACTTCTTTGCTTTGTTTTATGACATTCTGTAGCCAGATGATTTGTAGATCTTTACATTAGCGTGAAAACCCTTTGAGTGCGCGATATAACATCCGGTTCGGGAGTTATGGCT